TCTTCTTGCACATAAACTGTTCAATTTTACATGAACGTATAAATAAGTGAAACTTCGCTATAAAATGAATTGAACTTTACTACTCGTAAAAATTCTCAAATTATATTTGAATTTACAATGTACAAAATGTAATTAAATCAATGTAAAAATATTATTAACGTGTATATCCAGTATACATGTTATACAATATATTATCAATATTATATCGATTTGAATCGTATTTGACTTCTTCACTATAGAAAAACTAAATAAAATTATTTCAGTATTAAAATATTTCATATTCCAAGTTTTATTATAAAATTGTAACATTTAAAAGCATCCGTATATTTCATAAATATCTATTGGAATATGTGGAATAGAAATAATATTTAAACGCGAAGTACAAGAAGACCTAGCCTGAACTAAATGAAATGAAACACAATAAAAATGTTACTACTCATGAGTATGTATAATCATACCCATGGTCACTATGCTCGCCAAGCACGTATACAACTAGTAACCCGTGTCGATTCGGACCATTCGTCCTACGACATGATTGGGCACCAGAGGAATCATAAAACATGCGACTCACCGTTCGCAGATACACTCTTCTTCCGACAGTCAAGTAGGAGGATGGACAACACCAGGTAGGAGGGTGCCTTGTAGGAGAAGACGGAAGTCGTGAAGAAAATTCATCTGTAACAAAACAAAAAAGAATTACGGTTAATTTTGCAAATTATCAATTTTTATTCTAATAAAATTATATATGAAATTGAATTTTATAAAATATTAGCAATGGAAAAGAATTGTAAATTATTCGATTTTAATAAAAAGCGATTAAGTAAAGTAATAAGATACTTACACTCTTTCCTTGCGGCGTAACGCCCGAGACGGAAGTCATGAAGAAAGCCATCAGGATATCCAGGAACTCGGCAAAATCAAAAAATTCATCTGTAACAAAACAAAAAAGAATTACGGTTAATTTTGCAAATTATCAATTTTTATTTTAATAAAATTATATATGAATTTGGATTTTATAAAATATTAGCAATAGCAATTAAAAAGAACTCTCAATTATCAAGTATTGAAATTGTAAATTATTCTATTTCAATTAAAATTAATTAAGTAAAGTAATAAGATACTTACACTCTTTCCTCATGGAGCAACGCCCAAGACTCCTCTTCAGTGGTGCACTGACTCTAATACAGGATATATCGAAAAAGAAAAATCAGAACCGCGATGCTCTAGAAAATATTTTATAATACGTAGCAAACACTGACTCTACTTTCGCGTGATTCCTAATTGTACAAACGCAACTCTATTCAGGGCCAGTTCACCCTTGAAAAAATCAAAACATTGGAAATATCTTCGTACAAACACTGACTCTACCGACCGCCTTGCGCGCGGCCACAACAATTCCTGGAAAAAAAGATTAGTGGGAAGGTTGGGGATCGGTGGAAATATACAAAACAAAACCAACATTCTCCTTATTAAGTGTTCATTAAGGAAATACTGTTATGTGTAAATGAAAATATCAGTGTTCGTGAAATATTTTCAACGAACACGAATATTATTCAAGTTGAACATTGATCCTAGATTATATTGTAATAATGAAATGTTTTAAATAATTGTTGATAATTATTTCAATGAATATTATATGGATAGAAAATCATAGTTAAATAAATATAATAGACTATTTTATTAAAGTAGTGGATTTCTGTTGTTAAAATTGTAAACACACTAAAAATTATTGAAAATTCCATTACGTCGTGATTTATAAATTGTATAAATTCTTTTCGATAAACAAAGTCCAATAATTAATCATGATTAAACAGCATGTGATTTAAAAACGTAATTCTATTTTAATTTAAACTTGCATCGAAAGCTGGATATTATAATATAATTACTACGATTTAACAAAAATAGATTGTTTAAAATAATTTATAATTGCAGAAGAGAAGCAATCATTTGCAGTAAAATACGAATTATTTCAATTTTGTTCTAATTTACAACAAATGTACTAAATTCCTAGTCGAAATTATTTAATAAAATGAAAAATTAATTATTCTTCTTTTATAAATTCATTAAAGAACAAAAATGTCTCTAATCTTTTCTTTCTCTACTTTGGTACCAATTAATTATCAAAAATGCTTACAATTAACAACATTCAATAAAAAAAAGTAATAATAAATGTTAATAATTGATTACGATAAATTAAAACAATAAATTCATACGAAATTCTATTTCAAACCCATATCAGGTATCATCGTATCCTCTCAATATCCATCAAATATCTGTAACAAAAAAGAAATACAAACCACATGTAAATAAAATTTAATTAACAATAATATAATTATTATTAATAAGTAGCGTACAATACGTACCTACTACTTATGCGGAAGGATGCTCTCAACACGTGATGTTACTTCGACGTTCGCGAGAGAAATGGCGAGACCTTCCTTGCCACCGAAGCCCGTTCGCCGATTGGCACCGCTTCGGCATTCTTCGGTATATTCCGCTAACGGCCGATACGTAAGCAAGTACACGAACGGGTCTAAACAGGAATAATATTACGATGCTCAAGAAAAAACGTTATTAAATTAAAAACAGAAAAATTGTGTGAAACAATACAAAAAACATTCAATAATGTTCAAGAAATTACTGATATAAAGGGAAAATCATTCAGATTCTGTTCTTCCAACTTCATTGTGAATTCACAGCAAGAGCAACAAATTTCAACTCACGTATTTTTAAAGATAACCTCGAATTAATGTCAAAAAACAAAGAGCTAGACTTCTCTTCGGCTATTCTTTCTCTTTTTTGTATTTTCAACACCCGAAAGACAATTTAATTTAATATTTGAAGATAATTTAATCTTACCTGTTGCAGACGCGTGGAAAACAGACGAAGCTTCGAAGAGGACTGTTGCACTCCACCTCACTCCGCGGATCACACCCTACAACGATGAATCTGATTGGTCTAAACGGGAAGACGCCATAATGGAATGACCAATCACAGACGTTGATAGAAACTTCGAATTACTTCGAAACTTTAACATTAAAAAAACGGAAAGATTCGTTGAAGATTATCAACGCCATATTGAAATAAGATCAAGATTACTTTTTTCAATTTATAGCAGCGAAATATAGGAAAGAAGATAGAAAAATACATAAGATATTAATGTTATTTAATAAATTTTCATCATAAAAACAGCATAAATGAGAAATATGTTATTTTAATTCATATCTGAATGGGCAAAATAGAGTATTTTCAGCTTACGCATTTCTGAAGACAATGTGGAAATGATGTCAGAAATTATGACTCCAGGCTTCTCTTCAACTTTGTCTTTTGTTTTTTGTATTTTTGATACCTAATACACAGTTTAATATAATATTTTAATACTATTTAAAGCGATGCAAGCGTCGAGGCCGGCTTCACACACACGAGCTGCGAATACTCGTCCAGTCGAACCCATAGAACGAATGAACTGCGCCCTACAGAAAAAATGTAGAACTAAATTTGTGGTCTGTTTTACCTTTTTGACGTCTTTCGCGAGCAAATAATGAACGAAATCGTAGTTCTATTTTTCTAAACAGAGGCTTGTACATTATTACCAGAGTGCTCGTTTTGTTTTATCCGACCCAAAGAATGTTGGTCTGGTGTCTATTTAGACCAGGCTAACATTCTTTAGGGCCTTCTGAACACGTCCCCCCAAATTTCTTTGCAATCTGTTCAATCGGAACGACATAATTTGAGAACTCGTTTCTAGGGATTTTTCTAAAAACTGTCGATAAAGTTTTCAACGCTTGCATCTTTTCTACTGTAATCCAATTATTTATCTTTATGGAAAATATAAATTTTGGAATAAAGTATTATTCTTTTTTGTATATAATATCATTACATATGAATATATAAATGTTCATGTCAAGATAGAAAACTAAGGAAAATGAAAAAGCATGTTTTTAGACAGTGTATTACTATTTGCCAATAAATTAAATAATATTATGACATGTACTTACCGGTATTTGAATCCATTAATGCTTCCAGGAAGGTAATCACTATTCGAAACACCGGAACAAACTAATGCAAGCTCCCCCCTCACGAAGAACACGTGACTGTAACGATAAATTATCGTGTTGCATTTACTTAACTTTTTAATTACAATTTCTCTTATTTTAATCTTTACAAATCAAGATTACAAATTATTTAGAGATATACAGTAAACACCTACATGCATTTTTAAAAATTATACTTATATACTAATGAAAAATTGCCTGTTTATTATATTAAATCTAAAATTACCTTTCATTACCGGCTAATTGGTTTATTATCAATATAACACGAAACAGTGAATGACAACTCAATAAATGTCTTTAATAATGTGGATCATAGAGAAAAGCAGGATGTAAAAAAAAGTAGGCAAAATTAATTAACCCTTTGCTCGGTTGTTTACAAAATATCCGGTTCCTGACAGGTCGTCAGAGCCAACGAGTTCAGGCGAACAGGCGATGCTGCGCGCGCAGTAATAACACGGCGCCGACAGTGCTGTGTATTCATTTTATTTTTTATCTATTTTATTTTATTGACTTTGTAATAAATTACAAAAGATCAACATTACAGTATTTTAAGGAATCGTATATATTCGAACACCACATAGTTATAAAATTATAAATTAATTGTAGACACGCTATGTTATACCATCAATTTAGAAATTAGTTTACACAGTATTACTTTAATAATAATGACAGAAACTTTTGAAAAAATAAAATGATGTAAATTGATATATCATGCATGTATCTTGATTGATATGTATTAGAAGACACTTTTTCTTCCTAGTTGTATGTCCCGAAAGATAGGATCTATAAAATAATAAATATTACAAATTATACGTATTACGTACTTGTATAAAAAACATTTTCCATTTTGCATCATTCCGCACGTTTTATAGACATAGTAAAAAATATCAAGAGAGCAGTGGGGACAAAGTTATTCCATACGAGGTTGAGAGTGCGAGCTGTGGGTCGTAAATGCACAGGCAGTTTCGATACAGAACTTGAGGCGCCCCTAGCAGTGGTTACGTGTAGAACCGGTAAGCAGTGATTATTTGGAAGTTTTTTAAAACAAGGAACTGCCAAGTCGATGTTTGACAGCATTCTAAAGTTTCTGGGCAAGAGATTGTTGACGGACGTGTAAGAAGGCAGAAGTTAACGAAGCTTCTTTTCGTGTCTGATGAGCTCCTCCGTCGCACCGCTGGTGGTAAGATGGCTGTGCAGTTGGATGGAGGAGGGAAGGAGGACTTGAAAACACAGTTTGTCACGCGGGAAGGAACTTACAAACTGATGACTTTGTCCGAGTATTCAAGGCCAAATAGGGTCGGGTACACGAACAGTCAAGGAAGCGCATCCGTTAGGGTGTCCTTCGTAACTTTGCCAGACCCAGCGGATCCTACGGGTACGCAAGGTCTCGGTGACCGAATGTGTTTCAATTTTGGCAAGGAACTCTATGTTTACGTGTATCGAGGAGTTAAGAAGGTAAAATGAATTTTTCTAAGATCTAATATATTTGTTACTGTATCTGTGCTTAATTGAGCATGGATTCATTCAAACCTAACCTCGAAAACGCATACGGAGACTCCATCTTTGCACTATCACCACACCTAACGTAGAGAATTCTTTTACTTTGTACGTTATTGCATATACAATTGCATTTGCTAAATTTATTTATAGCTAAATGTTCATTACTTATTTTCCGCGCATTAATAATTCGTTCTTTTGATATTATTTAAATTGTAATATGTATTGTCTTATTAGTGGTTAGACTTTTGCTTTTGAAAATAGCCTATGTTTTAAGTATATCATTTATTCACCAATAACATATTTGAAACATTTGTGTGACATTAAATGATGTAAATATATATATACTTATTAATTATATTAAATACATACATAAATATTTTTTAATTTATACATATTCAATACATGTAAATAATATAATAATGTTTTATATTATCCAAATTTGTTTAACTTTTGATTGAAATCTATAATTAATTGATATAGCATTAACATATTTCAGGCTGTGGACTTAAATAAACCAGTGGACAAGAAATTATATAAAGGAACTAATCCAACTTGCCATAATTTTAATCAAACAACAGCAACTGCAGACAGTGCACCATTATTAGTGGGCTTTTCTACAGGGCAAATTCAATTAATAGATCCTATAAAAAAGGAACTTAGCAAATTATATAATGAAGATGTAGGTAACTTATTTAATAACTTTTATTGTTCTTTAATATGTAGAAAATATTGTTCAAAAGTGTGTTCTCTTTGCTTCTATGATAAATTATTTATTTATTTTTCTAGAGGTTGATAGATAAAAGTAAAGTGACATGTATAAAGTGGGTTCCTGGATCAAACAACCTCTTTTTGGTATCGCACAGCTCTGGACAACTGTATTTATACAATGAAGAACTTCTTTGTGGTACAACAGCTCCTCATTATCAATCTTTTAAATCAGGAGATGGCTATGCCATATATACTTGTAAAACAAAATCTACAAGAAACCCTTTATATAGATGGGTAATAGGTGCAGAAGGATGTTGTATAAATGAATTTGCCTTTAGCCCATGTGGCTCCAACTTAGCAGTTGTCTCCCAAGATGGTTTCCTAAGAGTATTTCAATACAACACAATGGAGCTAGTGGGTTCAGCTAGAAGTTACTTTGGTGGATTTCTGTGTGTATGTTGGTCACCAGATGGAAGATACGTTGTTGTGGGGGGTGAAGATGATCTTGTGACAATTTGGAGCTTTCACGAAAAAAGAGTGGTAGCAAGGGGTCAGGGTCATCATAGTTGGGTAAGCGTTGTAGCGTTTGATCCTTATACAACGTCCTATGGAGATCATGATCCTGACTTCAGTGGTTCAGATGATGAAACATTACCACATAATAATCATAATCACTTCCACGAGAAGTCTAATCGTCTGTCGACGACTTCGCAAGGAGTTCATTCAAATAGAAACTCTTGTAGTTCAGAGTTGAGGGTATCGGGTGGTACATGCTACAGGCTAGGCAGTGTATCACAAGATACTCAATTGTGTTTGTGGGATATCACGGAGGATGTGTTGAGACAACCAATGTGTGCAAAGCAGAGGCCGTCCGCGGCAGGTTCTAGTACTCTTTCTACATCAGGAACGGTCAACAGTGGAAATGGCTCAACGACGAATCATCACTTGAACAATTCTAAACATAATAATTTGAATAATGTTAATTACAAAGAAAACGCGAGTGGTAATAATGAAAGTAGTAATAATAGCACGAGTACAAATACAGCAGTATCAACTGTAAATTCATTGACACAAAGGTTAGCAGGCCTCGGTTTCGGTGAGCGTAAAGGTGATAACCATAAACGAAACTTTAGCCTCACTATGAGAGGTGCATCCAATAGCACAATAATGCAGAATAGTGGAGGCGAAAAGACTTCTACTACTAATTCAAATACAAGTAGTAATATGAACAGTGTCAGTGGAAGTTTAGTAGGTGCAAATAAAAAGGTTAGTTCCGTGATGGACGATCCTATGAGATTGATAGGAACTGCCTGGTGCCCTAGGTTCGATGAGTGTCCTGTGCTAGAACCATTGGTGTGCAAGAAGTTGGCGCATGAAAGATTGACTGAATTAGTGTTTAGGGAAGATTGCTTCGTAACAGCGTGTCAAGATGGATACGTCTATACGTGGGCAAGGCCTGGTCACATGGTAGGTCCTCTCACCATCAGCAGCACTCTGCACAGGCCACACCATCATAGCAATCCTTACACCAATATTAATTCCTTGCGATCTAACGATCTATGATGTAACCCATCTATAATCGTTATTGAAGTAGGGATTTCTAGAGATGAATTCCAATTTGTACATAAATAGAAATAGAATTTAAAATCATTATTATTGAACGAGAAAATAGAAAATATGATAATGCTTTGGACAATTTTCCTATTATCATTGTTAAATTGTATTAGATGGAAAATGCTGTTTTAGACAGATAACTTTATTAAACGTGAAGGACACAGAGGGGTACTTTTATTATCTTTTGTCTTCTGTATTCTAATATATACGGTCCTTACGGCATCATATATGTTATACATATGCTGATTTTGAAGATTTTTATTTCAGAATAAATGTATTTTTCTCATATTTACAAATTTAAGCCTAGTTTACATCTTATCCAAAGCAGTATACATTATATTAAAAGGTGCCATTGGAATGCATTAAAGATCTAGCAATATCATTTAGTCTGTATTGTATATCAATTACAGAAATGTACGGACGGATAATACTATGAATGGATCAATATTTAAGGCATCAATTTATGCTATAAATTTTTTAAGAAACATATAAAATTAATACAATTTAGATCACTTATGTTGCATGCAATATATAATATGTAATATAACATTATTTCGGTTCTAATTATGAAACAAAAGTTAAAAAATTTAAGCATAAGGAAAATATAAATTTCTCTAATTATAATTTTTCGATTTAATCGCATAAAAGTACAAATAAATTAATTTAATAATAAACAAAAATTCATTCATGGTATAAGCCTCCATTTATATTTGTGCCTAACGATCATCTGGTCAAAATATATTCAGTATGAAGAATATTGAAGGGATACATTAGTATGATTATAAATAGAATATATTTATGTTTGGTTTGCATCATTGAGAATAATGTTGTTTGCGCCCCATAAGATTTTGTAACAGGGCAGGCCCCTTAAACCCTTCTTTCTTTCCTGTAAAGTGTTACTAGCTTAGCTTAGCAAATGATAGAAAGTCAATGAATTACTTAGTCAAACTATTGCCCCAAATTATAATGTTGTGACATTTAATCCTTTGTTGAAGACAATGAATTGCCTTGTTGTACAATAAAGCAAAAATTTGAATGAAATATTGCTGCTTGCTTCCTGCTTGAATTTTATACAGAATGTAATGCATAAACTCCTGAGGAAACTTTGAATCATTCTGAGCATTAGGTATAAATCTGTACATGTATACACATATTGTATGTATATGTATTATTTTTGTTATAATTTACAACTATTTTTGTTATTAGTTGCAACTTTTAGCATGATTTTATAGTTATATATATCATACGATGTTGTTAGATTTAAAATATCAGATTCAGTTTCCTGGTGTTTTGCATAACGCATTTCTCTTATCAATATACCCTATGCTCCCTTATCTGTTATAGCGGTTTAACCAGTTACGATTTTTGTGATAATTTTCATATATAGTGTGCATTGCTTCTTTTATAGTGACAGTCTTATAATTTTATCGGAAGATGCTTGTGCTTGTTTCTTAAGCCGGTGGGGCATTAATTTTTTACTTTGATTGGAAAGATTAATGTCTTGTACCATGCTTTGGCTGATGCGAGAGAATCATGGATGAGACATCCCAGAGTGTATCGCATGGTACGTATAATTCATTGTTTCCTTGACTTGTTTATTGCTTCATTGAAACAAGTAGTACAGTATGTTATTATGTGCTCGTTTTAGTAGTAAATGCCTTACCGAGGCATTTTTGAATATCAATGATATTTCTATTCTGCAATTGCACCATCTTTTAATGCACTTTGTAATTGAATCTGTGTTTAAAATGCTTTCAACATTTGCAGAATTTTTATAAAATCAAATAATATCTTTGGTAATGAATTTTCGCGCGTCTTTTAATTACAGCCAGGAATAGGACAAGTTGGAAATGCTCTACATGTTGTCAGTCCAGCAGAAAGTGGAGGTACCATAGTATAGCCAGAAGCAGATAATCTATCTTCAAAGCACGAAGAAGAATACGTCCCGTTAATGCGTACATTTCAATCTCCGGAAATGCGGTTTCAATCATATACTCATTATCGTCACTTGTATTATGTATGGCCAAGTGAAAATTATTCCAATATCATTTGAGAAAAGATAAACAAAGAATTGTCCCAAAGGCATCTAACTGCTTATTGCTTAAAGGCACTTTTTTTTGGTAAGTTAATTTCGATGGGTATCAATTGCTATTGCTTTCTATTCTATTTTTATTTAAGTCAGAAAAGCGTTTAAATTTCATAGTATTATATAAATTTTGTAAAAAACCAGCGAAAGTAACAATTGTGTGTACATGTATATATGTATACATACGTATGGCTGATCTTACATACTGTACTAAATCATTCCAATAAGATCTTGTTAAGTAAAACAAATTAAGAATTGAATGATGTTAATACTAAATACTTATACATATATATATAGTGAAAAACTTTCGTATCATTAATATTTGTTTAGAGAAATGATTTTAAATGATTTGCTTTTTGTGACATATATTAACAAGCAATGCAACTATTGTAATCAGTCAGAGCAATATGTAAATATGAAATATTTTACGCAGCATTATCATTTGCATACTCGTTACCGAGGGCTAATTGTTTTTATCTTGAAACATGTTGCGCACGAAAAAAAAAAACAAATCGAATTAGATAATTTTGTAGAATAGAAATTAATTGTAACAAAATATTATTTTTTTACGTTGTTAACTTTAAGAAATATATTGAAAGCGTACATGTGTTGCAACGTTCCTTCTTTGTGTATCAGTTTCTGTTAAGGTAATTCAAGTATATAGTCTGATCGTCGCTAACTAAATTGCCTTAATAAGATGTGTAAGTTAAACCAAGACAGATTTTTGTTTCATATTATAGTTACACGAATATGGTTCCGAGAAACTTGTTCGCTTTATTGAGAATCTATAACGAGTACATCATTGATGTACGATCAGTTGAGAACTTTTAATAATGAAAGATGACTTTATATCTGAGAACTACCAGAAATTGTTACATATTTTAATTAAAACTTTACACAAAAGGAGAAAACTTATAAGACACGATTGTTTTTTACAACCGTTTCATTTTAATTCTATTGTATATGGAACAATTAAATTGTATCTGTAACAAATTCAGTGTATTATTACGACATAACAATGAATGATTTCTACAACGAATGAGATGTATTTTTATACACAGTTCTCAGATACAAAAGTCTAATACAATGGGTATATGAATAACTATTGAATATTCTAACGATAGACAGTATTTAATATTGTATATTCCACACGGCGATGCTATTTATTACTTTATAAAAATAAATAAATGAATAATTATATATATATACATGCGTTAAAATATTAACGTAAAAATGTAAAAACGGTTCGTATTGTTGTAATTTTTGAACAGTTTGAAAATAATGATACATTTTTTTTATTCTTCATTATGGGCATTCTTTTCTTTTCTTTTTATCAAAATAGAATCATGAGATGGTAATAAAGTGAATTTATTTATTGCAATGAAACATGGTAATTAGTGAATTGTAAACCAGTGTTTCTTGGACAATAATACATTTGTATTTATATTTGTCATAGCATAAATATACTTTACAGTTATTGAACGCATAATAGGCTTAATTTATATTTTAATCATCGAGAATCACTGGTCATAACGATAATATAATTTTTTCGTAGAAATATTTAAATACGCAACAAAAAATATTTTTGCGTACATTTGTATTTTATGTTTATAAATATCTTATAAGATATATATATATATATACATGTTGTATATGTATTATCAAGTTCAGTTTTGATATATCACAAAATTAATAGACAAAACGAAGCAATTTTGTTAAAAGTACGTTTTTATACGGTGTTTAGGAAGAAATCATAGTAGCTCTAACTTTATGTTCAGTTAGAAAATTGAAAAATGTTACTTAGAAAAAGTAACAATAAATGAACTGATCACGCATTTTAATCGTGGAGCTTTCGTTTTGAACATTATTTTACATATGGCATAATCTAGTTTTTGATAAACCAGTAAAAGTGTAACATTACTCTTTTCCGTGTAAACTCCTTGAAGTATACTGTGATATGTGTGTATGCTAACATTAACTAATTAACTAATTGTAAGTGATGAAAGTGAGAATTATGCTAACGCCGTCATGTTTATCGTGTGCTGAGACGAGTGGTTAACTTTCGAGCTGTATTTGTTGATTGGGCGTTTCCCATATCGAAACTTGAATTATTAAACCGATAGTAACTTAAAAAGCTGGCCTGTTAGATATCAAATCATATTTAATTTATCAAACTTGAGATTTATCATGTTCCTACATTGTAAGTCAAATCTACGAATCTATAATAAACGATGCGTTTTGTTTCATGATTGAATGCGACTGAGCCTTTATAAGTTGTAAAATCATAATTAATTTGTTATTTCAATTGAAACGTACTTCGTAAATTCAGCAGGTGCATATTAAAACGTTTTTCTTTTCTATTTTGATCGAAAACCTTAATCCATCGAAACATTAAACGTTTATTATTATCTTTTTCGTTCTGTAAAGCGAACAAGATTCCCTTAAGTCAAAATTTAAAGCAATAATTCCATTCGTATTAACACGTTATATTCTTTTATAGTTATATATTTATAATCGCGATTCATGTAACGCTATGAATAAATACAACGATATGAAGGGATATTTTGTTGCGAATTAGTAGACCAATCTGGCTGATTACATCAATGGAAATAAACGTAAAAATAATTCATCAATTTCCTACTTGGCGACTTTTTTACAAGACATTTTCAGATATACACACATACACATTCACAGAACGCTTTACGATATCGCATCAAGTTTCTACTTCTCTTCGCATTTCACTTCATTTGTTTATAAACTTGTACATTCTTTGTAATTGTAAATGAAAAACATTTAATTGTTGTTCTTGTGCACTTTTCTTTATAATACAATTACCTTTTTAAATCTTTTTACCGCTTCGGATATATGGATGAGAAGGGCCTGGTTGGTTTCCGTCGTTTTAATCGGAGCATGCGCAAAACTGCCACTGTAGAAAGTAGTCATTTTCCAGGAAATGGTTCAAAATCTTTTCGCATTGCGTCAAACGTTTCCGAAAATCTAGAATTGACAGTATCTGTAAATACTGTGTAAAACCATTTGCAGGAAATCGGTACATGCGTGATTTACTATTCTATTAAACGGCCCTTTTCAGGACTAAAACAACCTTCAAAGGCATCAAGCGGCCCTTTTTGGGCCACAAATATTTATACCGGTACAACTCTCATCATTGAACCAGTACTAGCTATTGCAATTAAAGAAGAAACGCTTTTATTTATATATTTTCCCCGTATCCCAATCTCCTCTTATTCTTACTAGATATTTATTTACGTTATCTATTTCTCTATTACCTTTTTTTGTTTTATTAATAACGTACAATTAAGATATTTAACTATTAAATATTATAAAACAAATCAGAAGCAATTTTTTAACAAAAATCGAAATCCTGCGCCACAATCGTTTGAGCTGTGTAGCTGGGTGTATGTATTTCATACATACATATATATACCGCAGTTCACCAGAGTCCATAACTGCGACGCGCAGGTTGGAAGATAGTGGGGGAACGCAGCGAGCTCTCTGCTAATCGCTTTCCACTTCGTTTGGGAATATCGCCAATCAGGGCGAAGATGCGTACTGGAGATGCGCGGAGAACGAAAACTGGTCTTTTCGCAGTTATGGACTCTGGTGAACTGCGGTATTCATACAGAATTCTGTATATATCAGTATATATAGTCAAAAACATTTTCTTTCTAAATATTAAAATCATTCAACATTTATTGGACAGTTTTTCAGTTTTTAAAGAATCATGAAATATATGTATCAACTGTAAATTACGTTGCAAATAGTTATTGTATCCGGAAATATTTTAAAGACAATACAAAAAAACCTAAATGACTTAATGTAATTATATACATATAGCATACAGAAACAGTGATGTAAATAGATTATAAATTGTAAATATTGAGATATACAATTAAGATAAGTCATGCATGATTCTGAAGAAATTCGAGATCGCGCAAAAAGCGATCGAAATGATATCTTTTAAGCTTCTTTCGCGTTAGCTGTCAAATAGACAGATATAACCTACAACGTGTGAATTTGAAAAATTTATCGAATCTATAAAAATGGACGTTGTAACAACAAGTCTCGAAGCTTTGATACGTAAGTTAAGATTTCATGTATTTGTCATAATCATAAAATAAAACCAGCACAACATATCCATTAAGCTCTAGTTCATTAATATTTGTGAACATCAATCAAACAATATGTTACTGTTTTTTCCTTTCTTTTTCTTTTACATAGAAAGGGTAACAAATCCGCAAAATCAGAAACCCGATATAGCGGCGACTGAAGCATTCTGTGTGATGGTTACTAAAGAACCAGAAGGCATTCAAATTGGTGCTAAATTGCTAGCACTGCACATCCAGTCGTCTAATGAGTTTGAAGCTCTTCAAGCCCTTAGTGTAAGTTTTTTATCAAGTTTTTAATAGATATTTAATGTTGAGTTTAAAAGTATAATACTTTCCAAGTACTTTATTATCTAGTATAAAGAATAAATCCATAATTTATAATGTTAAAAAATTATTTTCTATGTAACAGTTATTGGATACATGTATGAAAAGATGCGGGCCATCTTTTCACGCTGAAATTGGTAAATTTCGTTTTTTAAACGAAATGATTCGTCTGGTTTCACCAAAGTATCTAGGTGGTAAGACACCAGTTTTGGTACGTCAGAAAGTATTACAGTTGTTACACGTATGGACAAAAGAATACCCTCGAGAAATAAAAATTAAAGAAGCTTATGAAATGTTAAAAAAACAGGGTGTTATTGAGGTCAGTTCTGCATACATTTAATTGAAATTCGTTCTGCCGATTTCAACACATAGTTAAACATATTTTCACATATATTTCTATTGTAATTAAAACATCCAAAGTAATATTATACTCCTTTAGGATGATACGATATTGTCAGCAAACGGTCAAGAAGATGCGTTAAAAATATCGAAAGCTAAGAGTACAATATTCGACGACGAAGAAAAATCTAAACTACTGCAAAAATTACTTCAAAGTAAAAATCCTGATGATTTACAGGCTGCAAACAGATTAATTAAAACTATGGTAAAAGAGGTGAGTGAAGAATATTTGATACAATGAAGAACTTTGTGGAATAAATTACTACTTTATAGGATGAAAGAAGGGTGCAACTAAATTCACGTAGAATAATGGAATTAGAATCTGTTCACAATAATGCAAAGTTATTATCAGAAATGTTAGACTCGTACAATTACAATGAGACTAGTAAAGAAGATCTTGAATTAATGAAAGAATTGCATCAAGCTTGCGAACGATTAAAACCAATTGTACTAAGATTAGCAAACGAAACCCATGATAACGAAGGGATGCTAGGTAAATACTTTTAAACAAACTCATCAAATACACGACGTAACTCATCAAATATAGGAGAATAATCTGTTTTAGGTGATGTGCTTGCCGCAAGTGACGAATTAGAACAAGTATTTGAGAAATATGCTGCAATTATTGTTCGCGGTGAATGCGTCAAATTTAAGACAGATACCAACATCAGTCCGTACTTATTAGATTTATCTTCTCCAATAGACAATATTTCTCATGAAAGCGGTGGTACGAATACAAATTGCGATGCTACCAGAATAAATAATCAATCAGATATGGAAGTCTTAGGAGATATCTTCAGTTCACTAGGAAAATCTGAAAACCCAGAAATCTCATCGGTTTCTAATCCAAACTTATTAATGACCGATTCGATTATGCAGCCAGTCAACGTTTTGGTCACGAGTAAGAAAGGTTTGTAAGTGTAAGATTTTTATTATTTCCACGTTATTGTTTCCAGCAAATCTGATCGTATAGAACAAGGCGGTAAATGATTTCGTTTCATTTTCAGACGAATCGATCAACATCCCTGAAAAGAAAATAGACAGTAAAGCTAGGGCATTAGAAGAATTGAACGAATTGGGAGAATCTTTGCTTAAACAAAGTTTATCGGGCACGGCGTTAAACGTACGTTCAAATTCAGGAAGGTTGGTGAAACGCTTGTTAGACATAATAAATTTCTAATCACATGTAACAGTTTTCCTGTTTATGATATTACTATATTTCGTTTTTCTTTGTTTTCTGTAGTATGCAAACTGCAGCTCGCACATCAAATGCTGAACCTTCAACAAAACACGATTCGATAACTTTTTCACGCGGCAGTTCTTCGCGTTCGTCTGATTTATTGGAATCTACAAATGTAAAAAATAACAAAACGTCTAATATTCATTTGGAATCGCTCAATAATCTATTATCTCATGATGTTGAAAATTCTCCAAATGTCATTGATTCTGACGTGAACGAAAAAATTAATACAAACGCATCCAATAATCGATTAATCGCGTGGAACAGAGTTTCGGCATCGTCGACAACAGAAAATACAGTCAGTACAACAGAACCTGAGATCAAATCATTAGCAGACATTAATATTAATCTTCAAGATATCAAACCAGGTAATCGTTACTCTTTTATTTATGATTTTATTAAAATTTCAAGAATACAATCTATTTACACCAACTGTACGTTTTATTATTATTTCAATAGGTATTAATCCACCTATGACCGTAATCGAAGAAAAGAACGGTATATCAGTCGTGCTTCATTTTGCTCAAGATAATCCAAGACCAGACGTATTTGTAATAGTAATTACAACAATGAGCAAAAATTCTAAACCACTTAGTAATTATTTATTTCAAGCAGTGGTGCCAAAAGTAAGTTGAAATTATGTATTATAATTATTGTTCTGTGGTTTATTTTTAACCTTACATTCTGTACATTTTAATTTATAGAGATGTAAATGTAGACTTCAACCACCATCTGGAACTGAATTGCCCGGTCATAATCCATTTCTTCCTCCATCAGCAATTACTCAGATTATGCTAATTGCTAATCCTAATAAGGTAAAATAATACTTCTGTTTTAAATTTTAAACTTTATCCGATTCTTTGATTTAATATAAATTCAGTGTCAAATTGTCTTTGGCAGGAAACGGTATCGTTAAAGTTCATGTTAAGTTACACGATGGACGATGAAACCTTTACAGAAATGGGAGAAGTAGAAAAATTGCCTTTCTTTTAAAATGCTTTTGTCATCGAGTAGGTACTTAAAGAAAAAAAAAGAAGTAAATAAATAAGAAAACAAATATCGCAGTTTAGTAGTTAAAAAATGAAATACAATCAAATGAGTGAACGTACATGTCGATAGATAAAATTATTTTTGTTTTTGTTTATAACATCATAATTTTGAATGATTTCATATATATAGACATGTTTAACGACAAAAATAACGTTATGTGAATATTTATAAATATACTATCCGATCTACACACACGCTTGAAAATGTGTGGAACTATTTTGAGACTGGAACTTAAACTTAATAGTATAGAAGAGAACACGTAATAAAATTGAAATAAAAATAACTTAAAAAATAGAAAAATCATATTTACAGAACAATATTTTACACTTGAATTGAAATATATGTACGTACAATTCGTCTAGGAAACGGAAAGTACTTCATCGCGAAATGCAAGAGCAGTAACTGCTTTTTGATGACCTTGATATTCTCGTTCCACAGTTCCTGTCGATACATTCCACAGTCTTGCTACGCCATCGGAAGAGGCTAAATTAAAAAAAGCATTTAAATAAACTATAAGTGGAATAACGCGAGGTTAAAGAAAGTACGTTATTATTACCAGTAAATATATATTGAGAATCTGCACTGAATGCAGCATCCCAGACCCATCGCTTCGCTTCATGCTGAAGCACCTGTATTTCAGAAAAATCTGTAGTTTTCCAAACTCGCGCGGTCTGATCAGCCGACGTGGTTACCAAGAGCCTGCACAAAAGATATTATACAACTTTTAGACAATGGTTCGTATAATAATATTCGTTTGACAAAATTGATTACGTTTTGCTTACGTGGAGTCAGGACTAAATTTGCATCGAAGCGCATAACGTTTATGCGCTGAAAGCTTACGACGAGGATTAAGACGCGTAGGTTCCTCACCGACACCACCAGTGAGGGTCCATATGTAACAATGGCCTTTGTTACTCACTGCTGCCATATATGTACCATCTTGATCGATCGCAATGTCTTGCACGGATACTTCAGCGTCTGGTATCTGTTGAAAAATCAATTATCCATGTAAGTTCAATTGAGATTGAAACTGAATTATTCGCTGTGTTACCATTATAGATGAAACTAAATATTTTAGCTGCATTTGATAAGTTTACTTTTTATTATAAATTTTCTACCAGCTGTTCATTATGATCCGACCGTAGATCCCATAAGTGTATTACGCCGCTTTGATCACCCACAATAAGTTCAGCTTGATTAGGGTGTAAACATACACAATTTACAGGAGCTGATACTTGAAATATCCTTTGACATTGGAAACTATTCGTCCTAAAATATTACTCTGGTTATTGTAATACATAAACATATTTAACCACCAATTAGTTAATTCAATTCTGATCATCTATTTTAACCTCATATCCCAAATACGGGCAGAACAGTCTTCACCTCCAGTATACATCCATTTACCCTCTTCCTAAACATAACAGGATGCAACATTTATTATAATAATAAATTTGATCATAAAGTTGATGGCAAATAGTAGATGGATAAATTATAATAGCACCTGAAAACCCAAGCCTGTAATGTTCTTTGATACTCCTTCATAATTGGTAATTGGATTTGGATTGTTTGAAACTAGATCATACATTCTTATGTGTTGATATCCAGCAGCAGCTATCCGGTATTTGTCTGGAGTAATATCTAAAGCATTAACTTGCTAAAAATAAAAAAGTTTCAAACATCTTAGCAGTTGATACACATTCTAGTATTGGATATTGAAATAATACCGAATCTGTGTGCTCTGCAGTACGTTGACAAACCCCTGTATGAGGTTGCCATATTTTAATAGTATGATCATAGCCACCTGTTACAAGGATAACTTGTTCGGTACTATTTGTACCGTCCCCAGTCATCGTTGAAACCTAATGTTCAGAAACTAATTTTGTTTCTTCGTTTTTTTATAGCAATTTTCGCTTTTGTCTATCACGTTATACCCTTTTATTTTGTTCCCTCTCGTTTTTGTCGCTGTAATCTTGATACATTTATCCTTGAAATCTTTTAGGTAAAGTTAATTACAAACGAGTTATTTTGCATAAAAGGTTATATTCTAATAAACAATTTCTACTACAGATCCAACAAGACTGGACATGCCTTTATTTTCGAGAAAACGAACGCCATCTGCTCTATTCTGAAATAAGATAATTCTCCCATGGGACTCAAGAACCCCAGGGAAAAAGAAACCCAGTCGGTAAGTTGCTGAGTAGTTTCCACCATTTTCGCATAGATGGTGCTAAGGTCGAATTTAAAAAATATTTTATGGCGGGATTTTTAAAATACAATCTCTACAAACATGCGATTCCAGGTTGACTGTTTGCTAAGAAAATAAATGTTTTATATAAAAGTATTTCTAGCGATCGTTTATTTAAATTTAAAGGAAATAAACAAGCCCTAATTCTGAATCGATAAATATCAACATTTTTTTGTAAATTTACAATTACAAATGATATTAACTTTTTTTTCTCTTTTTGTTTTGTTTTAACGATAATCAAACCCGAAAGAATTCCGATTGATTTTTTTTCGAAATGTTTGCAATGGCAGCACATATTACAACAGTATACATTATATTACAATATTTTAATGTTCATTACAACTAACTTATAGAAATATCTCGAGCGTATTGTTCATCAGCGAGCGTACAATGTATCTATCGATACCATGTAATATATATATATATATACTTACATAAAGAACCGAAGTAATTTCCTTCATGTTCGACCAACTATTTTCATTTTCTGTTTTTCCAATTTATCGAAAACAAAAGCTATTATTAACTCAGAAAAACTATAATTAACGAAGGAAAAACATAAAAGGTTGAATATAAGTTTTGAATTTAACGTGGTAAAAAAGCATGAAGGAAATCAAGATAATAATAGTTGGCTGATCTTGTTTTAAAACCCTGTTTTTCCATTTCACGAATTCCATTATCGTTCGTTCTTTTACTGAACCTTCTATACTCTCTTTAATTGGCAATTACTGATTTATCCTGTTGTTGTAGGTACATAACTCTCGTAATTATATTAGCAACATATTTTTACAATACTTTGTTACAAACGTAAGATTAGAAACCAAATGAACGTTCAGTAATTTCAGTGATCAATAATTATGATAAACGGAGTTTACAAATGATGTATAATGTATAGCATGTACGTACGAACATACAATCAGATGTTGGCGCATGAGTGTATACATATTTATATGATAAAAAACGTTAAATGAAGAATGAAATGTTGCTTTTCCGAAAGGAGTAATATTTACAAATGATATACAAAGTATGTTACAGTCTTTTCTTTGGTAAAGATCCAAAAGCAGATATTACCGTTGCTTTGGTGCCAGTCGCAGACGAGGTCAACGTGGTAAGAGTCGGCTGAGACAATAAAACGGTAGGCTTTACCGAAACAGTGGCTCCAGTTGCCACTTGATCCCATTTACTTTTCCTTTTCTTAGCGTCATCTTCACTCGTACTAGAACTATTTGGTCGCTTAGCTGTACCAGAAACAATTTCAATTTTTGTCTTCTCCTTCCTAGCTTTTTCAAGTTTATCCATTTCCGCTTTTTGTACCTTGGCCAGTTCCTCGTAATAAGAATCTTTACCCCATTTAAACGGATCAAACCTATCTGGTGGATAATTGGTGCCCAGCTCGTTGATGCTACAAAACTGAATAAGTTTTTCATAAATAGACGGATTTCTGAAATCCTTTCTTTGTTGTATAACTTTGTTCATGTCCAAACCGCCGCTCTCCATTTTCCTAAAAAGTTTTGTTATCTTCTCTTGTAATTCTGCAGGACACTGTCCCGGTGGCTCGGGTGGTATAGTGACGCCATATGGATCAACCTCATTATCTGAAACTAACTGTTCTCCTTGACAAGAGGGAGAGCGTTCCGTAATCGAGGAGGACCTTCCGTTTTCAAAAGGTTGTCCGTCGACCGGTATTTGCACCACTCCCTCCTCATCGGAGACTATTGTGTCATCAAAGTATGAAACCAATCTTTGCACCTTAGATGTTACATCTGTTACTAAGGTGGGCGCGTTCGACAAATCGTTACTAGACTTGCCACCGACGCTGGGAGCAACGACGGGACTATTTGAGGCTGATCTGCCAGATTTGGGACTGGTGAAAGCCTGGGGCTGACCGACTTGGGCATTATGCGGGGCGGCCCCCTGGGGAGTGTTCGAATTCTCCTGAAGGTCGTCTTCCACCCCGTCTTCGCCCTCCGAGTCGGTATAGGTGGCCGTGAGAGATGCCAGAGCAACACTTTGTACAGACATGGTTAGTTGGCTTTGAGTGTCCGCCGTACTACCAAGCAATATTTTGTGTTGGAACTCACCGGTCTAGCGTAGAGTCGTATGCCTTTTAGTTGTACGGCTTTTATGTTAATTGTGCCGTATAAATCAATGCTAACTATGTCCCAATGTTTGTGGAATGTCTTACTATACCGTATCTGAAATAATAACAATTAAAAAATGTACAATTTACCAACTAATTCTAACTGCACACTCTTAATTAGAATGTGTTAAAAATACGTTTCGCAAACTTCTTCTCGCTTTATTTAACTTTCGTGAACAATTTATGTTTATGAACGTATATATCTTTTTAATCTCAAAAATACTAACTTTCTATGATATCCTCTTAAGACTGTCATAATAATTATGCCGACAGCAAATCTTTTTCTTTAAAAGATATATTACAAGATTTATGACCAACTGACAAGTATAGTAGGTTATGTCGGTAGTGTTCAAAACTTTGCGTCACAACCACTACTAACCTGTTTATTCGAACCTGCAATCCTTTCGATTACACTATACCTGATTTCCCGTTCATTGCGATTAACTTACAACATTATATTCATGGATCAATAACTGATTTCTAAATCAAAAATGTCGAACGCTATTAACGCGTTTCGTGGCGTATTCTAAGTTCCTGAATCTTTTAGGAAAATTACGCTAATACGCGTGCGCCACAGTAATGGAATGTATATGTGTTACTATTGAAATGTTTAAAAAAAAATTATTAAATCTTGAATGTAACTTGCATTCCTTTTTTTATGTTTTGTCGATTTCTTTTTACTATTCTTTTGTTTGCTATTGATAGCCTCTTGACTTCATACATTGAATGAAAATGTCAGTTGTGTCGTGAAGTTACGTTAATCGCATGTCGTATTACAATTGTGCACTCTGTTGATCAACAGTCGAATTAAATCACCTCAAAAAAGAGTCCTGTATTGTATATTTATGCTACATTTAACGTATGTATATACATACAGGTATATATATTTTTATACATGTATATATACATATAGACTTTTCGTGTTTAATTGTATATAATCTCTTGCCTTAAATAAACAAATAAAATGTTTAATTTATAAACATGATAATTGAAAATTTTGTGGTTGCGCGCGCGGACGTATGTATACTTGATGTCACGAGAGTCCATAACTGCGAAAAGACCAGTTTTCGTTCTTTTCTGCGCATTGTCGCTCTGATTGGCGATACTTCCAGCGGAAGTGGAAAGCGATTGGCGGATCGCTTTCCCCCACCATCGCTGCGTTCCCCCACCATCTTCCAACCTACGCGCTTAGTTATGGACTCTCGTGACCTCAATGTATACATACATACGTCACTCGTAAGTAGTATAGGTAACAGCCACTCAATAGTAAGCGAACATAAGCGATGAGTTGGAGGATACATCTACTGTTTTACTGATCTTTAAGAAGCCGAGTGAAGCCGAGAAATCCACGTGTACTTTGACGTAACTTTAAAAAAATTGTTTCGTGATTTTCACGTTGTTTTAATCATGGTATTAGACTTAGATCTTTTCCGAAAAGACAAAGGTTTCGATCCAGATAAAATACGAGAAAATCAAAAGAATCGTTTCAAGGAAGTTAGTTTAGTAGATACGGTGATTGAGAAAGATAAAAGCTGGCGGCAGCTGCGACACAAAGCTGATAATTTAAATAAGTTAAAAAATGTATGCAGTAAAGAAATTGGAGAAAAAATGAAAAAGAAGGAGGCAGTGAATGGCGATGATAACGTCTCAAAAGATGTTTTTGAAAATTTGGAAAATTTAGTTGCTAGCGATTTAAAATCATTAACAGTTCCACAAATCAAAACTATTCGGAGTTTTATCGACGATGTTATTCGAACAAACGATAAAAATTTAATCTCAACCGAGTTAGAGAGGAATCTTGCTCTCAAAGAAATAGGAAATATTTTACATGAGTCTGTACCAATTAGCAATGATGAAGAAGAGAATAAGGTATATAAGAAAGTACAATGGCCTTTTTGTGTTCAAATTATATAGGTTTATCTCTATTGATTCCAGGTTGAGAAAACTTATGGAGATTGCACACAAAAGAAAAAATATTCTCATGTTGACTTAATACATATGATTGATGGTATAGATGGAGAACGCGGCACCAATATTTCTGGTGGACGTGGTTATTTTCTGATAGGTCCAGCAGTTTTCTTACAACATGCACTGATACAATTTGCTCTTCAGCGACTGTTTACAAAAGGTTACAAACCACTTTACACACCTTTCTTTATGCGTAAAGATGTTATGCAGGAAGTAGCACAGCTATCTCAATTTGATGAAGAATTATATAAGGTATAAAATTGATAATTATAAAATATAAATGTGTCAGTGTTAAATGCCTTTATTCAATGGTTTTGTTAAATTAGGTAATTGGTAAAGGCAGTGAACAAAGTGACGATAAAGAAATTGAAGAGAAATATTTAATAGCTACGTCGGAACAGCCGATAGCTGCATTTCATAGAAACGAGTGGATTCCTGAAAATGCACTGCCAATTAGATACGCAGGATTATCTACATGTTTTAGGCAAGAAGTTGGATCTCATGGACGTGATACTAGAGGCATTTTTAGAGTTCATCAATTTGAAAAAGTAATTCTATATAACTCTACATTTTCGATTATTTTAAAGAATGTAACGTGAATTTATGCATAGATTAATTACAAACACGTATGAATCATAGGTAGAGCAATTTTGTTTGACATCGCCGTTCGATAATAAATCTTGGCAGATGATGGAAGAAATGATTTCAAATGCAGAAGAATTCTACAAAGCTTTGGAAATTCCTTATCGTATCGTGAACATCGTATCAGGTGCGTTGAACAATGCTGCTTCAAAGAAATTAGACTTGGAAGCATGGTTCCCAGGATCAGGGGCTTTTCGTGAACTTGTGTCGTGCAGCAATTGCTTAGATTATCAAGCCAGACGTTTATTAGTCAGGTAAGAAATTATATAATCAATCTCAGTTTGAGATTTTAATTTTAATTTATTCCCGCTGTTAGGATAAAATACTATTATTTTAACATTTTGTAGATACGGTCAAACCAAGAAAATGAATGCCAGTACGGATTATGTTCACATGTTAAATGCCACAATGTGTGCAGTCACTCGTGTTATATGCGCGATCTTAGAAGTACATCAAACCGATACCGGTATCAAAATACCAGATGTTCTTACACAATTCATGCCAACAGAGTATAAAAATGATATTCCGTTTGTCAAACCAGCTCCAATCGATGAGACAGAAATGAAAAAACAAAAGAAACAAAAGGATATTATTCCTCATTAACAAAGTTGGATTATAAAATCAACATACATTCTACAGCAAACGAATCGTCAAATGAAATAAATGCTTCTCATATTTGACATTTATAATGTCATTATAATATTGTTTTTATTGACTGTAAAAAACATAGATTCGTAATTTATTGCTTGATCTGATGTCACAGATACAATACATGTACTTTAATACTTTCTATCTTCTGTTTGTACAATTACACATTTTAGACATTCGAATATCTAAAGGTGTATTCACGATGGCGCAATAAATAAAGCTTGGAGAGAAATAAAACATTGATTATAATCAAGTACCTTCGCCCAAGTTCGATTTAACGAACGACCTTTTCTTTTCTTCGGCTCTTCTTAAATTATTTAATACGGTATGCTCGAATTCCGCATCAGACATACTTTGATTTACCTATTATGCGATATTCATATGTTAACAATCTAATTTAAAAAGTAGTATGAAAAGTTACATTGTTTCGGACATACCTCGCTCTTCGTGAGATTAGCGATATTATTAACTGTTCGTTTGGGTGAGAAATTTGTTTGTTCCGATGTATCCCATAACTTCTGAAGTTTCAATGGATTCTGTGCCAATCCAATTTCCATATTTAAAGCCATTTCCTAAAAAGAAAAAAGTAACAATTTCGTCGTATTTAAAAATGGTGCATTTTTAATAACATGAAAACTAATACTTACTGCATCGTTTTTGTTTTGATACTCTACTAATGCTCTCCCTTTTTTAGTAGAGGAAATAACAAGAGCTGCTATATCTCCGTACTGAAAATAAACATATATTTATAAATAAATAGAACTGAATATGAATTATTGTAATTCGTCATCACGATGACTGAATTTCGTGCCTTTGATAAAATTCGGTACAGCGTATCGTAACTGTATCCATCGTTTTGATCGGTCTTCCATTTTATTTTTATTTTGTAGGAACCATTGACCTCACACTCTTTGCAAAATCCTTTCGCTCGTTCCGCAATTTGTTTTTTCATGAGCGCTATCTCTTCCTCTACTTGTTTTGATCCTTCTTTCTGTAGGCGTTCTATTTCAGCCTACAACATGCAAAACTCTTGCAATTACAATGATAGTTTAAAAAAATAATGATAGTGGTAAAATTCCATGATGTAAGGTATAACCTGTAATTTAGCTTTATCATTTTTAATATTGTAATCTGAATTTAAAGATCTTTTGTAAGCATCTTCTCGTGCTTCCAAGTCTTCCTTTAATTTTTTACGTTTTGCATCAAGCTCCTTAACGCGTAATCTTGCTTGATATTTGGCATTAATAACCTTGTCATATGCTGCCTTATGTTAAAAAAATAACACATTAATAAAAATGAATGGCAATAAAGCAAAAAGCGACAAGTATTTAGTTCTATTTACCCGAGCAGATGTGTCGGTAAGAATTTCCAATGCCCGTGACAATTCATGAAATAATTCAGCTGCTTTTGGATTATTTGGATTTTTGTCAGGATGACAAGATAAAGCCTTTTTACGGTATGCTTTTTTGATCTGAAATAACGTTTTAAATTAGAGAAATAATGCAAATATTTTTATTACATACACATTTTTCTCGTTAACCTGTATTGTGTAATACTTTAATTGATCCAATGTAAATATTCTATACCTCATGTGTCGAAGCTTTATTTGATGCACCGATTAATTCATATAAATCTGTTTCCATCCACGAATCCATTTTTAATCAATATAATTTATTTTAAAGAAGTAAAAGCCAAAAAGAAATTCTTAGACGTTATTTTCTCAAAAAGGTTAATTTCTTTATCTCATGCCCGGAGAGCTCTATTTATTTGGCCATCTATACAAAAACGGTAAAACTATTTGACAACTTATCGACCTATTTGAACTAGTGGCGGTATCAATTAAAAAGCATTATATGAAGTGTTTGAATACTAATGAAGTGTTTATCATTTTTGTATAGTATATAAATATATTTACATATAAAATTTTTTTTTATTTATTACACATCCTTCAACCAATTTAATAGTAAAGATATTCTCTCCATTAAATAATTTATAATATAAAACCTCTTTGGTTTTTGTATTTCCGTTTAAAAAGAAATCATTCATTTTATATTGTTTTAAATAATAAAAATATTTCAGAGGTATATCTTCACAGTACAATATCAATAATTATGTGTCCAGTTGTTAGTTTCTTGTTATCATTATTATTGTTACAAATATTTTCACCACGTAAAAAGCTGTTAAACATAATGGGAGGGTGGCATCATCAAATCTTGTAACACATTTAATTGCTCTTCTGTAAAATGCTGTGTATGTTCTTTCATACGTCTCCAACCATCATGAGTTCTTTTAAAATCATCAAGAGTTTTTTTAATTGTCATCTGTAATTTAATAATATTTTGTACATTAATTTTATGAACCATAGTTATTTCAAATTTGTTATATACTAACCGGTATAGGTTGTGGGTCAGCCATATGAGGACTAAGATGTTCAAAAATTGGAGGTATATATTTAGGTATGTCATATGGGTGAGCTTGAATGAATGCACACATTCCTATTACAGCTGCATGGCGGATACGTATGGCATCAGTTTTAACATTATTTTTTGTACCTTCTTTATTAGAACCCAAATGTTCTTTTTTGCATAATTTTGTTTTTGCTTTCTTTTTAAATTCATTCTAAAAACTCATAAAATATTACATCGATGGTCTTTAATTTTATAAAGAATCTTAAAAATATTTCACTATTAAACACTTACCAACAGACATTCTTGTTCTGGTATAAATGTACAATGCAACAGTCCACTAAGGACTTTACCAGCAGTTTTTCGAACTTCTACTCGTTCATCTTCCAACAAATGTAGAACAATGTCTTTGATACAATTAATCCATGTTGAATTACTTAACAATGTACCCATATTATAAAATACCCATGCTTGAAGAAGTTCTAAGCAAGCAGATCTTGTCCACCAAGATGTATGTTTCGACATTTTTTCTATTGCTTCCAAAACTATCGGTATATCACGTGGTAAGGTAAATATCTGAGCATATACCGCTAAAGCAAATTTGCATGATTTTCTTAGTTCTTCATCTGTCGCACAATTTTCTAGTTGATATATAATTGGAAATATTTGGTAAAACTCCGGTGGCAGATAAAACCGGGAAAAATCCATATTTGTAATCCAATTACAAACTGTTTTAAGTAATCGAATTGTGCTTTGCTTTTCTTCTTCACTTATTTTTGACTTGTTCGAATACTCGTTCAATTTAACGGTAGCTATTTGTACAGATAAAGTCTCTACTTCCTTATTTGATTTCATTACATCATCGTTAAGAAGAAGTTGTAATTTTGGAATTATTTTATCTAAGAAATCTTGTATTTGTGGTAATTGATTGCTTGAAGCATTTAAAGACCTCAACCTTGCACTAAATACTGTTACTAGAACAGAACTTAATCTTTCTCTCACATTTTCAAACGGATTTGCTAATAATCTATCTTCTATGTGCTTTAATAATCGTTGTAATAATTCCAAAACACGCCACGGCTGTTTGATAAGAACCGCTTGTAAAGTATAGAGACGTCCACATTCGATGAAAGACGACTCCGATTGGCCGAAACAAGCTTCTTCCATCAAACATTCCAATAACCAATGTTGTCTGTTCGGATCTCTACATTGCTGCGCTTTCGAAAAGCATAAAACCCAATCCATAATAGTTTCCGGAGTCAAATTAATTAAAGCAAGCCTTATAATTGGTAACAGAGAATCCCACATTTCACAAACCATACTAAACGGCCAATGTTTTGAACCTTTAATAATTCCAGCGATAATTTCCGCTGCACATCTTTGACTACTTTCTTGCTTATCTACCACTAATTCTTGTAAATGTGGTAGAAAGTGTTTTAAAAACACTGTTCCATGATTACGAAAAACACCTTTGAAAAGAAGGTACTTGTGAACATTAAATTTGTCTTTGTCTTTTTTCGTTTCAAGGCTGTAGAATTTGATGAGTTTTTTAATATTTTCTGGATCGTTAAAAAAGAAATTGATTTCTTTCTCGTGATCCGTTAATTGTCGTAAATCTGGATCTAAGCACGGTTGTTTGTTCGATGGTGCATATACTTGTATTTCTTTTGGCCACGTATAATACCCAATATAGGGCTGATGAATAAACCTAGGTTCATCCCATTGTTCTGTAGTCAAAGGACGAGTTTCATAATTATACTGAAGCCAAACATTATCTGGTCTTTGTCCTAATATAAACTTCTTAGATTGATTTTTTTGTGATTCATCCTTTTTCGACGACACTGGTAGTTCAATAGTTATCTTAAAATTCAAAAATTTGTTTTTTAAGTTATATCAAAGTCATTTGCAAAATAAACGTTTTTACTAAAGTGCTTTACCTTTGGATGTTTTCTTTTTTGTTGTTGCAACATGCATGTAACTACTCGAAAAGCAATATTTCTTTCGCTTAACGAATCGTGTATTAATGTTCCGACAAAGTAACGGACTACATCCGGTGGATATATTTGTTCTGGATGAACCAAATGTCGAATAAAATTTAATGCCATTAAACGATGCCTCCAATGCAAATTTGTTTCCACAAGAGCACTTAACAGATCCGTTACTAAACCTTTGTAAGACGCCACATTAGATTCATTGAACGTTTGCATTATTTTTAAACCTTCTATGATTTCATCTTCGGTAGGTTGAGATAAATTAGGTCGTGGATAAGTTTTCCATAAATCAGGTGCAATTTGCAAACATGTATTCGGCATTTCATATGTAATAGCAACCGTTGAAAACTGATTGTTTATAAATGTTACTAAGTCTTTCTTTAAGCGTATTATAGATAATTCTTCGGATGGTTTAGAAAGCACCAGTGCTGACCATGAAGCTCTCAATGTATTCCAATCGTGTTTCATTAAGATAGGGGTTTCTTGTGAAATAAGTAAAATGTGTAAAACACCCTATTAAAAAGAAAAGAATAAAGTATTAATGAATGTTATCGGTAAAAATTAGTTATCGTCATTGACATTGTTATTACTGTTGTTACCTTATACGCATCCTTATCTGTTTCCGGATCCTCTCCTAATATATCAAGCAATTTTGGAGTAATAATTTTCCAGGAAAATGAGAAATATTGAAAAGCACGAGAAAGAATGTATTGAGCTTGCCATTGTACACTAGCGTACCTACTAGTGGCCAGTGTAAAAAGTTGTAACATTATTTGCTTATGAGTTTCTGTTAAATTAACAATTTGTAGATATGAACGTGTTACATGCTGAGTTTCTGCACGCAACAATACGCAAGCCCCTATCACTCCCTTTTTTTTTACTAACTTATCCTCCATTACTCTACATGTACTTTTAAGATCTTTGTACCTTGACCTAGTCATATTAAACAAAGAACCTGTTCCAAATAACAGGCTAGCCCAAATCTAAAATAAAAATTCTTAATTTGTATAACTTTATTTATTAATTTGTTACTTAAAATGTTATATTAAAATAAATACCTTTATCAAAACACGTAAACATTTCGTGATACCCTCTGGATTCTTAAGTATTACACTTTGTAATTTATTCATGAGCGTTGCAATATAACGTTTTACATTACTATTATCTAGCATTAATATTTCTTCCTTTATGCCAAGCGTTGGTATAAAAGGTAGCCACTTTGAAGATGACTTCACCAAACTCAATGGTTCTTCTTTCCATACAGGTAAAACAGAATCACAGCCTTGGATAATGTTGCACACGATATTTAAACTGATCAGTAATTCTTCTCTAAAATTGTATATTTATTTATTGTTTGATCATAATTTCATTTTGCCTATCTTTAATAAATTTATAGAACATCATGAAAGTTTCTAAAAACTTACCTTGTTAATTTGCTGCAATCATTACAGTATTCCTCTAATTTATTTACTTCAGGCAATAAATATTTTAAGAATATTCGATTTATTACAGTCATTTCTTCTTTGCCAGGAACATACCACTTAACACTTAAACTATTAATGTCCAAAATTTGTCCCCAGTATCGAATTCTATCGGTAGATTCGAAATGATACGGCGTCATGGTAGATAATGAGCGAAGAATAGTATTTAACAACATACAAGCTAAATCTCTTCCGTCCTTTGATTTTAAAATTAGTACATGATCAAGAACGGCCATCAGTGTATCTATATATGGTAGTAAATTGTTCCCTGTTGTATTAACAGTTGCAGATAACAGCAACATTGCGTGTAAAAGACGTTCGTCCAAATTGTCTTCTTTAATAATATCTTTATTTTCTCTTGTGATACTTAAAATAGTTTCTGAAAGTACAGGTAACAATACGCGCAAAGTTTCTTTGCCATTAACTCGAGCGAATACTCGACATAAGCCACCAGCCAGCTGTCCAGCAACGTTAATTTCAAGTATACGCTCAGTGATAAATTCACGTAATTTATATAAAGCACGTTCAAATATTGTATCCTTAATCTGCATTAATAAAACCACGCACACATCGTAAAGTACATTTTCTGTGACTTTCTCTAATTTACTTTTTTTACTACCAGATGAATTTTCCAGTCTAACTGATTCTAAAGAACTGTAGTCTATAAAAGAGAATATTTTGTCAAGAAACTGCAAAATAAAATCTTCAAATCCAGAGGCTACCTCATAACTGAGTGTTTCTTCTTCGTCTGTTATTGTGGTCGCCTTAGAGGAATCCACAATAGGTATAAAAGAAGCATAAACTAAAATAAGACGAAAAGTAAGAAAACACTTTTCTGGATCATTTGGATCAATATTAGGTAATAATAAAGAAAGCAATGGCAATATGTGTGTTGGTCCTTCTAAGTACGTATAATCTAAAACAAGAAAAAGAAAATTGATAAGAATTTGCAAAGATTATATTAGGTAATATAATATAATGGAAATATAATTCACACCTTTGTTTACATTTTGAGAGCCTTCTGCCATTGGTCTAGCTATAGCTTCCATACAAATCAATGTAGCAATCATCTTATATGATTCTGTTGTAGGGGAGTCTAGTGTAGAAGATATTCTATCCAAAACATGTGGAATAACCAAACTGGGCCTCATACTAGCAAGGTATTGCAACGCTTGAAAAGCCTCGTTAATACTTAACTTGTTAAACATAGCTGTCATTGTTACTGGCAATATACTTTTGACAAATGCATCAATATCACTGTCAATTAATTTGTATTTTTCAGGAACAGGTGTCTCCCACGTTAGTTTTGCGTATCGCTCTCTACAATATAAGTAACATACATTTAATACTTAAAAAGAAAAGATCTTAAAAATACATTCTAGAAATTGCATTGATTTTACCTGTTTAAACGTGTAATAAAATAAAATGAAAGTTTTAAAAGAATTTCTTTTAATGTTCCTAACCAACAACCATTATTTGCAGGATGAAAATATGTTTCTATAGTTTTCAAGAACTTTTCGAGATACATCTGAGCACTTGAATTATTCCCCTAAAAATATTAGTAGACAAACAAAATAATGATCAATTCTTTCGAGTACATTTTTCATTCATTATAAAATCTTACCAAAACTGCTACTATCCATTTTGCTATAGAAGTTGCGTCTATTTCATAATATTTATATTTCTGTAATTTATTATACGATACTGGTAATTTTAAGCCTTGCATAAATCTAGTGAACATCAGTGGAATATATGGCTCCCACTCAATATATCCAATGTTACAACTAGCTAATGATGCCATTAAATCCATTATTTTAGTTTCCCATTCTGGGATATTATGATAAACTTCCCATAATGTCATAAATTCATCAAACCACAACTGATATCCCATTGAGTGGTATTTAGGTGGTAATTGTACTGGTAAAAACCATTGTAGTATTTGCAAACTTTTAGACATTGTTGAAACATCAAGAGGGCATAGAGTTGGCCTTAACTCATCTAATATTTCCTGTGTTGCACTTAACTATCATAGACAATTAATTTTAGATCCTTCATTAATTTATTTGAAGAAAAGTATTTACTTACAGGGAAATAAACCTTTGCACAGTCTATAAGAGCTATTATTGCAACCTTATGAACAGAGCTGAAGCAATACATTTCTGGACGACTTTCTCCTGTTTCCATCATGTGAAGACTTATTTTATAAAGTGGTTGCCATGGAAGTTCTAATTCACTGGGAGATATTAATTTCTTTCTCCTACAAATATTAAAAATAATAAACTTAGCTTTCACAATTTTAAATATAATTATATAAATTTATATATAGAAGTTGAATTATACTTACACTAATAATAAAATTAATGTATTAAGACATTTTAAAGTAGAAACTGATGGTATTTCTGGTACTGTAACCAATTCAAACAGTAATTTTATGAACAAGATGTGATCTTCTTTACTAAATTTTAATCCATATAACTTTATGTAACTATAACAAACATAGAAATTCAAGTTAATGATATACAGGATAATATGATTTTTTATAAGAAGTGTTTTAATTCAAAATACCTCATAAATTATTGATTTTTTTTACACTGTAACCAAATACTTTTTTACACAGAATATTTCAAAGAATCAATCTTTGCAAAACAACAGTATCACTCATTTGTTAAAGATCTGTTTTTTAATAATAATTAAGTAATATAAAGATATGTACTCACTGCCATAACTTATTAACCCATACGTAACAACCTGGCCATACTTCATGACACATAACAGCTCGTCCTAAATTTGCTTTAATCTCGGCTAATAAAGTTTCTGATTCTGTTTCTAAATCTTCTACATACGGCAGCAATTTATTGTATATAAACTTTTGAAAGTGAATACTTTCTAAATTTTTATAATTACAAATGTGGAAAAGATCTTGAACTTCGTCCATGGTTACTTAATGATTTATTATCAAAAGCACAGCGGATACAAGTAAATGTATGCTACGAAAGAGCGCACAGTACAATGCAAAATCATGTATGACAATGTATGTTATTGAATCAACAACAACTTGCTTATTCTGCTTCTTCGTTTTTATTAAGTCATGTTTGGCATTTCACGAAGCCATATTTGACATACCAATTTTATAAAGATGAAACAAAAAGTTACTACTTACTTATTTTTATCGCTATATATTTATAAAAAAAAGTCTTGTATCGATATAATAATTGTAGCAGGTAAAGTTAATGGTATGTACAATAATTAAATTTAACATCTTCTGTTTATTCTTTGATGTTTTAGAAACTATTGTATGTATGTATGTATTGTACATATACCGCAATTCTCCAGAGTCCATAACTGCGAAAAGACCAGTTTTCGTTCTCCGCGCATCTCCAGTACGCATCTTCGCCCTGATTGGCGATATTCCCAAACGAAGTGGAAAGCGATTAGCAGAGAGCTCGCTGCGTTCCCCCACCATCTTCCAACCTGCGTGTCGCAGTTATGGACTTTGGTGAACTGCGGTATATATCATCACATATCATTATAACAAAATAAACGAAGCAGTAATGGAAACACTAATACTATAAATTACTAGCAATATAACAACACATTATCACATGTATGTACATACCAACATATGTATGTACATACATACATATATGTAATTCATACAACAGTATTATTACTAGGAATATATATGTCACATATAAACATATGGCGGTAGTCGTAAAAGCTCGGTTACAGTTTTTAACAACTTAAAGACAATGAAATGTTAATTCGTTATCTTTTATGAAATCTATTTTATATGAATTAATATATTTCCTTAACTCATATTATTTAATTGTAAATAATGAAGTTTTTTTAATGAAAGATTAGTGTATAATCTGTAAATTTGTATTTTATTCCAAACCTAAAATATATTTAGTTTTTCATTTATCTTAAGTGTTATTAAACATTTTGTTTAATACTAAATAACGCTACGTTTTAAGTAGTAAATGTACAAACATGAGAACTAGGAAGACATTAGCAATTCTTGGTGCAGGTTTAATTCTTATCTGCTGCATTATGATGTATTTAATGATGGATCTAGCACTTTTTCCAACTGGGCAAGGATCTAAACTTTCTGTTAATGATGTAAGTTCATAATAAATATATATATGTATATAATAAATAATGAAGGATGAACAAGTAAAATTATTGATAATCTGTTATTACATACTTTCAGAATCAGTGGTTACATTTTGAAAACAGACTTGCAAAATTAGAAAAAGACATTAATAAACATCATGAAGTTATCAATGCTTTACAAGAAGTGGCAGAAGCAAAAAATTTTGTTCCTGTAGTTCACTCTATAAATCGTCATAATCAATCTATATCCTCTAGTTCCTCTCATTTTGGAAAGGTACTTAAATGTAATTTTAATATACAAAAAGTACCAGAAGTAGATATACAAATGTTGGAGATGTACAGACAATTAGAATTTGATAATGTAGATGGTGGAGTTTGGAAACAAGGATGGGATATTACGTACGATGAAAAGCAGTGGCATCCAAATAGAAAATTAAAAGTCTTTGTAGTTCCACATTCTCATAATGATCCTGGTTGGCTCAGTACTTTTGAGAAATATTATACATTTCAAACTCGTAACATATTAAATAATATGGTAACAAAATTGGCAGAAGATAGAAGGCGTAAATTTATTTGGGCTGAAATATCATTTTTCCAACTCTGGTGGGAAGATCAATCTAAAACAATTCAAAATTTGGTTCGACGTTTAATTCACGACGGTCAACTGGAAATTGTGACAGGAGGATGGGTTATGCCAGATGAATCTGTTTCTCATTGGTTTTCTCAACTTACACAACTTACAGAAGGTCATCAGTGGTTAAAATACAATATAGATTATACACCGAATTCAGGATGGGCTATTGACCCGTTTGGTCTTTCCCCGACTATGCCGTATCTTTTAAAAAATGCAGGATTGGAAAATGTACTGATACAAAGGGTTCATTATTCAGTTAAAAAAAGACTAGCCAGGCATAAGCAATTAGAATTTCGATGGAGACAGTTATGGGATAATGACGGATCAACAGAAATATTTACGCATGTAATGCCATTTTATAGTTACGACGTGCCACATACTTGTGGGCCAGATCCAAAAATATGTTGTCAATTTGACTTTTATCGACTACAAAGTTTTGGCTTAAGCTGCCCATGGAAAATAGCTCCACGAGCTATAACTAAAGCTAATGTTGCAGAAAGAGCAACTCTTTTACTAGATCAGTATCGTAAGAAAGCTCAACTTTTTAAGACAAATGTAGTGTTGGCACCGCTAGGAGATGATTTTAGATACACTCATTTTACTGAGTGGGATGCTCAGTATAATAATTATCAAAAACTGTTTGATTATATGAATCAAAATCAACAAATGAATGTACAAATTAAATTTGGAACATTAAGAGATTATTTTGATGCAATTAGAGAAAAACATAATTTAAACGAGTTTCCTACATTGTCAGGAGATTTTTTCACCTATTCTGATAGAGATGATCATTATTGGAGTGGATACTATACTTCAAGGTACATTTGAAAACAATCTAATAAAAATTCATTACTTACAGATATTTATTAAGTATATTTTAGGCCTTTTCATAAACGATTAGATCGTGTATTGCTGAGTTTATTAAGAGCATCGGAAGTACTAACAACTATAGCTTGGACCAAGGGTAATGATAACTTAGTGGAAGGAACTCTCGCACAGCGTCTAAGTAAAGCAAGAATGTGGCATTCTTTATTCCAACATCACGATGGTATTACTGGAACTGCCAGAGATGAAGTAGTTATTGACTATGCTAAGAAAATGATAATGGCCTTAAATAATTCTGCTCATGTGCTACAGCAGTCTGTGGTACATTTATTAAAAACCCCACAAGAATCTCCTGTTGACACGGATGCTGTTTATATTTCACTGGATGAATCTAGGTGGAAGAGAAATTTTTCATAAATTTCTAAAATCTGAAATTGTTATGTATGTATTGAAGCTAACAAATTTTCCTTTTGTCTTTTAGATTACGTCATACCAGTGCAGGGGATAAATACGTACTTACCTTAGGAGATGAAACTCCCATGAAAAAAGTTATTCTATATAATTCTATTCCAAGACAAAGAACGAAAGTACAAACATTAGTTGTATCTACTCCGTTTGTTAGAGTTACGGATCGCATGGGACAACCGGTACAATGTCAGATTTCTCCAATTTGGATCGGCCCAGCAGCATTAACTGTTGCCAGATATGAATTATCATTTTTAGTTACCGTACCTGGATTTGGTATTACAACGTACATAATACATGCTCTGCCCACATCATCATTTCCACGGTACGATATTTTTCAATCTAAATATCGTTATATTTTGTGTTAGTTATTCAACATTTTATTCTCTGCTATACACAGGGAGGTTCATCTTGCAAATGTGACTGTTTTCAATACAGATATAATCCTTCCAAAAATACTAGGTTTCAATCAAATTCAAGTAATACCTAATGCACAAGAATTTTCGATCACGCAACGTCCAGAATTGTCTGCATCTTTTGGAAAATCAGGACTTTTAAAAGCTTTAAGAGTCAGTAACACGACAGTTCCTGTTCATTTAGAGTTTGTTAAATATAGTACCAGAGGTTCTGGTAAAGATAAAAGTGGAGCCTATTTATTTTTACCTGACAAACCAGAACCAGATTTGGTGTTTATGGACAACAAGTGTATCATACACTTAATAAGTGGACCTATCGTGTCCAAAGTATTTGTAGAATTAGCATATGTACGTCACACTTGTACATTATACAATTCACCTGGTAGCGATGGTCTTGGGTTACATATATTTAACGAAATTAATATATCGGAAACGCAAAATTATGAACTTGCTATGAGATTAAGTACAGATATAGCTTCAGGAGATCAATTTTATACAGATTTAAATGGGCTTAATGTAAGTAGCAACATGTGAAACATTATATGATCAACGCTTTAAATAATAATTACTCCCTAGACAATTAAGCGCCAAAGATTTCCGAAACTTCCTACTCAAGGAAATTATTATCCAATGGCAGCAAGTGCTTACATAGAAGATGAAAAAATTAGATTAACAGTAGTAACAGCACAACCATTAGGTGTAAGTTCCATGGCATCTGGACAAATTGAAGTATGTATTTATTATTTATTATAATTTATCTAATTATAAATTAAATAATACAAAAATTGTAATATTTGAATATAGATTATGCAAGATCGGAGGTTACTTCAAGATGATAATAGAGGTTTGGGTCAAGGTATAACCGACAACTTATTAACAAATCATTTATTCACGTTTATTCTTGAAAAGAAAAAACCTTTTTGTACATCTTCGTTACCTCCAACAAATCACCCAGCAGGATTATTATCGCTACATGGCCATTTAGCATCAGAAGAACTATTACACCCAATAATTGCAATGCATCCACATAATTCTTTACCATTCGACTTAAATGCTTATTTTTCGCCGCTCCGCTATGATTTTCCTGCAGATTTAAATGTTGTCAACTTCCGAGTATTCCCCATTCCTGAAGGAGCAGGTAAGGGTATTGGGATGGTATTACATCACGCAGCTGTTGATATGTGTTGGAATAACAACTTTTATTCACGCCATTTCAATATTTCTGAATCAGTAGAAGTTGATTTAACAAAGTTTCTCAATTATATAGATGACTGGATTATTAGTAAAGCTCCTCTCACATTTCATAATGTAGGACCATCTTTGAAATCTCCTATTGTCAATTTATGTCCACACCAAATATTACCAGTTTTATTCCATAAAACACAGTCTTAGGTTAAATAATCTAATATTTTGTTGAATTCATTTGGCTTCACTTTATAAATTTACTTAAAATAATGTAATGTGCTTCATCGGATATTGGTAGACTGGTCTTATCCAATTTGTAACTGTAACAGTATTAATTAATTGAAAAAAAAAACAGTACATGTGATGTTGTGGACAACATAAGCATTTTATAAAATTAACAATATAAAACTATTTTTATTTATACAAACTACATTTAAGTCTAATTGATGATATGGCTATATACATATGCACTCTATACATTATATAGTAAACTAGCCTAGTCTTTTCATAATTTTTACTGCTTTATATTTTAATGGTACATATTTATAATCATAATTCTAAGGAGCTACATGGTTCTCTTAATAAGGATTAATCAAACATATTCTACATATTCTATTATAAATATTAAAAGTCCTGTACTAATGTTAAAAGTGTAAATAAGTTTCTTGTATGTTTCTATTATCTGTTAATTATGATTTATGTACATAGTCATTAACTTATAATTTTGTTATCATAGCTGCAAGGTAAATGTTATTACCCAAGAGAATAAAAAAACTGTACAGCCGATGGATTATGTTTAAATACAGTTAAAACTACTTTACGCATTTTGTTTTCCAATGCCATAGATTCAAGAGCTGACATCATGAAATGACCAAGCCCTTTTCTTCTTATTACAGATTCCAACTGTATCTCATAGCTGTATTAAAAAAAGAAATGTATATTTATTTTTTTATAAATTCTTAGACACATGTACATAAAATTCACATACCAATATAATACTTCTTCTCTATTGTCTGTATCAAATCGAAAATGAGAAAATCCAAGATATACATTATTAGAAGAAGCTATTAAATACCAAGCTGCTGGCTCTGTTAATTCTTTTTGTTTAGCAATTGGATCCCACCCCCAATCACACTGCTCATACAGAGATTTCATATTACGTTCCATAATATCAAATATCCAAGATTTGCATTCCGGAAGCGCATCTTTGGCTCTCATACAAGATAGTTCAATAATTTGATTATCTTTGGTTGTATATTTATGAAAATCATTTAAAGGGTCTAAAGGATTTGTCACTGAATTTGCTTTATCAACCAATTGTTTAGCAATAGCTTTTTTCTCTGACAAAAGTTGACGTCTTGTTTTTCTTTTCTACATAAAAATGAATAAATTATAATTTAAACATCCTAAAATAAGTACTACAGTAATACTAATAATAAATTGCCTGGTCATTTTCTATTACGATATAATATTTTCATCGCATAATAAATAAAGATAATACCTTCATGATAATTATAACAACGTTTCCGAAGATGTTCGTCTTTCAAGTTGTTTCAAGTCCCACAACCAATACACCGCTATGCAAGTTTACGCCAGTTTAGTTTATACTAAAATTACAGGAACAGTATATTTCCCGCGCATTTTAAGTAGTATGATTTTATATAAGTTATAAATCAAATTGAATCATTCCAATATTTATAATAAATAATAACAAGTTAAAGTTTATATAATTAATCTTATATATTTACATATATGTACATACACAGTAAACTATAGTATTACAACAAATATACAAATTTCTCTACTACTATTTATATAATAAGTATGTATATAAATATATATAAAATACATACACATAAATAACATAAATTATAAAATAATATTTTGTAGAATCCTAAAATATAGGATATAACTTTGTGCAGTAAATGTTTGTATGATTCAATACCCTGAAGGGCCAATGTATTTCACATTGAGTCAATTTATTAACAGAATTAATCATATATATGCCGAAGACAACACTATAGATTGTGTGTATCGTTGCATGATTAAACATTATGTATGTATTAATATTTCGATTCTAAATACCTGAAAAAAAGAAAATTACGATTTAATTGATAAAATATCTTTATGTATATAAATACATATATATATACATATCTCAAGTGTTCTTACAAATCACATTCAAGAATCCAGACTTTGACATCACGGATTAATTTGAGACTATTTCGACGAGCTGTGGCAACAGATGTATTTTGAATTTTATTGTTAGTGTCTAAAATATGTTTTTACTACATGTATTACTTATTGATAATTATGTATAAGTTGTTTTCTTTTATTTCTGTTAACATAGGTTAAGTTCCATTATTATATATTGCGTCTTTTTATTGCTGTTTATAAGCAGAATATTTTTAGTAAATGAATACACAACATGTACTGGATGAAGATTCATTTTGTAATGAACAACTGTTATAAATATTTTTGCTTGTTTAGTAAATATTGCATAACTTATTTTATTACTTGACGTTTCAAACTGTTATATTCTGCTGTATTACACCAGTATATGTTTTACAATGAAAATAATATGTTTTAATAATTATTATCTTCATTTTATTTCAGATATTGTAATTAAACGTTGAGGAATGGCTGAAAATGTTACTGCATCAAATGCAGAGGAAAAAGCTATTTCCTCAGCTATGACACAATGTTATGAAAATTATATTATAGTTGATGTTGGTGCCAATCTAACGAATAAAAAATATAGCAGAGATTTAGATAGCGTAATTCAAAGGGCAAAGGATGCCGGGGTACAAAAGATTATGGTAACAGGTGCAAGTATTCGTTCTAGTAAAGAAGCATTACGGTTAACTAGGATATATCCTGGTACTCTGTATTCTACTGCTGGAGTACATCCTCATGATGCAAAATCATGGGAAAATCCCGATACTTTGCAAGAACTTGAAAGTATAGCTAACAATCCAGAATGCGTAGCAATAGGAGAATGTGGTTTAGACTATAGTCGTGATTTCTCTGATCCTGAAACACAGCGTGCTGTATTTCATAAACAAGTAGAACTTGCATGTCAGTTAACTAAGCCGCTTATAATACACGAAAGAGGCGCTCAAACAGATGTCTTAGAAGTATTGAATCATTATAAAAGTTGTTTACCACCAGTTTTAATCCATTCGTTTATTGGAACTGCAAAAGAAGCACAAATTTATTTAGATCATGGATTTTATTTAGGAATTACAGGATATTTATGTAAAGATAAATCTGATAGTGGAATAAGACAACTATTGGAAAGAAGACTTGCACCCTTAGAGAGAATATTAGTAGAAACAGACGCCCCATTTATGTATCCGAATACTAGAGCCAGTAAATTACCTGTACACGTTAAAGATGCTCTTACCGAACGATCCATGACGTTTCTTCACCGTTACTGTACTTTTCAACGTAACGAACCGTGTGCCTTACCAGCAATAGTGGAAATGGTAGCAGCATTTATGCAAATTTCTCCAGAAGAGGTTGCCTTGGCTACTGCTTTTAATGCTTTAAAATTGTTTGGTTTAAATCAGTAATATTATAATCATTTGTTATTATAAAAATGGTGCTACTTGGTGCTATTTAATATTTTCATTATTTTGTCATTGATACATTGTCTCCTGCCATATTCAAAAATGTACGTTATTTGTGAATTTATTGAAATAGGTATACCTTTTATAATAATCATAACATCAATATATTTTACTGTCAAGGAAGAAAATGTGGAAAGAAAATATAAAACTTGATTTATATATTAATAGATATTATCTATATGTGTTACTTATATACTATGTTTATAAAAATACTCACTGATATATTCAAATTAGTATATAAGGGATTTTACTTCTTATTATGTAATAAAAATTTTGTAGAAGTATGTATAAAATACATATAGTCCAGAATCATACAATTTTATTGTTGATGTTATAAATATTTTCATATAAATAAATTGTTACGTGAACAATTCACTACAAACTTTTTTAATATTGAAAATCCTAATTTTAGCGATATCAGTAATATTTTGGAATACCTGAAATATTACATTTTGATTTGATAGTTTGTTGTAGATATGATACTTTTTCGTTGTTAGGCAAAACTTTCCATAAGTATGGATTTATAACAATAGTGTAAAATCCTTTTAATGTTTCAATTGCTTTCAATTCCATCTTTACTGTGCTTAACATATTTCGTTTATTAAGAGAATATGCTTTTTCCGGAAATGCCAAAAAAAGAATTCTGTAAAAAATTAATATATTACATACACATTACTATTATTATTATCATCATCATTACAGTAAAATATTCTTAAATTATATAAAAGTGTCTTACTTGTAACATTCTGATAGTGATTCTAACTCTTCAACAAATCTGATATTAGCATTGTAATTGCTAACATCCATAGGCAAACCATTTGGTTGTATGACAACAACATAATCTAAAATAACAAAAGTAACAAATCTAAGTTCACATTTCTTGATATCAATGTTATATTATAATCGTTTTATTACTTATTTACTTCTCACCAATAAATTCACCAAATTTTGTTGTTAAACCACTCATTATGCAGTCAGCACCTCCTAATGCTTCTTTCAAATTTTCTAATAAGGAAGGAACTTCATCTCTCTTGTAGTTTATATTAATTTGATCTAATACATTTTCATATAGTGTAACTCCATTATATTCAGGGCAAAGTAGTTTAACACACCAATGTAATTTTAAAATAGTTAGTATAATTTGTTCATTCCTTAATTTCATTAAATGGGGTTGACTTAAAGTAAAAGCTTTTTCAACCAATTCAGGGCAATAACAATTCAATGACAGCAAACGAAAAGCAACAGATACTGAATTCTGCGCTGTATAATCGACATTTGTAACAAAATTGAGTAACATTGTTTGTATAATTTCCCAACTAGATGGTTTATAATCAGCTATGATAAAGCTTTTTATAAAATGATCTATGTCGAAAATGGTACACTGTTTTAAAATATTCCTATTCTCCACAAGTTTTTTTGCTAAATGGTCCAATAATGAAATATTGCTATGCCGCATTTTATTTAAACACCTCAGAATAAGTATATTCTGGTGAAAAGTAACATCATGTTTTATTATGGCATTACATAATCCATCTACTATGTCTTCACAATAAAACTTCATTTCTCTGTAGAAAAGATTAAAAAATAGTAATGAAAACGAATCAAATTAACTTGATCAAAGTACTCACTACTTACGCATTTGCAACTTTTGTAGAAATATAATTGAGTAATAGCTGTATCTCATTGAATGTGAAAGATTGACAATTGATTCTTATTTTATTTTTTATTTTAAACAGAAGATTTATAGAAGCTGAATTCATTTCAGGTAAAGTATACAATGCATAAAAAATATCTACAATATCTTCTAATGCTATATTTTTTTTACTTTTGCGTAAAATATTAATAATGTATAGTTTTGTTTTTAGATCGTTTATAACAAAAGAAAATTTGAGAGCTTTCAATAAATTATTACTTTCTTCATCAAGTTCAAGCAGTGCTCTTTGTTTAAAAACATGTGGCAAAGCGATAAGTAAAGATTTAATCAAAGGCAATTTTTCTAATCTATTTAATGTATTATATAAAATTATTATTTCCCCAATAGATAAATTATTCAAGGAGGCGGATATTAATTGAAGTAACGTTTGAATTAATACACTTTTAGGACTAACATTAAAAAATAATAGAATTCGTAAAATTCGTATCATATCATACATGTGTAAGGACCTTACATTTTTATGTATCACTTTACATACATGTACAAATTCTTCAGAATCTTTTATATTCATACAAGATAATTCTTTATCATTGTTAAATGTAATTTTTAAAATATTCATAACTTTAATAGCCTCTTTTACATCCATATTTTTATCATTTTGTTGGATGTTTTTAATAATGGTTTTAAGACCATCATCTAAACTTAAAGGATTCAATTTCTTTATATCTTCCTTGTGCTTTTCTAATCCTTTACATTCCAAAGTATCTACAAGAAACATAGTATTAAAAAGTTTAAATACAAATTAAGAACATAATAAAATGTTTATTACCTTGTGAAGAATTTACATAGTTTTGTAATGTACTATAATTTGATAAAGTTGATAAATTACGTAGTTTTATTGAATCTATTAATAATTTTTGAATGATCTTTTTCATTGTACAATAAATTTATCACATTAATTCATTACAAAGAAATTATTATACGTTGAATATTATTCAATGCTTTGGTACAAAGCAAAAGCTAACTCGTGTATTATGCAGTATTATGGTGTATTTATATACTAATACATTTGTATATAGTCACTGCTAACATCAAATTTGTATACCGCAGTTCACCAGAGTCCATAACTGCGAAAAGACCAGTTTTCGTTCTTCGCGCATCTCCAGTACGCATCTTCGCCCTGATTGGCGATACTCCCAAACGAAGTGGAAAGCGATTAGCAGAGAGCTCGCTGCGTTCCCCCACCATCTTCCAACCTGCGCGTCGCAGTTATGGACTCTGGTGAAATGCGGTATATAGAACTGAATAACCTACAATGCTGTTCTTTTATAATTGATGAAAGTAACTGCATGATAGTTATTTAACACAAAAATTAAGTGGTAATTATTATTAATTAAAAGAGAATAACTGTTTGTATATATATATGCATATGCATATATACGATGAATTAAATTTCATCAATCAACGACCAGTTTGTTATTCATCAAAATGTTGACGTATGGTTGAAACTTTATATATCGCTTTTTTTACGTTAAATAATACGTTTAAAAATGTCAGATGAAATAGAAATGTTAGAAATAAGTAAATGTATCTTGTCGAAATTGTGGTATACATCTCTTGCTATTTACCAAGAAAATATTAAATGTAAATATCTCTTGCCTCAGTGTAATAATGATACTGTAGATTTTATTGAACCCAGAACCTTAATTACAAATTTAATGTAAGTATTTTAAAATTGTACGTGTATTAAAGTAGATTACTGAATATAATTTATATGATAATTGAAATTGATGTTGTTGAAAATGTTGTTTTTTTAGTCATTCGCAGAGTGAAAATGAACATCAATGGATTATTTATACATTATTACAGAAACTTATTGATAATGCAACTTTGGATATTAAATGTATAGAAAAACAGAAAAATTATATACAATGGTTACATGCTTTGTCTTTGTGTAAAAACTTGACAACACATTTGAAACAGGTATTTAATTTCATTGAATTATTACTTGTATATTTCTTTTACTGTACAATGTATTAAGTATATTCATAATTAATTTTGTTTTATATATTTCATAGGGGTTATTAATGTTATTAAGGAATGATTCAGAACAACAAAGTTTAGAAGTCTTTGAGAAGATGCATCATGAATATTTTATATTTTTGAAGCAGAATATTCATAACAATCCAACTATTACATGTTGGATTCTCAATGAATTATTATTACTCTATTGTAATACATCAACCAACATTGTTTATTCTTTACAAGATTTATATGTTTCTCTTATGAAAGAATTATTAGAATTAAAATTATCTAAACAACAATTGATAAGTGAAAATTCTTTTGGATATGTGTTATGCATCATATCAAAAATGAACATAATTGAATTTGATATAGATACATTATCAAGATCACTCTTTCCCATGTTGTTGAAAACTTGTGAAATTCAAGATGTTGAATCTGCATTATATTCAAGAACAAGTAGAACGTTTTTTAACAAATGGTGTACCTTCCTTAATGAAATTTATGCACATTCTGAAGCTGTTAACAATTTGAATGATGCATTGAAAATTCAAGAAGTATTGTTTCATTCTACTTCATTTATAAATAAAAATAAATTGATAGAAAGAGTAGCTAATATGAAAATACATTGGGTCATAGATATTTTGGTAGGTATATACAAATTCATAAGTTAATATTAAGATTATATGTAAACCAATACTTATACTTAATTTTTTTCATTTAGGATATTTGCTACACTTTAATAACAAATGGGAAATATGATAATGTTTCATCAGTGCTATCCTGTAAATTATTGAAAAATTTTTGGCCTGTTTTATTGTTCAGAGTTCTAAATGAATATTCTCAAAAAGAAATCCCTTTTAATGAGGATGAAGAAAATTACGACTGTATATTTAACTCAATTAATTTTTTAATATCGAAATACGATTTTGATGAATTATGTGACTCTATGTTACACGAATTGAAAGTTACTTTGAAAAAAGATATAACAATTTTAGAATATATTTTAAAGTGGACGAAAGAAAACAGTAAAATAAATCATTATAATCAGCTTGAGGAAGTAACAAAATCAGTTGATTTTCAACAAAAAGGTTCTGTAAAGTGGGTATTCAACCTTTTGCAGAATTTTAGTAGCCTTTCGGTGTTGAAGATGACAATAAATATACACGAAGATGATCACAATAAAATAAAGAATTTGTTGGAATATCTTTGTGAACCAAAAAATATCTTTTATGCATATTGTAGTATACTAAATGCTTTAAAAGCTATTCTGTTATGTGACAGTTATAATACAAAACATTATGCCATTGCAAAACACTTTTCTAATATGAGACATTATTTACAAACGTTACATCCACTCAGTTTGCGTATACAAGTTATAGAAAATATATTTTGTTTGCTGTTTTTACAACACGAAGATTTTGATCATATTCAAAAAACTTGTGATAAGAACAATATAAACACTTTTGCTGAGCAATCAAAATTTGGAAATAAATGGATAAGACAGCCTTCAATGGGCTTTGTTTGTAATAAATATGCAGTAAGAGATATACTATTTCATTTGGAGGACGTTATATCAGTTACAGAAATGGAATATACAAAAATGAAAAGTGAAAATGAATGTACAGATGAAATAGATCAAATTCAGAAACATATTTCTTTTATTAAGGAAGCAATAACTGATGCAAAGTGGAGATTAGCACTTTACACGAATTCACAGTTCACTGAAAATATTGATATTAAAGAGGCAGAGAACAGTTGTCTAGCTAAATCTAAAATTAAAATTCTAACAGATAGAAAATTAATTTCCAACCGTTCCAAAGATAATATACTTTTCTATCAAGAAAACAGTATCTCGGATGAAATAAAAGTTAAATCTAATAGTAGTTCCGAGTCAGAAGCAGTACATAATAATACTAGATGGCGAAAACGCTCTAGACATATACCAGCAGCAATAGAAGCTACAACAATAAAGGACATCACCCATAAGCTATCGTTTGTAAATTGTTTATTGGCATCTAAAGAAAGCCTGATTATACGATGTTTGTGGAAAAACGATTATGCAAGAGTTCAAGATATTATAGAGGTAGTTCCATTGATAAAGAAAACGTTTTTATATATTTCTTATTGCAGCTTCAAATGTATTATATGCATCTTCTTCAAATTCAGTAGGTTCATACGTAATAAATTGTTTTTCTTCTTCTTTATTTAATGTACCTGGAGAATTAAGTGCATAATATTTCTTTGCAAAATGAATTCTTTTTCTTGGAAAGCAAACGCCACAACGAAAACAGCAACAACACCACCCTACAGAGTAATACATTGCTCTTGTAAATTATGTCTGTCTGACAGTATGTTTGTATTATACATATACTTTACCTTTATGACACCAACAGGGAATTGCAAGACATATATAAATTAACAGCCACACTTTAATGATCAACCATATTTTTGATACTGTTTTTTTTACTATAGGTTTATCTTTTTCAAGTTCATAATTGTGAATGAAACAATCTATTGCCTTAATACCAAGTTTCTTTGATATTTCTGTACAATTTGTAAAATTAAATAAGTTCTTTAGCGTTTCTTCAGCTAATTCATCTATTTTTTCTTTAGTATCATTGAATGTATTATTTTTGTTATTTATATCTTCTACTATTTGTTCTTCATATTCTTTTTTGAACTTTTCATAATCATAGATTTCTTCATCTGGTTCTGTATTTTCAGTTAAACCATTTTCACCGCTAATTATATATCTTTTGAGAATGTTCTTAGGAAAGATTGATTCATCTTCACCTTCATTAGTATTATCATTACTTATTTTCCAAGAGGAGGAATCATATTGCTCATTATTATGTCTTACTCTATGGATATTTTTATCAATGTTTTGATTGCTCATCTTTTATAATCTGAAAGTAGATATTACCTGAGACTACATTTTTATTTGTGGATACAGTTTATTAATTAATTATTAGATACTTTATCTAAATCTTCTTTAAAACCTGCAATAAATGGTTTATCATTTTCTTCCATGTTAGAATTTTCCCATATATGTGGTTTTAACTGAATAAGTTCATTTATATGTTGCATTTTATTCACTGTTTCATGTTTATTATAATTGTCCACATACGAATGTAAAGGTTTATATCTACTTTCATCTTCTATATAAAATTTCAAATCTGCTAAATCTACAGGTTGTATCATTTCATTTTCGTCTTGTTCATCATAGTCTTTATTGTCAGATGAAATTTCAAATATTTTGTCATTCTGTAAATTAATTTTATATGAAATTGAAGAGTTGATAGAAAAATCATATATAACGGTAATTAAGAGATTATGTCATTTGTAATACCCAACTTTATATAGTGGTAATGAAATAACAGAAGCACTTAATAATAACAACCATGTAAATGATATTTTTTGTAGAAACATATTTGACTTCATCTTTTTTTATTTTCTAGACATCCAATATTAAAAATACTCAATTAAATGGAGAAGTAGAGTTTTCAAAAGCATTACACATGTTTAAAAAGAACTTGTATAAACAGGACAATACATTGAACGATAATAATCAATCCACGGAAAACTTACAGTCATCTACATTAGAGGTATGTCATAAATATGATCTTATTTTCCCTATAAGAACAATATTTCACTTGACAATTAATAATATGTTTATAGAATCTAAGATTAGTTACAAAAGAAGGTATACAGTCTTTTAGACAAACCAGCCAACTTGAAACTTTTTTGGCATCCCAGGAAATTAATTTACGAATGTTAACTATGGAAGTTCTTAACAGCAATGAAGTATTAACGATATGTGCATTAGATGTGGCTTTAACTATGAGCCAGATTTATCCTATTTCATACAATCTCTGTGAAGTTGCAATGAAATATTTAAAATTATGTAAAACATTTGACAATACAGAATATGCACATTTCTTTTTTACATTTTATCAATTACTATATGAAAACAAAGAAGTCTCTGTAGAAAATATATTGTGCGATGCAAAAATTGCATTGTCCAAAAAGGACTGCAAAGAGAAAGATGATTTCTGGAATGAAATTATGGTTAAACATCAGGAATTTAAAGAATCACAGGGAAACAAAAATATAATTAATAAAATTTTGAAAGATAGTAATTATTTACCAGGTTTAAAGGTACTTGGTAAAGTAGCTACTGTTTCTTGTGGAATTAAGAAATACGTACAAAATGTAAGCTCTCATTTGCAACTTTTGCACTCAATCATTCCAGCAGAACATGCAATCCTTACAATTTCTGATTTATTAAAAATTCCATTACATTATTACTTCGGTTATCAAATATTTGAATTGAAGGTTGAACCACATAAACTTGAACCAATTACTCATAGTTTACAAGTTAATTTAACTCACAGTATTCTTACAAATATTTGTCCTAAATTCTTTTACGAAAAAGATATAAATTATGCTACCATTAGCAAAGAAAGTGGATGTATCATTTTAAATAAAGCTTTATTTAAATCGGTATGTATCGCTTTTATAAATAATTTTACGCTGCGTTAGAAACATTATACAGAATATTTATAAAATAATTATTTTATTACAGGATATAAGTTATAGAATTCAAGGACCAAATCAATGTGTTTCAGAAATATTAATGGAATTGCTACAAATTTTGCATAATTTAAATATAGGTCACTCTCACTTGAGTCACGATATATGTAGGTCTATTTCTAAACATCCTGACGTTCAAGATGTATTAAAAAAAACATCTCGTCTCGTAAACTTAGACCTAAGTGAATTATCTGTGGGAGATGATACACTAACTTTCCTTTTGAATACATGGAATCTGATGTATTTACATGCTACTTTAACTATCTGGACAAATTATCCTCCTTTCAATAGTTTACAACATACTATCTCATTAATGTCTATTGGCTACTTAATTGGTGACTTAGGCCTAGTTACCCTTGCTGTACTTAGGTCAAAGTTATTAGATAATATGATGTTAGATAATACATTTTTTATACAAGTTGAAGAGCTTAATGAACCAGCATGGCAAGATTTGGATATCACTTACAATCCAGCAGTGGTTTTTATGATGTCTAATGAGTTTTATGGAACCCCTTGCATCAGAGTAAGTTTTTTCTTTCTTCATTAGTATCTGTCTTACTACCAATAATTAATTTCACAGGTATGCAATGCAGAATCATTAAATAAAGATCTAATTATTGCTTTTCACGAATATCTTGATTATTATTCATTAAGATCTGAGAAATCTATGCAAAACATGGAAACTCAAACAATAATGTTATTACCTGAAATTATGGAACGATATCAAAAATCCATTTCTAAAAGTCAAAGAAGTGATTCACATAATGGTAGTAATAATGATAACTTGTTCTCAATAAATGACTATTACAGATCATTTGATAAACATACAGTTGTTCAATATATGCCATCTTCCTACTTGTATAGTATATTATTGAAATATTCAAATTGTCCTATTGTACATCATCAAAAGCAACCTAATCAGTATAAGACCGTTTGGAAAACTCATATTATAAGGCCAAGCTTATTACAATACCTAGAAAGTCAGAGTTGGGTTATTTCCTACCTTTTACAAAGGATACAAAATGAAAATCCAACTATCTTGGAAAATAATTGTGATCATTTGAAACGTATTGCGTGTCTTGAAAATCTCTTGAGTTCATCTTGGATTGAAGAAATGAAAACCTTATTTGAAAATAATCAAACTCTCGCCGCTATTTTTGAGATAATATCAATAAAAAGATTGTGGTCACATTTTGAATCCATGTTGAATGAAAACGAATGGAACGCTTGTTTGAAACTTATAAATGCTTTGCCAAGTCATTTAGCTCTAAGCACAGAAGTGCAATATTTTAAAGACAAAGTTATCAGTTATATTGTTTCTAAAAAAGATAACGTGTTAAATGTAGAAACTTTACAATGTTTATATCAAATTAAAGATGTGTATACGTTAAATCAGACAGTACTGTATAACATCAATAAGTGGCACATATATGTCTGTGAACAGGCTTTACTCCATGCAGTGTATCATGTAGATAATGATAAATTACCTGTACACTGTAAATTTCAACTAAATGAAATTTTAAATAGAGTACTTATTTTTCACAAAATGCTTCCATATTGTGAAACTAAATCTAATGACAGTTGGTATGATATTGTTTACTGTACAGAAAAAATTGATCCATTGCAAATTATTAAGTCACTGATAAATGCAGATAAATTTGAATTATGCTTAGAATGGATGGAATGTCAAGCATTCTCTTTAGAAATACATCCTTCTATAAGAGAAGAGTTTCTAATTGGACTTTTAAAAAGTGAATCTCAAAATTTTAAGCAAACTTTGAAGGTAATTTAAAAAATATTACATAATGAATGTATTATAAGATATAATATTCATTTATTTATTACTAATTTATATATATTCATTTTTTTACAGTTTCTTCAAACATTACCTTTGGATCAATCAGTTAAACTGTGCAAGATTGTACTAAAGAAGTTAGAATCAATTGACTCGCTACAATTTATTTGTAATTATTTATTACAGTATTGCAAAGCAACAGAAACTATAAAATATCGAAGAACCTTATTAGGAATTGATATTTTAAGTGCATTAGAAGTTCAAGAAAGACCACTGTATATTTGTCTTATAAAGAAACCATTATTAATGTTAGAACAATTACTCATGAACTGTAAATTCGAAAATATTCAGAAAATATTAAATAAAATTCAAGATAAATTAGAACAGGTGGATATTTCAAGAAATAACTTTGACAAAATCATAAGATTTTATGCTAAAAAGTCATTGGATTGTCGCGTGTCTTTACATTGTGACACAGGTGAAAACAAATCAAGAAATGTACAATATTCTGCTTCAGAATCTGAAAATGCTGAATTTGTTATGCCTCTGTTAGTTCCTACTAAAGAAGAATGGGTACCTAATGATAAGGTATGTATCATTGATATTGTAATATGAAAATTTTTAAATATGTAAATAATTTAACTTTGTTTTCTTTTATGTAATAGGCTAGGAAATGCAGTTGTTGCAAAAACGTTATATTTTCGATGTTTAATAGAAGACACCACTGCCGTAGATGTGGTCGTGTTATTTGCGCAACATGCTCCCAACATCGTATGCAAGTTACTGGATATCCACCCTCTGTACTTGTACGTGTTTGTGACGATTGTAAACGGCAAACTGTTTTACAAGCACATGTCCTCCAAGGAACATCATCCACTCCAAGTAGCGAAGTATTTGATTATTGGCGATTGACAAGAGATGAAAAACATAATGAAACTATCCGAGAAGAATTTTCATTTGAATATGCGCCAAATATTTCTTTGTGTTTGGCTATTCTTAACTTACATTCTGATCACAAAACGTACACTAGGTAATAATTTTACTTAAATATAATGTTTTTAATAAGGTACTTTTTTAAAGGACATAATAAAACATATTGTTACAGCTTTTTATTAGATTGTTGCGATGAGATGAGGCGTCTTTTACAACCCGTTAGTAATGGAAAAGTAAGCCCTGAAGTGGATCATGTTGTAATTATTAAAATGATACGTTCCCTGTTGATTGCTGCAAAAGTTAAATGTGCCAAACTTGGTCTTAATACCGGATTAACACATTGTGATAGATTTTTGTCACAAGTAGATCTTATTGCAAGTCTTGTTCAGTCCGATTGTTTGCATCTTATACCTTCTGATAATTTAGACGAAGATGAATTTAGATGTACATTAAGAAAATTAAGAGATGTTCTAATTGAAAAAGAACAATGGACTCTTGCTCTAGATATAAGTACTAAAGCAGGACTGGACACGCAAGGTGTTTGGGCAACGTGGGGTAAAGCGTGTTTGAAAATGGGATATTTTGATCAGGCACGAGACAAATTTTTCCACTGTTTGGATAAAGTCCAATTCGAAAATTTTGACGATTGGGTAATTTTATCATATCCGAAAGACTCTGAAACTACGAAAAAAGGAGAAACCCAAAGATCAATAACTAAAACAAATAAAACTGATAAGGATGGAAATATTAAAATGGATGAGTCGAGCTTAAAGAAAACAGAATTCTCAAAAAATCGACCATTGAAAGATCCACCATTACTTACAGAAATTTTACAAATAATCGATAATTTAAATGTATACAAGCAATACGTGCACTATCCTCATCAGTATAAATCCAGTGCCTGTCAAGAAATATTAAATAATTTTGGAAACTATACAATGACGAGTCATAGGCAATCAAATCTTAAAAATATATTCACAATTATGCAGAACGTTTATTATCACGAAAGCCTTTATTATTTATTAACTTATGGAAGTTATAATTCAATTTTAGAATTTTTTTTGAAACACGAAGAATTTAACAAGTGTCTTACTTTTGCTTTACAAAATAATTTAGAAGCTGATTTATTTTTCAATGCAATTTATTTATATTGTTTAAGAAATGGAAGTGTTGAGAAACTCCAAGAAGCTATGATAAATAAAGATTCAAGTCTATTAATCTGGAAAAAGTATTTAATACATGTCTGTCACAGTTTAGAAAAGAAACAGTATTTAAATATCTTGTATCAGTTACAACTCTTTATGAAAGACTCTATAAGAGCTGCAATGACGTGTATTCGTTTCTACCTTAGCGAAATAACTAGTTACACCGATTTATGTAGTAGAGCACATTTTTTGCTCGATGCCCAAAGACATTTAGAATCTGAATTACAACTTGACAACTTGAATCGGAAAAGAAAAAAAAGCACAAGTTCCATGCATAGCAATCAAGGAATTTTAACAATGGAAATGGATCCTTCAGAAGTAGATAAACATATAAATACAATCTGTAGACAAATGGAAATCACGAAATTTTTAGGAAATTGTGAAAAAGAAGAAAGAGCTCCTCTTCAGTTTTTACACCTGTTCCCAGGCAAGGATCCTAACAGTTCTCAAATTCTCGAATTACCGACATTATTTGGTAGTCAACAGCAGAAAATTGATTTAGCAGTTCTAGCCATTCTGTGTGGACATAATATCGATGAAGGATTTGGGATAGCATTTAGAATAATGCAAGGTTTTTCAGTAATTTAAATATAACATAAATATTTGATTGTATTGCTTATTTATTTATCTAAATGATACATATTATTTTAGATTATAATTTACCACAGCTAAAAGTATATTCTTTAGCCGGACACATCTTGACAGTGAAAAACAATGTTTCGGCGATCGAACAATTAATTAAGTGCTGCTACACCTCTGGAATACCAAATTCACACATTATATCCGACTATGTACTGACACATTGTGTACAACTGTTACTGAATCATTTACACAATGAACCAGAATCGATTTTAAAAAATGATATTCATAATCTTATCAGATTAATAACTGACATAGAATTGAAAGTAAGATTTAATTTTATGCAACAAGTTTTTCATTTGTACAATTGTTTTCTTAATTTTTTTGTTTTTAGATAAATGCATATATTGAATGCAAACAATTGAAGGCAGCGTATCTATTAGCTGTTAAACATTCAAGAGCACAGGATGTAAGAAAAATTTTAAAAGAATCTGATAGACTTGGTCAAACTGCTATTAAAGCAATATGTATCAAGTGGCTTCAACAAGAACCAAAATTGTAATTTTAGAGAAAACTATAAATGTAAGTAAAAGTGCAATATACATTCCTCTCATCTCTTTTCCACTGAAATTAAATGCTAACTTGTGTCGTACTAAATTTGAAGAATGTAATTAATGAGATTGAAATTTTTATAATTTTATAAGTGTTAAATGAAAATGTTGAAAAGTTAAGATTTCTATTTTTATTTTTATTATTTATAAACAGCTATTTACCTTAGTTTTAAGTGATATGAAATTAAATAATATATTCTCAGAATCTACTGAAGTATGCTGCAATAAAAAATAGATACAATATTGGTCAAAAAGTTTATTTAAATCATTGATATGTATAATAATAAATAACAAGTGAATAATTTTAAAAAATATCTAATCTTATAACTAAGATCTATATCTTTTTATAATGTATAATTACTGTACTTTTATGTAAATATAAATGTCAACAAATATTACTTGTAAATAAATACAGAGAAAAATTGAAAAATAATGTTGGAATGTATGTATAAATCTCATAAATTCAATATTATTAAGTATCACAAAACATTTAAATACAAACACTGAGTCACAATATACTACTTTGAGCACACTTTTAGCTTTTATATAGCTTATTTTTGATTATACGTTTTCAAGCTCAAAATTTTGCTATCATTTGAAACATTTTCTTATCAAATAAAAGTATCATTTTTTTTATTTTTGTATACAACATTAATTGTATTAGGATATTTATTTATAATTTTTTTCTTCGCTTACTAAAGCTGACAATCTTTCTTCATATTTTTCTGCAAATAGAGGATCAATATTTTTAATTGATGAAAGCAAGGAATCCTTTTCCTGCTGAATCCAATTATTGCTCCATTCTCTAAAGAGTTTTACACGACACTGAAATAGACTTGGAGGTCTATCAGATTCATTTGTGTGTCCTAAACTTTCCATTTTGAAAACTAATCCATTAACAACATCAGAGGGTCCGCATTGTTCCAAAAGCACATCCAGAAAATCATTCCTTTGCATTTCTGACCATTCTTGAAACCATTCTATTATATAACGTAATTGGACTTCATTTGACAGCATTGTAGACATGTTATATCTTCAATAAAAATGTACAACACCAATTCATTATAATATATAAAGTTCCAATAGTTAAAAAGAATAGACAATAAAAATAACAACATATATATAGATATTATACACCATAATGAATTAATATACCAAAAAATTTATATTTACCGGTCTGCTGTGTTTTTATTAATAATAATAGTTCATAATGATATTTCATTTATTTTCGATGCTTTTAACCATCACAAATTGTTCGAATACAGTTGTCAATAGTTCTCAATACAAGTAAATTTACTACATTATAAAATAATGGTACAAATATACATATAAAGTTGAAAATATAGTATTTAAATTATTAATTGGTCAATTTAGACTTCTTAGAGTTAATTTCAATCTCCTCTTCAAAATCCGACTCGTTTTCTGACGTTAGCCGATCTAAAATTGAAAAAAATCTATTACTTCTTATGAATTTCCAATTAAACAGTTTTTACGTTTCTTCATATAATATTTTGGATTTACTTTTAATATTCACAGAGCTATTTTGTTTTTCCACAACACTAGTTAAAAAATCATTAATTTCAATTTGTGTTTCCTTCAAGCAAGAGATTAAGCCATTCAAATTATTTGTATTTGTTGCAATGTTATTAATGTTAAGTGTATAAATACACTTGTCACTTTCACAAATTTTTATATGCAAACTCATATTATTCATTATGATATTGTATTATTTTTCTTTCACGTAACAAAATATTTTCGTAAGCACATGTTTTGACTTTTATTTATATAAATTCATACTTTCTACAAACCGCAAATGTGTTACACCTAAAATTTTAAGAATGAAAATTATTTTACAATACTTGGTGCTAGGGTTCCCTTTTTTTTAAATTACGAATAAAAATATATATTATCTTTAAATAATTTAATGAAATTTCATAAATTGAATTGTATATACACCATAAGCTTAAACGCATTCGGTCGTTACATGTAGGTTCTCCGTAAGGATTAGCTCGTCACGTCATGGTGATTGTCATTTAGAATTGATTGATCAAGTACTGTTTGTATTATATGTATACTGCAGTTCACCAGAGTCCATAACTGTGAAAAGACCAGTTTTCGTTCTTTGCGCTTCTCCAGTACGCATCTTCGCCCTGATTGGCGATACTCCCAAACGAAGTGAAAAGCGATTAGCAGAGAGCTCGCTGCGTTCCCCCACCATCTTCCAACCTGCGCGTCGCAGTTATGGACTCTGGTGAACTGCGGTATACATCGACAAATTTTAAAAACATATGTTGTACTTAGCAAAATGGTTCTACTGGAAAATGATACGGTAATTTCTTATCTACGAAAAATTATTGTTTCCAGGACTTTATATTAATCTAAATTTTAGTTTTTAGTGGAGCTAACACGACTTTTCGACAAATCTCGAATTTCTGGTTCTGTTGTACTAACTATTAAAAGGTGTAAGTATTTGCAATGTTGTAAATAGTATTCAAACAGAATATTTTACTGATAATTCACTTTTTTTAGTTAATGGACATAATAAACCAGTACCTAGAGAAGGAAAGTCTCCGTTACCAACACCAAGTGAATTTCTCTGTTTAGTGAGAGCCACCTTACGATCTAAGAAAATTTCTACTGTTGTATGTTGCTAATATATCCGCATAATATTTTATTTTTTATATTTTTACAATGGAATCTAACACAGATATTTTATATTTCAGATTCATTCTAAAGATGTAAATAAATTTCAACAAGCCTATTGGAATCTATTAAAATCAAATATTAATGGTCTTAAAAAGTTAAAAAAAGTTAAATCCGCAAAGCCTAAAGTTCATTGACTGTTTAACATTTATATATTATATATTATTATTGAAACTTTTGCATATATCTTTGTATAACACAAAACATAATTCCTTTAATGTCTATTACAATACTGCCTAAGAAATAAATCACATTTTATGTAAATAATGCCAACACAAATAAGTTGTTTAATTTTCTAAATTATGAATTCCACTAATTTACATGAAAAAAATATATATATCAAATGTTTTATGTTATTTATAATTTCATTCATAACTTTAACAGAAGTTTTACTACGTAACTATGTTTTTGATCATATGATTTTTGTATGTATATATAGAATAATTTTTCAGTTAAAAAGCTGAATTAAATAAACTTGTATGTTGCACAACATATACACGCATTATACAGATTCACATTTTATTCAAAGCGTATTTTAAAAACAATTTACAAAGTAATACACACTAATAATTATTTACAATTAAATTATTCGTTTACCAAGTGATTAAATCTTCGTTTTTATTAAAAATAATTACATAAATCAATGTAAAGTAACAAATACTTGATTTATACGTTAAAATCATCTTTAACCTAAATTTACAAACATGTTTGGGAAACACGTTAATTAAAAATATGGAAGGCGTACCCCTTGACGTAGGCCATTTTGTTGTACGTTCAGGTTTACAGGGATTATTTCTTCAGGGGCACGTAGAAGTGACTAAGAAAGTTACAGATCGATAGTCACCGCAAGATTATCAATAATTTTCATTATATTCTTTTCACTTTGAATATACTTTTTAATTACTATGATTAATTATTAAGTAATGAATATAGACGTTACCACAGTATTGTGATTGTCGTGTATATCTTTCTACCGCGAACTACGATCGTAAAAGTACATTTAATTTTTGAAAAACCCAAGCAATCTTATACTGTGCTAATTATAAGAAACAAAAATAATGGAGGAAATAATGGGTATTTACATTTTGATATTGAAAATATTATATTTTGTACGGTGTGTTTGTTACGTAGCATATGATACGCGTCATTTCTGTTTTAGAAATTGTGAAAGTTGAGGATACGGTGTTAATGAAAAATACTACATTGGAAAATTTATTTGGTAATCATAGTGTATCATCATGATGTACCTAAGCTTTTAATAACAGTTTTAATATCTCTGCTTGATTATTACAGATCCGGATAATTCACAAGAAACTATTATAATGTCTACAGAACATGATTCAAGTGATATGAAAGGTATCTACAGTCAACATAGCCTTCTACTTTGTGATCAAATTTCATTGTTTATGTTTACATACCTTTTCAAATTATCTTACAGTGATTATATTATTTCACACTATTTGCTTCTCTTTTTTGATTTATTATAGCACCTTTTAATATAATTTTTTCAGTTATTGCTCAAGGTGGTCAAATTATACAAATTGTAACAGATTATGAATGTGTAACGTGTCATCGTGTTTTTCAGTCACAAGATGTAAGAATGTAACAAATTTATTTAAGTTATATTATTCTATAATTTATAGTAAATCAATGTTCATTATAATATATTTTAACAAAATCATTAATTGTAACAGATGCTAAAAGAACATTTAGATATGTGCAGAGAAGAAGATGATTCTGTGAATATATTGCAATTAAGTAATCTCGAGAGTTATGATTCAGAGGATGAAGAAAAAGATGATAATTCGGATTACATTATTAATTCTAATGCAGAAGGTATTTAATATATCATGTGTAAAGATTCTTTTATAATGTATCGTTATAGATTTAAAAGATACAAACTACAAATTTTAGATTCTAGTTCCAGTGGTCAGAAAAATAATAACGATAAACCAGTAATTATGCCTGTACCTGATACTCAATGCCATTGTTGTGCTGAAGATTTAAGCACAGCACACAATGGTGGTCAATATAAATGTCAAAATTGTGACCTTTCGTTCAAAAAGAAATCGTCTTTAGAAAGACATACCGTCGTAATTCATTGGCAATGCGATTCTTGTACTTGTAAGGAATGTGGAGAATCGTTTCGTGATAAAAAATCGTTGAACAAACATCGGTATACCACTCATTGTGGCCGAAAGGTTTATAGGTAAGTACATATGTAATTATTTTTTATGCAAGAATTGTATTGATAACTGTAAAAAAGATATAACTCAACGAATTTCAGGTGTGAGCCGTGTGATACTTATTTCTCTCGAAGTTATCATTTAAATCGTCACATAATGCAATCAAGTTGTCATGGGAACATCATGAATACATTCAATTGTCAAGTGAGATTCTTTTTCGAAACATTTAAATTTGTTCTATTTTTAAAATTAAATTCAAAGTAATTCACTTTGCATTTTGATAGGTTTGTAAAAAGGTATTTACCCGTAAAGATAATTTACGGGAACATTTGCGCACTCATGCTGGAACTCCTCAAAGACAGAAAAAACCTTGTAAATACTGTCCAAAGGAATTTTTTACTAGCCAACAGCTAGTAATTCATGAACGCGTACATACAGGAGAACGACCAGTTCAGTGTGACTTATGTCCTAAAACATTTTTATCATCTCTTGCATTAAAAAAACATAGACGAGTACACACAGGAGAAAAACCGTTTGAATGTAAATTTGTAAGTATTGATTATCTAAATAAAATAGTTGAACAATTTTGTACTTAGGAATGACTGCAGTAAAGAAAATGGAAAATAAATATACAGACTTGTAAATTTTCTTTTTCAAGTATATGATTTCGATTAGCATGTTTTTAAATATAGCGATTAATTTCATAATTAATTATTGTAAAGCTCCTACACAAACGACGTAATCTAATTTTCATACTGAAATTGTCGCATTTTGCAATACTAATTTGTTTATATATTTTTATTACATGCAAGCATTATATACAGGAAAATTTATGTAAGTTTTTACTGGAATAAATAATATTTTAAACTTCATATTCAATTTATATCACAAATAATACGAGCTCAATTTAATATTTCATAAAATATATATGTTTTATTAATTACTTTTTAAATTATTTTAGTGCCACAAGAAGTTTGCTGCCCGAGAAACTTTAAATCGACATCAGAGAACTCATACTGGTGAAAAACTTCACGTTTGTCAATACTGTGGAAAATCATTCATTCAAGCCGCTCAACTAAGAGCACATATATTTCACCATACTGGTGAAAATGGTTTCTATTGTGATGTGTGTGGAAAAGCATTTAATCGAAAAGCCCGTTTAAATGTACACAAAAAATTCGTCCACGAAGGAGCAACACCGTTCACGTGTGAAATTTGTGAAAAAAGATTTATTAGAAGAGAGGATCTTGTTAAACACGCATTGCTTCATACAGGAGTTAAACGTAAGATGAAATCACTTCAGTTTTAATATTTAAATTTTAACGAATTAAACTTTTAAATTGATTCGAAATTTTACTTTCATTTCAGCATTTAAATGTGATAAATGTGTAAAAGCTTTTTCTACGAAGTCATCTTTGCAAGCTCATTTAAATACTCATAGACGAGAACCACCGCAATCGTGCGTTGAATGTAATAAAGTTTTCATTCGACAAGATTGTTTAATGAGACATATCAAAGCGAAACATCGGGAACTATTAGAGGATGTAATGAACGAAGTTGAGAAAAAGCATTTGCAAACACAGTTATATAACATTGCCACAATTGCTGCAGAAAAAACAAAAAATGGAAAATCCAGAAGACTTTCCACTGATGAACTATTAAAAGCTATTTCGGATCTTTTAAAGATATTAATCGATGATGAAACACTTCAGGTATGATATAATGATAATATTAAATTCTAATAACTACATAAGGTGGAATAATATTCAGTATATTTTACATCTTGTAGCTGTTTGGTTGGCCTGATGCTTCTATTCAAGATATTCTAGAAGCTGTAATTAGAAGATGCGGCCATCAGCCATTGACGTCTGAAAGTGAATTACTTTTTACCGAACGATTAAGAGAAAACATCAAACTTTTGTTCACAGTTGTCATAGAAGATGATACGGTAAAATCTCTCTTAACAACAAAAACAGTGGATGATGTTATTATACACGTTTTAGAACTTTCTAAGGAATGTACATCAAATTCGTAGTTGTACAACAAAAAAAAACAAAAGTTAAATAATTTTCTATTTATACATATACATAGTGTTCAGTTTCTTTTTCTTTATTGATATTAAGGATTTTAAGTTGAATTGCGCAGACAATGAATATTTAAACTAATTAGAATTAGCATGCGCAGAACAAACGAAAACTCGTCGTATGAAAAGATCTTTCGTTGAACGAATAATATACATGAATGTATTTGATTCGTAAGACATTGTGAAGCGCCATCTTTTGGGCTGTTTATTTATAAATTGAGGTTACAGAATCTAACCTAATGTAACTACTGTGAATAAATATGTTTGTATACGCATAATAACTGAAATATTATATTCTACTTTGTTATATTAAATATACATTTTTCGTTCGACAGAGAGATGAAAAGTTATTTCTGAAAAACGTCAACTTCATATTATATATTTATATATATAGTTTCGTACGTATGTGCAGGTTATTGTTTTATTTATATATACCTGATGTCACAAGAGTCCATAACTGCGAAAAGACCAGTTTTCGTTCTTTTCTGCGCATTGTCGCTTTGATTGGCGATACTTCCAGCGGAAGTGGAAAGCGATTGGCGGATCGCTTTCCCCCACCATCGCTGCGTTCCCCCGCCATCTTCCAACCTGCGCGCTTAGTTATGGACTCTCGTGACATCAAGTATATATTATTGTTATATTTATTGGTTTTTCACACTTATTTAAGCAAGTTTTTAATATTATACACACTGTGCGATATTTTTCAGATTTTTCAACATTGTACAGAAAATACTTTATGAACGTGATTATCCGTTTTGCAACAGAGTTATTTATCTTCTTACATAATTTCTAACTGCTTAAAAATGATTGAATTAAATAGTTCAATAAATATTGGAAAACTACAAAAAAAGTCACAAGGTGATTATTACAATATATGGTTTAGTATTATAAACTTTTCTATATGAAAATTTTTGTTTTACTTAACAAATATTATTGCAGTAAGTTTTAAAGAAGAAAGCAGCGATGATAATGAATCTAATACCATTGCATATAAAACCGAGGGTAATCCTGGTTGGGCAGATGCTATGCAGAAGATTTTGCAAACAAGAAAGCCAAAACGTAAAAAAACAATAGTTTTGTCTAAGGCAAAAAAGTTATTCGACGTGAAGAAAAAAGAAATTGAAGAAAATGTGTCATTTGAAATTGAAAAAGTAAAGGAAGAAGTAGAAACGTTTAAAGAAGAAGTTGAAAATAAGGATGAAAAATCAGTTACACAATCAAAAGAAAAAAGAAAAAATAATTTGGGTATTAGGGTAAAACCAAGTATAATAGATAGAGAACGGGAAAGAATGTTACAAAAAATAGCTACAAAGTAATTAAATTATTTCAAGAACATAAATGATATTTTTTTTATATAATTAAAATATTGAAATATATATTATTACAGAGGTGTAGTACAATTATTCAACGCGGTAAAACAACAACAAGGTGAAATTAATCAAAAACTATCAAAAGCTGGCCCATTAGAACGAAAACGGGAACGGGTATTAAAGAACATTGATAAATGTGCATTCTTAGATGTTCTTATGGGTGGAAGTAAAAGTATTCCAATAGATAACAATATTAAGGACGAAACGGAACAAAATAAAAGTCGTAAACAAAAGGTACAATATGTTGTTTCAAATAAGCAATATTCTTTCCTACCAGAAAATACTAGTATTAAGAAATAAAATATTTTTAATAAAAGGACCAGGAAACTTGGAACGTGCTGAGAGAAGATTTTGTTATGGGAACAAAGTTGAAAGATTGGGATCGAAAAAGTAAAGAAGATGAAGATGATTCTTCAGCCCCAGAAGATATGGATAGCGACGATTAAATTACAGAAAGTTGTAAAATATTTTTACCGCTTTTAAAAAATTGATTGAAAGGTATGTTGTCAACATTTGTTAGTAATGTAATGTTACAATTTTTCAGTTATTTAGTCTGTATCTTTACTACTTTTGTCTTTCTAAAGCATACAGAAAAGCACAAAATATTACTTTCTTAGTAAATATCTTATTTTATTAATAATTTATATTTTGATATTTTTTATCTATGCAACAACAATGATAATGCATACAACGTATCATTTCTTTATATAATTTATCGTACGTTTATAACACGAACATGATTCTGTCTAAAATTCATTTTTGTTTTTATTGTATTTAAATCGCATAAATATGCCATAATATTTTATTATAAAATGATACTATACTTTTGTTTGTATATTTAAGCCGCAATTTGTTTTAGGGATGAATTACACATAATTGATGAACTGTATTAATAACATAATCTTCGCATAGAATTTTGATGCATTCAACAGTTACCCTATGCACATTTTATTTGTATATACTTCGTTTTCATCATTTTCATGGTACGTACAAATATTAAGCCTTTTACTAAACTTGCATATCGGAAATCGTTAAATATTTTGCAGTAAAACAATGTAAAAAGCAAATGCATAATAAATAGTCTGTACCATGGATTGCTAATAACAGGTAAAAAATGTTTAAATCGATTTATAGCAATTATTTTCTTAACATTTACCGAACCTAATACGTAATTAACTCTTGGACGGACTGAACTAACTTTGTTTTATCTTTTTTCTTCTATTATTATTTACCACAATTAAATTGATTGTTCCTTCTGTTTATATCAAATTATATTTCGAAATTTAATTTTTATTAATTCTTCCTCTTGGTTTTGGATAGTATAACTTTTAAATTGTCTATACACGTTTATTTTATTGTTCTTTATTATTCTGTGTACAAACAAATCTGAAGTCTATTGTAATATCTGTTAGAAGAAAGAGAAAAAAGAAAAAGCAAATAAACCCGACTGTCAATTTTCAGTATAAACTTCTGTTGTATTATAAAATTAATTACAAAAAAGAAAAAAAAAATTAAGATTATAATAAAAACTAATCAGTTCGCGAGATAATAGTATGTTTCTATTTGAGTGTTAACTTTTCTTTTTACAGGATGCAAGTATCAACATTCGTTTGGTCAAAAAGTTTTCCGGTAATTATTTGCTCGTAACATATTTTCAAAGTATTTTTGAGGACCAAATGTGCTTTGTGAACGTAGAGGTTTAATGTTATACTCGGCTTTCACGAATATCAGCTAGAGCCCCGAAATTACTGGTCTCTTCGTCCGAGTAATTAGATTCAGTTTCCAATCGTTGGGATCTTCCAACATTTTCGTCGATACTTTGGCTTCTAATATAATATTCTATTGGGTTTGATTCCGTGTTGCGATTAGTTTCATCCGCTCGAGGATTTTCCGAATGTACATTTCTCAAATTCGATTGATCATCTTGATTGATTTGCGTTCTTGATCTATCGTTCTCGTTTGCAACGGAATACCAATTATGAGAACCGTGACCATTATTGCGATCCTCGGAACGAGATAATCGAACAAAGATTACTCCATTCTCTTGATTTTCTTTTTGAGAATTCTCCAAGTTGTTTCTGCTTTCTTGGCTGATCCTCGACAAGCTACGAACAAGATTCCTCGTGTTCATCAGATCATTTCCCGTCGTTATATTTCGTGATATCTCATCGGTATTATTCCCCTGTATTCTTTCGTTGTTCCGAACGGTATTATCCGAAACACAATGATTTCCATTCTCCGACACTAATTCGTTCCGCATTTGATGTTCGTTACTGTTCTCTGTGTGAAACGAAGTTTCGTCCTGATAAGTTCTAAGGGCCTCGAAATTCGCATTGCTAAACACTCGAGGTACGATGCCCTGGCTCATCCTGTACAATTCTAATTCATTATCCACGAAATAACTGTCGAGAGGATTGCTGATGATCGATGGATTTCTCGAAACGTTTCTTCGTGGAAAACTTTGACTCGAAAAATTTGCTATCGTCGCGTAAGGGTACGGTATTGTATTCATAGGATTACTTAGTATATGCGGATAACCATCTAGGCTCTGCATCTCGATCTCCTCTTTACCGTCGTGACAAAAACCGTGCATGTCTATCTCGTGAGGAAGATTGGCGAACCTAGGAAATTGGTTAATGTTTTAAAGAATCAAAACGATTAGACGGGAACAATTTCCATTTCGTTAAATTTTACCTATGCAATAAAATATCAGAATACGACGGTGGCATGTCCGACTCTTCTTTTCCGTAGATACTTTCGTAAGTTGGGGGTGGGAAACACCCAACGGATCCTAAGCTGTCTTTACTGGGCGTTTCAGCGTCCATCTCTAAGATGCTACCTTGGCTATTCTGTAGCTGATGTCGATTTATGCTTCGTGGATTTCTTTGAGCTCGTAACACGCTATCGCCAAGTTCCACCAAGTCTAAACCTGTTTCGAAGGGAGCATCTATTAGTGAAACCATCATCTACCAATCATAGACAAGCTAATAAATTCGTTTCTCGTTAGGGATATTTTCAACAACAATGGAATCGTACCGGTCGGATCGGTTTGGAACTGGGTGAAGATTGTACCGTCGACAACAAGCATTCTACCGTGTGGTAAGAGAATGATGGTCGGTGTTGCTACCATCGCTTGATCGTTATTGCTGAATCGTGAATCTGGTTCAGGATCTTCTAACCGGCAGCAACAGTGTCTTCTACATAGAGACCTGCAGAACGGTGCACCCCAACAGCAATAGGCGAAAATAAAGCATAAGACGGCAAGCATCACTAGAAGAGCAGCTACCCCTTGGCTTTGCTGAGCGGCTGCGAGGGTTGGACCACCGGCGACGCCGACGCCAAATCCTAACCCTCCGCTGCTGCTCATCTCGCCTAAAACATTCAGTTCTTTTATTGTAAAATAATAATAATAATTAGAATACCATTTCGTGGGACACGTTACGAAATAACAATTCGACGTGTTACTCGTAAACACAAGAAACTTATTTAAATCCGCAATGCGGAGCATAGAGCGATACTAATATACGCGTTCTTGGCAAAATTCCAGTCTTACCCGACAAATTTTCATACAAGTTCAATTTCAAGTGGCTACTTGCAATCAAATCGTAGCGACATGGATATTACTTATCGATCCTTCGATGCTTTCATCTTATTGTCAGATTAACTCGTTACTTTTCTTTTTCTTTCACATCCTGTGGATGGACGTTCAAGAGTAATCGCAAGATTTATAAATGAAAAGCTTATTTCCTTGGTTATCATATGAGCAGAAGTGTAATTTTGAGCATCGGAACCGCTCTCTCTTATGCTAACAGAATAAATTACGTTATCTTGGAGGGAAGTATAGCAAGGTGAAAGTGAGAAGAGTGCGGTAATCCTGGACGTATAGCAGCCGGCGCCAGTAGGTCGATCGTGTTCTAACGTTTGGAAAAATTCATAGTGTCCGCTCGTTTCGTAAGCAAAACTTCGAATAAGGGGCAATAAAATTATCGTAAAATTGTCAAGTTACGTATAACTTAAATTTCAAAATTATGTAACGAAGTTCTTCTTCAATTTTCAAAATTATAATTACCTTGGGTAGTGATGTTATACAGCCAAGTCGTCCCCGTGGTGGTTGTTGATTCCGTGATTTTCCACGATCTGTCCACCATGAAAAAGATTTTTTATACCTCACCAGAAAATATCCTCTCTTTTTTTCCCTTCAGTAATATTTAAACGTAAGACAGCCAGGTACACGGTTGTTGTTACTCGTAACACGTTGCATCGTGCGATTCGAATTAGAGTTTATTTCACTCGAACTAACTGAACAGAGTTAATTAAGTAATCGTACTAACAAATAGTGTGCTTAATAATTGTAACAGTCGACGATCTCATTTCTCTTTGTTCAGCGGATTTTGAATTCTCCCGCGTAGTGACGTCACGACTGCACGATTATTGTGTATCGAATAAGCTTCGATCCAATCGCATCGTTAACGAGATTGCAAACGAGAACGATATTTGTATCGCGATATTAACGATTCATGTGACAAGTTCGCGGGATAATCTCTTCACAAAGACATCGAGCGTGATGTCGAACAACGTACACTGTCATCGAGGAGATACTCTTGACCCATTTTAATATCTCCCCACTTAATATCAACCTGCTGCTTTTCGCCTCTGATACTTCTGTTTCCCAATCAGGGAACGTCCTCGTCAGCTAGTTCGGTAGATTCCTTTTTTATCACTTATAACGATTCATTTCATCTTCGTATTAAGAAAATAAATTTGGTAAGTTCTCTTTAAAATTCTATTGTCAAATTATGAACTTTCACATCGATGAAATATTCATTTTAATCATAATCTTGTACATTAATATATGTTTATGTATTCGTAATTGCCGTGCTTGTTTTTCATTAATAGGTTAGGCTTACATTTAAATTGTGTTGCAATCGAACTGTACTTGCGATCGAAAATTCAAATTTCCCGCGAACAGTGTACTGATCGATTTGATTAGACGCAGTGCGGTTTTCAAACAATCAAAATCAAAATATTGATTCGGATTATCAATAATTATTCAATTGTCAGATGATGATAAACTTTGCGAAACGCATGACATTAACATTTTAATTATTGTTATAATATATAGGATATTTCGTTATGGTTCACCATATTATATATGACGATAATTTTTATTCGTCTCTTTTTTAACGAAAACTTTTGTTTCAAATTTTAATCCAGCACACACATCCTGTTCAATTGTGAAATTGCATTGTTAATGTCCCCTTCGTTTTGTGACTTTGACGTCATTGACTGCAGATGAAGGCGCGCCATATTATTTACTTTCGATGCATTGTGCATTTATGCGATATTTTCTAAATTATTATCCTCTTCTTCATGGTATTCAATTCTCTTGCAATAATTGGATATATCGTTTTCATTTTTTCAAATGAAAATTATCTACAGCAGAATAATTTGGTTTAACGTTGTTGTAATGTAATCTTTTCAACACCGAAACCGATTAATCTGATTAGCGTATCTCAATAATTCCATATACATAATTCACACGCATGATTGTCACACACGGAAACCGAATTCACAAGAGTATGTGTTTATTAAGATAAATTAAGTTACCGGAGTAGATTACACCTTTGTCGTGTTTCGTTTTAAATAGTAGTTTCATTTAATCAGAATTTGTAAATATTGATTTACAAGAAGCAGTATGTACACTGTTAACTTTAACTTTTCTTCCGTTTTCAAATCCTTATTCCGTTACAAAAATAATGCTGACAAGAGACCGAAACGTCAATTCGTTGTACGTTCGTTAATATGTGGGTTAGATTGAGTATACGAGGCCAGTGTGTCGGATGCGTTACTACCCTCGAATTTCTTCGTAGCTTGTGGGGCGCAGCACCTTCTTACAGCCCCTCGAGACACTGGCCAACGATTCGTCGGTGGTCTCCTCGGTGGCGCTTGTTTGCTTTCCCACCCCTTGTCTATAGGGTAGGAGCAATTATCATTCTACTTATTTCACTTTATAGATTTTACTTTCTTCATTTATTTATATTTTACTATATGTTATTGAAAAAAAAATAGTATAAAATTTTATTTACAAATATATGTCGAGTTATTAAATATTACACGAAAAAGATGTTCATGTATGCTCAATTAAAATTCATTTATTTAACAAAAATATTTATTACAATATTTTACATCTATTACCAGAAAATTTCAATTTTCTGGTAAAATGTTTAACAGCCATTCCTTAAAGGATTTTATTTCAGTCGCATCTAATTCGTGATCTACATTATTTAATGGCACAAATTGAACATTTACTCCAAATTCTTTTAAATTGTTGGAAGTTTCTTCTCCCCATTTTATTGGAACGAATGTATCAGCACTGCCATGGAATTGTAGAAGCGGTGTGTGTATTTTTGGACTCTCCTTCAAATGCTACATTATACATACAAATAAAAATAAGTATTAAATATCTTAATTTTAAATAAAAGGATTATCATCGCGTGTTTACCTTGTATACCATTGAATTTTTATTAATGAAACTAGACATGGCACAACAACCAGCCAAAGATGATATATATTTATATGATAAATATAATGATAGTGCTCCACCCATTGAAAAACCAGCAACAGCAATTCTATCATGTGGAATTCCATTAGATACTTCTTTATTAATTAACTCCTGTATAGTTTTACACATAGAATCCACTGATTCTACCATTTCAGGAGCATTGATAGATATGTTTGCACGATCAAACCATACATTGCTAAGCTGAAATGGTAATTACTTTACATAAATTACTGTTAATCTATATTTTTTGTATTGTTTCAAATTTACAGATGCAAGTAATACCGTTCCATTATTAGGTGTATAAGGTTGAGCAGGTGCAGTAGGATAAATAATTTTGATGTGTGGAAAATTTAGTTCTCCCTTGTTCAATATATCAATCCATTTTTTTATATCATCCCCAGAAGATCCTGTAATAGATATATAAAAATTATATGACAAGAAGTTATTTCAATCATATGAAATAATTTACCTGAACCATGAAAAAAAAATAATGTGCCACTATGTCTTCTAGTAGCTTTTACTACATTAATTGCAGTAATCTGATTCATTGCTTCCCCGTAAACTATTAAATAAAAGCAAATAAAAGTATAGATATAATTTTTATCCATATTGTTCTTAGCGATAAGCACTGACTACAGTTAAGCAAAATCGCAGTTACTGCGATAAGCAAAATGTCCAACCTTTACAAATTACAGTTCCTATATGAATATCGTCTCCTGGCTGTTATCTAAAGATGATTCCGAAGCATTAATATTCTTATGAAGAATAAAAGGTATATAAAATATCTAGATCTATTATAATTATTTATATCATTGTTCGTGATATTTGATAGTTTATGAAAAGTCATAGCGCAACTGGGTAATATAACCACATTTCTGCGCACGCATGTCTCGATTTTCATTCGACTTTCTTCGAGATGATTTGAAAACGCATGCCAGAGAGACAGTACGGCTGGGTTAAGTCACTAATGCTTGGTCGTGTTGACAGGGTATTGGTGTCGGCGTCAATGGATACGCCGGTGGTATTCTGCTAAAATTCTTATCGTGCTGTTCGACTAGTCGAGTTATGTTTAATGAATCGTAACGACCTGGCGGAACAATGCAGAGAAGTGGTAAGTCAGAAAATTTTATTCGGTATAGAAGAAAGATGGAAATTCGATGGTTCGTACGGACAACCATTTTGAGGGCGCCAAATTTTTGCGTCAATACACAGCGCCGTAACTGCCCGGTCAATACGGCAGCCGACCTAACCTACCAACTATTCTATGAAACAGTGTCGTTCGTTTTAATTTAATAAGTTAAATCGTTTGAACTCCATTTTTGGTTTATCTATATGCCCTTGAACAATCAGGCTTTCACGGGTCTTGTCATCTATCAATATATATTATTCATGGAAAATTTCTGTCACTTTTTGTTTGTGTCGTATGCTTTGTATTATTCTTTTTTCATCCACGACCTGTCAAGTATGATTTCATGAAAACATTCTACGAAATTCGATACACCGTAACGTTTATCTACAGATCGTACGACAGCAAATGATTTCATGTTACTGCAAATAGTTAGATAAGGATATTGTGACAATGATTTAATCCTGATTTCGAGTATATATGTATAAGTAGATATTACGTTATCTGTTAAAGTTCAAACTACTTCCGGACTTTTTATTTTCTTAGGGAGGTCGACGATTTTCCATAATTTTACTATGACTTTTGTTGTACGATATCGTATACATGCCACTCGTACGGCGCAGCTTGAAAAGTTATGTTTCCTCTCGCTTAGCACCACCACTTATTCAGACGTATACAAGTGGCCTAAATAGCACGGTGTAAATTGTCATCACGAGTTAAACCGGAAAAAATCAGAACAAACATTTTTCGAGGGTTGATGTACAATTTCCATCCGTGCATACATTCAGTGCAAACATGAACATACATATGTATATATTATTCATCATTTTAATAACACGATGTTCTCAACCGGCTCGTTTTCTTTAGTCGTGTAATAGTAAACTATTATTCTACACGGGTCGGTGAAATCATATCTGTCACGTATACACTGATCTTACGAGTAACGCAATAACGAGTATCATCCTCCCCGATTGTCCTCTTTCCTACCAAAGAGGTGTGATCGTTTATTTTCTAACATCGTACAATTTAAAGATAGGAAAGATTAAAATATTTATCTCGATTCGCGTAAGTAGGTAAAACGATCGCGCAACGAGCGAAAAAGAAGAGAAAAGAAAGAAAATAATGGCCACTTGTTCGCTCTCGGCGCATTCCAAACTTGCTTTATCGTGCAATCATTTAACCTCCGAGCTAAACGTACAATTAAACGAACAGTTACATTGTACAATTTAAAAGTGTCTCAACTTTTCTTTGTCTCTGAATCGAATAATCGAACGCGTGTCTCTGTAGATAAAAACAATCGATACGTTCGAGCAATTTGAATCGAAACGATCGATAGCTCGATAGTACTGCATCGTCGAGTGCAATGAAACGAGATTTCATTCGATTCGAATTTTGAAAATTAGTACAGTTTCGCCTCATTGGGTAGCGATTGATTAGCAAAAAGGAATAATCATCGAGTAGAATAGAATTTCAGTGCGCGTCGCGTGACGTCCTGAAAGTTCGATGACTGATTGACGGGGCATGAGCCAGGGCATCTTAGAAACGATGCACAGGCCATAAAATAGAAAGAAGGAAAGAAAGGAAAAAAGAAAGAAAGAAAGAAAGAAAGGAAGAAAGAAAGAAAGGGGGAGGCAGAGGCCGTAGGTTTAACATTATAATTGTCTCGCGCTCAGAACAGTCGAGCACTTCTTCGTCGGCATGTGAAACACGCGGCAGGCTCGAGAGTCGATCGTGAACCGTGAGCGAGTCTCGTCAACATTTTAGTACACTTTCTGTATTCGACGTGTAAACCACGCCAAGTAATCGACCGATCGCCGATCGCTTCCCCGCACCAAAATTTTATCGCATTCCTCTCTTTCCTGCGATTCGTTCAGTTTTCTTCGTACGGTGGATACTCGAGTGCATTGTGCAGTTCTTCGGAGACGAGTGCGTCTGGAACTGACGTGGCAAACGAATGCAGGGTCGTTTGAAACCCATAACTGAAACGTGTATACCTACTGATTTGAAGGGTGAATTGGAGGATTTAATGAGTCGCAGAGCGTAACGCAATCTTTTAGTCTCGATGCCTGGGATCGTTGATCTAGTAAAAGTTTAGTCCGATCACTTTTTTCAAACTCGAACCTTCAAATTGGTGTAACACCCGTGCTATTTCGTGACACCTTTATGTCATGTTTTCACGTTGAAAATCGGTTAAGCGACATGCAACAACCTAACGAATCGATCGCGTATTCGATACGAACTCTGCTCGTTCAATGATTCGGCGAACGATCGAATAAATTGATAGCTCGAAAGGAAAAATAAAAACTCTTTTCCAAGGTATTCTCATGGAACTCATCATTTGATCGTCAAAGCTGGAATTTCCAGAGGTTTTCATTCCAGCCGGCTGGCCAGAAAACGCGATCAACGAACAGCCAGCCTCTTCTTCGTAATCCAATTTCAAGTTTTCCGCCGCTTTTGTTGCGCTGAGAAACCTTAGGAATCTTGGTTCTCTATCGCGGTCATCTCACCGGTACTCGATCTGTCGATTAAGGTGAAAAACATCCGATATACCGATACCTCTGCGGCTTATTATAATAACACCGATCGATCCGATCAATCACGATTCTACCTATTTTTCAAAATAATGCGAAAACTTGTAGATACACAGTATTTCATTTCGAAGGGACATCTAACGTTTTAACTTCGTTACCTTCAATTTCTTGCTCTTAATCGATTGTAACTGTACTTAATTATAATTAACAATAATTAAAGTTTGAAAGGTGTAACCTTTCTTTTCAATTTCTTCTTAATTGAAGTATATCCAGCTTTCGTTATTTCAACTGGGTTACACGTGAATTTATAATAATCGAAAGATTATCAATTGGTTTTTCTTCAACAGCCAATACTGTCGAAAAGCTTATTAATAGGCCTCCGGTAGATAAAGTGTTAATTGTTCTCGGTTAATCGAATAAATCTTTGGTGTCCCAACGAGTACGAAGGGAATTCAACGATACCTAAGATCCGACACAGGAATTTTCGCGGTTCTCTACTTTTTGCGATATCTATTTTCGGTCCTGGCTTTGCTCTCGTCTCGCGGTTCTCGCGATTCCAACGAACGTTCGACCAACCGAAGAAAAAGTTTGATAGCTTGATACCTAGTGTTCATGATCGAAATGGAAACGTCCACCGTGGTATTTATCCCACAGAATGCACGTAAGCGACCTCCTTAACATTTATTTATGAATACTCTTTCTCATCGTCTTTGATACCGTTCATTCGATTCATACATAATTTAATTTTTTTCGTTTGAGACGCGTTTTTTAATTGGATCGTTAACGTTTCATTATAATCAGATGGAACAATTGTGCTAACGTTCCAATTTGCCGAGGCGTTGATTAACATAATTAGAGAATCAACCTAATCGAATGACCTCGTTACCCAATAAGCTGTCCGTACGTAATAATAGTTTCCTCGTTATACCAATGGCTGTGCTGTGTAATTATAATTTTCGGTGATTTTTTAACATCTCCGTTTAACACTAGAACCACCGACGTTTGATGCACGCTTATTTTTAAGCTGAAAAGGATGAAACATAATTTAATAATTCATTCGTTAGCTCGATAACAGCCAGCAAACATTTCAACAAAAATACCTGGATAAAATTTATAATTTAAAACAAGAAACTGAAAACCAGTGATTTTGATCCCTTCGGTAGTTCTAGTGTTAAATAAACTAAAACGAAATGTCTGATAGTGAAGTAACAAAAATTATCCCCTATCTTCCATCTGTATCCTTGCTCCTTTTTCTTATCTCCTTTAACCGTGTCCCAACCTTCTCTCGCCTCTCGTTCTTCTGTTTCCGGTTTTACGCGGATGTTGGACGACCGCATGTTCCACGATAAACGTTACTACCATAACGATGACGATGTCCGTTGCAACAACGCTGTCGGTGACTACGACGACGACGACGACGACGACGACGACGACGACGACGACGACGACGAGAACGTCACAACCACCACGGTCACTTCGGGCATCACGGCAGCGGTAAGTTTTCTGATAAGGCTAGTCACATTCCGATTGTCGTGTGACACGCGTGGAAGCGCGGCCCGTGTTCGCAATACTTAAATATATCGTGAACGTGCGTTGATTCGTCGCTTCGAAGGCATGTGGATCACCTTACACACAATCGACGCTTATTTTCTCATTTTCATTCCCTTCGTTGTGCCGTGATTTCGTTCGATCGGTAATTTCGACGGTAATTTCACCAGGAAATACGACGGAAACTCGTACCATCCTCCGGTGGGCGTACCATGGCTCCGCGACACCGGAACTACCGTTCTCTTCCGTTATCCTAAACGATATTTTTTACGTGATTTATTATATTTCATAAGTTCGTTAGAAATAACGCGGACGGAACTATCCACTTTTTAAAACAATTTATTATAACCACGAGTGTTTTCTAAGACAAGTGGAGGTGCTTCCGAGTATATTTTCTTTGATATCTCGGAGACGCCGCTATTTAAATAATATATCAACATAGGACATTTGTACACCTACGTGATACACGACATTTTTCTCCTGCCTAATAGCGTTCGAAGAATAATTGCGATACTTGGATTAACGTTGAATGATACACGATGATTCATTTCGCATCGTAATCGATATTGTTGCCCGAGTGAAGTGTAAGAAACACACGAGGTGTACGGTTTAATAGCACAATCGATGCGATAAAATCCTTAGAATCAAGAGATTCGCGATAACGACCGATAACCGAGCGTAGTAGAAATTTTCGCACGATAAAGATCGACCCGTGTATCTGAACGTTTAACCATCTTTGTAATGAAAACAAATATTCGAAGAAGTTAGTTTTCCTGATGGTCCCGTTGGACGATTAAACGTGATCCGATTAAATATCGATTGGAATTAGCGAGTGGAACGTGTACCGGTTCGTCTGTTTAAACGTCGATATCAATACTTTACGAAGCGGTAGCCGAAAACGTAACGGACGTCAAACGAGGTGGCGGGACTTGATCGATGATCGAGGATCGTGTCGCGAGTGCGAGTTCTGACCACTGGTGTGATTAATAAAATAAACGTAGGATCGTTAAAATGTCAACCCCGGCAGCGTCGCGACGTCGCCTGAACCCAGCGGTTCTTGCCAGATATAATAGCCAGCTGGCCAATTCCTCTCAACAGGTAGTTATGTTATCTAAATATATTTTTCTGCGTTCACTTTAATTCTCTAATAGAGAATACGTACTTGCTTCTGTTCAACTATGGGGTTAAATGTTGTACCGTGTCGTGTTGATTAATTATGATAAAAAGAAAAGTTCCGTCTAGTGTTCTGTGGCAAGAATGATCTACATCTTGTTGTGCAACTTCATTTTTTTTACGGTGTCAATGATCGCGTTCTCTTCCCCCTAGTGTCGTGCTTGGTATTCTATCGCGACACTAGGAAGTACGTAGCAGAATACTTGGAGTATCATTGTGGCCTTAATTGGACTCCGAGCTAATAAGAGCATCGAACTATTAAGCTTACGTGTATCGTTGTATTTGCAAACGCCACCTGCATTAACGCACATTCCATTTTGCCTGGAAAATCGCATCTTCTTGTCAAGAATGTTTCTGTTATTTTTTAATGCTGAAATTATGAATGAAAGTAATGCGTAATTTAATTCGTGAAAAGTAAAATATTAATTAAAACGTGTATCTATTGTTCTTTTAATTTCAAAATATATTTCCGCGCATTATTCGAGGGAAAATTTTATATTAAACACGTAGCGCCACCACGGCTGATAATCATGTCTCGGTAGGTAAATAAAAGTAGTGACACTTAGCGGTTGTTTCGATTAGTATAAAAAGAAAAGACATTTTTAATGTTTTCCTTATCATGAAATTTATTTATTATACCAAAATGCCCGAAGAGAATTAAAAATCGTCTATATTATTTTACGTTTATTTCAAAAAGTTATTCCAGGACAAAGTTAACGATCAACTATAATAACAAAGCAGTTGCATTCGTGCGTGCAGCACGCTGTAAGTACATATTCGTTTAAAATGTAGAGAAAAGTAGTTTTGAACAATACGATTCGTCGGCTTCGTTGAAACACTGACCGAACTGTATACCGAGAACAATATGTTCGCTCATCCGCCAAGATGCTCGTACGGCGGCTTCCGATTGGTCGACGCTATTCCGTGAAACACATGCGCAGATAAGAGAGGCAACCTCGTTGGTTATCCGTCGAGTACGAGCGGTAGCGTAGTAGATTTTCCCCCCACCCCTGGCGGTAGCTGCGCCAGGCGTGGTCGTTGGTTCGGGCACCGCAGTATATCCGAGTCGTCCGTAGGGTTCGCGTCGGTCCGTTGTCGGTTGTCAACCTTTGTTACCGAAGCTGTGTGTGCGTAGAAGTCGCGCGTGCGAGCGCGGGTGGATAGTGTGCGTGTTTGGCCAGAGGTCGTTTAACTTTTTTCCTCCATTGTTTTCTTTTCTATTAACTTGGCGATCGGCGGAACGAAGAATAACGTCGTGTTCAGTTTTTTCCTCCAGTTTCGTACAGAGGTCTAGTCGATAATGAAACAATGCAGAGAAAAGTGAGAGTGAACGTGGCCACGTTCGGCCGGTTTGCCGACAGCGTGAATCACCAACAGAACCGGCGTTCATGAGCCCACGCAGTGCTAACCGATGCACGATTTCTCTCTTTCTCTTCCCTCTTTTGCTCATTTTTCTTACCCTCTCTTCGTGATATATATCCCCTTCTTACACAAAAGTGCTGTTATACACACGGATACGGAAATTTTTTCCACGGACTCTGACAGATATATCGCATAAAGCGTAGTGAGTACTCATTGTTTTCTTCCGAGCAATTAATTCTTTAACGCGTGCATGTGCTTTTGCGCGAACGAAATTGTGCGTTCATTCGTAACGCTATCATCGGTGTCTATGACCGTGATATGGTTTCTGTTGATCCTGTGTAACGAAGGCGTTTCCAAGGGCAAATCATGGCTTTTGCGTACAAACCAAACAGCACCGTTGCGTCTCAAGAGATTTTAGTTTACGTGCTAAATCCATTGTTTTCGTATGCTTTCTTTTTTTATTGTATAGCTGTGATTGTTTCGTTCAAACAATCTGATCCTTGGTAATACTGCTTTTCGCGAGCAAAGCATTTAATTCTTTGAGTTTATTAACAGAATTCACCGTTACTTTCTGTAAAGTCGTACTAGTCGCATAAAGCTTTGTTCTTTCTTCGAAGCGTCTCGAGTTAATATCTCGAAGTTCGAATACAGAGCAACAGTTTCCTCGGGGTCGCAGAAACCGATAATCGAACCATAAAGGTAACTGCATGACATATTTTTCTCTGTTACAAACGAAAGAACGCCTTGTACGGTAGACACGCCCGTTCTTTTTTCTTACATCGAACCTCTTGTTTGCTTTCGCGTATTAATTACAACTGTTACGTTTACATGAATTATTTACGATGTATCGAAGAAAAAGCGCGTTGGATCGCTTTCGTTTACTACATTCATTAAACCTAACAACTACTTATTTGAAAAAAATAGAAAGGAAGAAAACATGATATGACAGTTGATTATCAATTTACTTGACGATAGACAGGATCAAGATACGTAGAAGCTGAAGGGAAGGGAAGAGAGGAGAAGAGAATTGGTGGCAAGGAAGAATCACGCGACATCGTGGAAATGTCGACTGAAAACCAAAACGGTTCCGCCGGCACACAGAGTAACGGCATAAAGACTTCGATCACCGTCTCCTCGTCCGCTAGGACCGTATCGAACAATTCGTCGTTTTTGTACAGCAGTAATTCGATGTTGAACCGTGAGAAACCGCGTCAAGTGCCACCACCAACATTGCCGAAATACACGTCCAGCTTTAACGCCGGTTCCAATGGCAGCGGCACGACCGACCGATTGAATAGAGATCGCGAAGTCGGAGGTAGTTACAGACTGGCAAGCCTCGATAGAATTGCCCTCAGGCAGAGGATACTGGACGGGGAAAAGGCGAACGGCGATGCTACGTCGGTAAGCCTGAGAATTTTTCCTTTTTCGCCGAGTGATTCATTAGGTTTAGCGTAAATATCTGGTACGAATAAACAGGCAATTCGAATTTCTATGCGATACATTTAAAAATTATTTCTATCGATCTACTTAACCCGATACGTTTAACGAGCCCGGTCGTAGAACTTCTAACCTCAGGTGTCGTCGAGGAGCTTCCCGGTAAATCTAAAATCGATAATTCTATAAAAGCGACAAACGAATAAGGTTTAATTACGGGAAGATCGATGAACCGTAGTCTAAACTCGGATACTGTAACAACGAGAGAATTTATTATTTCTCGTTGTTCGAAGTAACATGATTTTTATTCCATGTAACCATCTTTCCATTTTCACCTTCCCCGTATCTCGTGACTCGGTAATTCAATCCTTACTCTCGAAGAATCAAATTTTATACTCGTGACACACTGGAGGTCGCTCGTCTCGACACTCGAGGAGCCCGCATAAAGAACCACGTGATCGTTCCGTTTACTTCGTTCTCGTGGCTCCGTGAGAAAGCTGCCGATGACTCACGAGGGGGATCGAGTCTGCTCCAATCATGGCGGTCCAGAAAAACAACAAATTCTAATCGGACCGATATCGTCTACTAATTACTCTTACGAAACGTACTCTTACATAAAAACTATACTATTAGATGTATAAATTAATTCGTTGCCTTTTCTTTATTTTAATTAAAGATTTATATTTAAAGAGCTATTTATTGAAATAATCTTTACTATTACTATGTTGTCTTGTCACTTTTCAAATGTTCAAAACCGCGAGAAAATATTAATTAAGAAGGCGTAATACTAAAGGTACCGAATTAATTTGTACATCTAATAATTTAAAAACTTTATTCTTTATTATAGAGTATTGTCACATTAAACGCGTTGATTCAGTAATTGTATACATTTACTGGTGAATTTTATATGGGCATTTATTAGCGAAAGTGTCCTTTTAAATCTATGTTTTCGCGGATGAGAATCTCTGTCGTAAACACATGGTGAGTTCACCCTCTGTCAGTGCGTATGAAAGAATGAGAGAGGATTCGTTAGCGAGATGCACAGCAGAGAGCGATGGTGGAACATATGGCAGGGTTCTTATCTTCGTTTTCATGGGCTTTCGCGCGAGACTCAGCTTTTAATTCTCTCGTCAGCTCTCTTTTACGTCGAGTATACGCGACTTACGATTTTTCAAACCACCACAACCTTACGTTATTTTAGTTCTCAACAGTTGTTGTTTTCTGTTTTGAAGAATTCAGTTTTCTGCTCGGAACGAAGGGAACGTACGGTGATCGTACGAATTTGAGAATCACTGAGAGTGCACATGGTCACCCCCCGTATATATAGTATGTTTCGTCGAAAAGCATGCCTCGTGCAACTACGGGGTGGTTCCGTTCGAGGGTCCTACCCTCGTTATAGATAGAAAAATACACAGCAATCCGTGACTCACCGAATAACCAAGAGATACATATTCGAACAGGGTTTTAATCGAACGCGTCACCCTTATCGTTCGACTTTAAACGATCGTTCTGTGAAGCGTACGCTTTTTAGATACTCGTCGCTTAAGTTTCGATGTTATCAAATAGATAATCTTTTTTCTTTTCATTCAACTCATTATGATGATAATTTTCGATATATTTCTCATTCGTCGGTCAAATACAAAGTATTCGACTCTGGTTTCAAGAAAAACGAACGAGTTACTGCGGCTGCATTCGATAAAATTGAAATTTATGACTTCCGCGAGCACGACCGATCTTAAATGAAATCACTGTTCTGTCTTTGATCAATGCGACTCGTTGAAGTTTTATCGAACTTGTTATTTTCTACCTCAGAATATGAACCGAATAGCGAGTTGCTTATTTCGAGGCAATACTGTAATATTTCATAACGAACACTGTTTGAAGTTTAAAATTCTTGAATTTCGGCTGACCAAGATGTAGATGTTGGCTGGGTTCGTTGAAAGAATGAAACTGGTAGAGATCGAGCATGGTCATTACTCGATTTTTATTCAATGAACACCTGGTGGAACGGGTTTAGGTTTCGTTAAAGAAACACGAGGACGAACCTTAGCGTGTAAATGCATACGAATGACCCTGGTGCGATTCCGTGGAACTGAAGGGGATAACCCGCCCACCCAACGCAACAAAGTACCCTTTCAGAAAAGCAGGCCGCGTCCCACTTTTTTCACCCTGTTTTTTTCCAAACAACATTCGCGTTCCACCGGTCTGTGGTGTTTTCTACCCCTTCAGCCAAATACGTGGTATGTGTGTACATAACTGCTTAAAAAGCGTTTCAACCTACTCGTATGCCGTTTTACAATAGCAACGAGCGGCAACTTGAATGAAACGAACGAAAGGGGAAAGATGGAGATACGGGGGGGAGGAGAAAAACTCCGGAAAAATATGATCGGTTATAACCATTCAATTTTTTGCTCGAATCGTCAGGATACTCGATTTCGCTGCTTGACTCGTTTAGAGCGTTCGACTCCTGGGTAGTCGGCGTTAATTGAAGATAATTAACCGAGACGTTGTGCTGGCACGTGCGAGACACAGCGTCTTGATGGTAGAATTTCACTAAGGCGTTTCGCCCTTACGAAACAACCTTAATTACGAAGATGTGTCCGGGTCGAGGACACGCGAACACGATCCTCTGCAAGATGCAGCCTTTACCGAGGCGAGTTTCGCGCGAATTGGGTTACGCGTCGAGTCGCTGTTCGAAGAACAACGATGTTTTCACATTTGTTTCAAGCAATAAAACGATATATTTCATTTTCTTTCAACTAACGGCTGAAACCGTCTGAACAATCGAAGAGAATTAACGTTTCATATTTTAACCCTTTCGTGCACGAATTTTTGTAGGTAAACAATCTTTTTTAATTTTACTTGTATAAGGGATTTTTGGAGTCGCTGATTACGAATTTGAAATCAGATTTTCAAAATTCAAAGTGGCAGATTATATAGAAAATATCGGCAATGCTGTGAAAATTTTGAGTATAAAAATATTTTAGAGCTAAAAAGCGGAAGAGCGAAAGGTGATACATATATGTGTCTCCTTGCAGGAAAGGGTTAATACGAATAAATGGGAACATTCCGCGATAACATACATTTTATATGTTGGATCGAAACGCATGGGAGTTGAAGGAACTCCCGAAGGATTCATTAGAACTACAGTACAGGGGAAAAGATCAATAGATGGAAGTGCCAGGGTCATTTCCAGTTCAGCTTCGTATTTTTATTCGATAGAATAATCCTGTTACTATCAGACACGAGTAAAAATATGATTGTTACCATTGAAATCGGCGATGCGTGTAATTAGCGAGTGTTCTTTATCAGTAAGACGGAAATTGTCCAAGTTGTTAAAAGTTGAAGCTCGTAAATTTTAATGTCACTCGTATGTACACAGTGTCGCGTGTAATTACCACTTTTATTGTTACCACTTTTACCTTGCCTTACCTTCTGTGCCCCAGATTTATAGCGTTATGCGCCGACTCTACGTTATAGAGTATACGGCGCCTGCCGTTTAATTCGCGGTGAATTCTTAGCGTACGATGAATTCTAAATTACCTCTGCCTCGGTATTGAAGTTCACGCGAAACCAGTTGCGACAGCTGTGGAACGGCTGTCGTTGCCACAGATACATAAATTCCCGTCGGTCGCTTTTAAATTTCCTAGTTGAATCGATCCTACCCTTTTGGCGAGTTCTTGATGCACGTTTATCGTGGCGTCGAATAAATTTTCATTCCTCTCGTCGTCGTGGAAACGGCAAGTTTTTCTTCCCCTCCACCTATTACACGACTTTCAATTAGTTCGTTATTTTCCCTTGGTTGTTAATTAAATTTTACCCTCTACACTGTCGTACGTTATCCCTTTCGATGAAATTACTATTGGATTTCATTGCTGCCAGTTGTATCTTCGTTCGTTAAAGAATACTTTCTTTCGTGGATTGTTAGCAAAACAGCAGCTTTAAAATAGATCAAAGTCGAGTCTGCCACGTGGTAGACGGTTTAAGTAGTTATTTATGTTCTTTTCGCGTACAATGTACACACCTCGAAAGTTTCATTCCCTGGAGAAGTATATTTCGTTCTCGCCAACCCCTTTTTCGCGGTCTTTAATTATTTTTTAAGCTTACGTGATTTTCATTTACGTTCTTTGTGTCATTTTAAATGACATCATTTATAAATAGGCTGAAATTAATCGCGGTTACACGGAAGGATGATGACAAATTTATACCGTATCTAATCTGTCTTATACATATTATGTACGCGTTACAACATTCGTTGTTGCATACCAACGACGCTAATGGAATCGTTGAGTCGATCATAAGGCCGGGATTTTTTCACGCGAACGCATTATCGAATACGTTACGCATAGAGCTCTAGCACGGAGAGTGCTAGTGTCTCTTTTGTCTCGTTTACGAATGCGTGACGTGCATGAAGCTTTTAGAATACAATGCCGTATCGGTATAATAGAAACATTCTTCTCTTCTTGTGACTTAAGACTCGAGACTTGAGTCCATGCTCCGAGAAAAACGGCTTACGAGCTTCGAACCCTCGGAAAGAGACGTAAAATTATTAATATTTTTAAAATTATTAACATTTTAAACAATGTAATAATATTCTGCTCTACCGAAGTTAAAAATGTATGCGAAATTTAACGGGTGATTAAATAATTTTATGATTGATACAAATATCAGTTATCCCGAATTGATTAGTAATATTGATTAGAATATGAAATAGATTAAAATCTATTGAAATATTGTAAAAATTATTTTATGATCGATATAAATATTAATAATCCCAGATTGATTAGAATATAAAATAGATTAAAGGTTAAGCAGCTGATAACTTGTTACGCATGTTATGGGGCCTGTACTTGATGCAGAAGCGACATACTGCATTTTATCAACAAATTATGCAGCTGTTTCTGATAACCGGCAATCGACTATCTCTCTGTTTAAACAAACTTCGGCGCAAGGTCCTTTGCCCCGCTCACCTGTGCCGAATAATCAGGAAAGAACTAGGCGATCGATATCGCGCACTCGAATTCCGAGTTCTTTTCTATGAACCAGCGGTTTTTTTTTTTATTCCGGGGGAAAAATAACGCCAGTTTTTCCCCTGGGAAATCAACGGAATAGTTGGAATATTATCGTGTTCCGGGATACGATCTCTCTTAGCTCCTTTTAATAACGTTCGAACTCTAGCGATATTAATCTCGTCATCGAAATTAATGATAATTCGAATAAATTATCTGTAATGCTTCTAACCATTTTAAATAGTTAGTTAACATGTGTCTTAACACGGTGAACATCTGTTTCAGAGAAAAATCGTTAGCGTCGGTTGATTTAATGCCGTTCTTCTACTATCTGCACCTTTGTAAAAGAATACGACAGGTGTTCTGTGATCGCGGAAGCCATCTGCACTCCCATTCAGACGGCCTTTAAGGTTTCATTGCGTCTACGATATCAGTTCTCGGCTTTGCATTTTCAATGGAATCTCAGGAGAGGAAAGAACGAAATGGAAATGGTCGCTGTGCGCGCGTACAATTAATTCGAGCAACGCTTAATTATCGTTTTAGCGCGATGATTATTATGTTTGTATCTCTTTTTTTTTATTTAACTTGGATTTGTTCTTCGGTTTTAGTTCCTTCTTTCTCTCATTTTTGTACCGTATTTTTCTCCGCTGTTACGTGTCGCGGTAACTTCTTCCATATACACGCGAAGATCTGTATTACAAATTACGAGATTCGAAAAAATGCGATTCAACCGCAGCAACCGCTAAAAATAACGTCGACGGATATTCGAAACTTCTGCGGAGGATCGTTCTGGAGTCTCGCGTTTACTACAGGCGTACAGGATAAATAATTGTCGTCTTGTGCAACGAGCACCAGATCTTTTCCGCCCTCTCTCATACTCCGTACTTGTAGTATTTAAAGCTGAAAAGCTATGAAAGTTGTATTTAAAAAGTTTCACGGCGTTTACCCTCTTTGTTGTTACAATATATTCCGGGGATAAATCAAAAGGTTGTATGTAAAACTAAGGGATAAATCTGATAAAATGCAATTCCCCTCGAGGATAAGCTGCTTTCAGCTGACGATGCATGCTAGTTAGAAATTTAAGTGCAAAAGACAACTCACTCGAGGTGATCTCGTCTCAGCGATGCTGCTCGCTCATTATAAAGCGCTTTTTTTCGCTCGAAAATTTCTTTCATAGGTATAACGACACATCTATATATGTATATTCAAGTAAAAATCAGGGCATTAGTAGTATTGTGAAATTTTAACTTGTTCGCTATTATGTTATTAACCCTTTCGCTACTAACGGTGACTATAGTCAACCAACTTTTTTAACTTTGCTAGAGCAGAATATTATTACATTGTTATTTCTATTTTATTTTATATTACGAGATTATTATTTTGTTATTTTTATTTTTTAACTGCGTATGCGTTAGACAGCGGATTCGCGAGCAAGTCCGCCTAAGCGAAAAGGTTAATAACATATTAACAACGTGCACGATCCGAAGTCGAATTGGAGCATACTTCAATAGTTTTCACAATAATCATGGAATAATCGATTCGGTCGATTCCCCTAGAAAGGAGTACAAACCGTTTCTTTCTCCCCTTCCGAGTCCTTTTGTTCCGAACCTCTTCAGTACGAGTGGCTTTTGGCTTTTATACAGCCTCTGAAATTCTCGCATAAAAGGCAGTTGGTAAACTCTTAATTAATGGCAAACTTATGTACAAACTTCTCAACGTTGTCCTGAGACCCAGGATATCATTAGTCCTTTCGTACAATACTATTTAACTGCCCCCCCTCCTAGTTGCAAAATTTCATCTTCGGGTTTGCCAGATTTTCGATTTCGGTTTACTCGAAAGTTCATCATCCTCGTTAATGTACATAACAGAGGAAAGAGGCAGAGTAGCATGTTGGAAGATTCTTACATGCCGAGAGGCTTCTTTGATTTTCCATTGTTCCGTGTTTCTAGCCAAGGAGGAGTCTGAAGGTTTTATGAGAGGAAGTCAGTCGCACGGGTAAATTGTCACGATGCGTCCACCGTATATACCTCTTCCTTTTAGATCTCTCAAGGGACTTCGAAACGAGGCTGTGTCTCGCTGTGCAATCTTACGTGCACTGGACCGGTTTCTGTTCCACGATGCTGAACTCGGTTCGACCGAGTCTCTTTGCTTCTCGGATTCTCCCGATACAACCTATGCGCTCTTTGTTGGATTGTACCGTAAATAAAAGACGGTTTCCATAATCAACGTTCCCACGAAATTTTTTTTCTTCTTCAAAATCATTCTCTCGGTTATATCCAACGTATACCAAACTAGTTTGACCATTCCGTATATTTTTAGCTTCCACCAAATACCCGCGTCTGATATTTTCTTTCCACCGTGTTTGATATTTTCTTGTTTGCTTTGTGGATTTTATAGAGTAACCCTACAAAGCTTGCAGGGTTTCTGCTTTCAGTTTATCGAGTCGAGAAACCTAGAGTTAACTTCTAACGAATTTTCTCTCTCTCTCTCTTTCACTCGTGTACCTTTTCCCTCGTACTTTCCAAAAAAGTACACTTCAAACCACGGATAATATATAGGTAGTTCATTTTTAGCTGGGTGCAGCGTACGGTTGCGTACAGTTTCATCTTGTCGTTGACACCGGGTACGTGTAAAACACCTTTAAAGTGCAATCGTTCGTTCGTTGACTCTGCGCCGCTTCTGTAAGCAAAGCATTTCAACCGAAACTGTTTCCGCGCGACACTTTCGAGGTTAGAAAGCTTCTCTCGCGACGCGCTTGGTAAATCGAGAAACTGCGAGCTCCTTTAACGAGCAACCTATGTTACGCGATATTACGCGACGCGTGTAAACGACACGAACGTGTAAATATGTAAGCGCATATCGATCGATTGGTAATAGGAAATGAAACTCGATATAGAAAATCTCTGGCCTGTTGTACGTTTCCGCCTTGACCTTACGCGTGTATCATCGCTCCCTAATGAGATCGAACCAGCTATTCAATTTATATTCAACGCCACAATGACCACGATACCATTGGATTGTAACGGAATACCGTAGCGCATTATGATTCTCTGTACGTGTTCTTTCGCTATGTTCAGACATTAAACCGTGGACTAGAAAATTTTTTTCTTCCCCCTTTAATTATTTTTTCCCTTTTTTTTTTTTTTTTGAAGTCGTCTAGCTACCAGAGTGCCTCTCTTTGACGCCGCGGAATACGGCAAGATCGTAAAAAGCTTTGCGCTTCAAACGAAAACTCTTACGAACGCGTTCTTTTCAATACCGTTCGCGAAACTCCGCTAGACGAAATGTAACAATTCTTTTTTTTTTCGTAAGCGAGTGTTTTTTACATGATTTAACGTGATATTGAGATTAATAGTCTGAAAATAGGGATAAAATCTTGTACTCGAAACTACAAAAGGAAGTGTAGGGAAAGAAATGTCCCAACGCTCTCCCAAGTATCTCCCTAGATCTCTGTAAGTTCCCCCAGGGTTCTTCGAATAGCAAAGGCAAATGGCGGGTTACTCCTCCTTTGGTCCATCTGTTGCTAATCCCATATTTCATGTAGGTTATGTTCTTCGAGTTGTCAACGATACCGTGAACTGTATTTACTAGTTTGGACAGCGACCACTTCCGACCGGAAGTTCATAAGACACTGCGCCATTCGAAGCTGACCATAGCCCGTTGCCGGTGTTATATGTAAAAGCATATCGATCGTAAGGAAAGCAAACCGTTGCTCCGCGATGCGGCGTTATCTTTTACCTTCCTTGTATTTCTATACGTGTTTATTCACCTCTTCAAGCTACACATTTCTCTTAGATACAAAATAAAAAGTACACGACAATCACTGCAGTTGCGTTAAAACGGGTAGCTTTTGCTATTTACGATTCAATTAAAAACAAAAGGAGGCCAATGGGGTAAAGAAAGAGAAGATCGGATCGATTGCATTTACATATCTGCAGCACAGATCTAGGGATATTTTTGCACGCTAAACGGTTAGTTATTGACATGGATTGAATATTTCTCGCTGGTTCAGCGGGATAATACGTTAGAGAATTTTCTCGTTCCCGAACCAGAGGATATTTTCCGACACGTACTTATCCATAACGGCATTCAGGTGGAAATTTCTGATGTTGCAAATTATAATCATCTCAGTGATTTAACCGTATTTGCGCGGCGACGATATCGGTTCATTTTTTCTTTTCTTTTCTTTTTTTTTTTTCGACATTACGTTGACAAAAATTACACAACATATATACATATACGTGTGTTATTTTCAGATACAGGCGAAGCGCGAGCTGTTCTTCAAAGGCGACAATACTGGAATAATATCATCGCCGTCTGTACCGTCGGTACCACCGCCTCAACCACCGTCACAGGTTCCACCGTCGGTGAGCACGTCATCAACGACAGCCACGACGACCACGACTCTCGCCTCGCCTAATACAGCACCGCCAGCCTCTTCGACCGTGTACACCAGTGTCACATCAACGGCGCCTACCTCGAAGCCACGATTATATCCGTCCACGGGGATTTTGAATCAAAACGATGCATCGGAGGACAGCAATAAACGGGAGTCGAACAGGAGCGATAACAACAAAGAGGCTACTGTCCTCCATCATCCACGATCAACGCCATTGACTAAACCAAAAGAACTCGATGGATACGTAGGATTCGCGAATCTACCAAATCAAGTCTATAGAAAGGCCGTTAAGAAGGGCTTTGATTTTACTCTAATGGTCGTCGGTTAGTTTAGTTTCATCGCTCTTCACTACTCTATTCCAACTGCTTTACCGTTCAAATTCGTGTTCACTTTACCGTTCTTTGTTCAAAATCAATTGACCGCTCAGGGCTACTTCTCCCCCGCTATAAAGATAACAGATAAACTGACATAGTAGTTAAATGGGTTATGGCAGAGGGTTTTGTTCCTCGTTGGCCTCGAGCGATCAATTGATTTAGAACAGGTTACATTCAATTTATCTAGTTTCTATTCCCTCTTAATATTTGATAGTTGCTTCCTAGTGGTTTTTTTATTCTGATTTCCCTAAATACACAAAAGTAGATTAATGTCCGTCATAGTGAACAGAGAAACGGTACTCTATTCACCCTGAAACGAATTTATTTTCGCAAATGGGGCATAAAAAATGCATGCCACGACCTTTTATGTCTCCCTTTATTAACGTCCATTGTGCAAATGAACGTACAATAGGCGTTTGTCCTGTTCTCCAGATCGAGAGACAAAGAGATTCGTTTCTTTGCTTGATATTTCAATTTCCTCAAGGATATTGCCTTATAAACTTCCATCTGCTTAACACGTGCACAACGCTCTTTCACTCGACTGGACTAGGGTTGTTTTCAAGTAGCAGCGGTTGTCATTTTTCCCTTGTTCTCGATAAATTTAATATTACTCAGTTTTGAACATTAACGTATTGTATAATCGTTGATCGATGATTATTCTGTAATAAGAAAAGTTCAATCGGTATGGAAAACTGTCGGCGACATACTGCATGGTCGAAATGAAAGCTTGAAATTCAAAAGTACAGAAGGGGTGATACTATTATTAGTACTGGTATAAACAGAGTCATTTGTCCGTAAATAGAGCAATTGAAACGCTTGTCCTTGAGAGTGAAAAGGCGCGGCACTTTAGCCAGTTCAAGGTACCCGAACCAAAAGGTCAGGGTACTGTTTGGTATTTGGTAGTTCCTCGGTAAAGACGCGCAGCTAAGCCTGAAAACTTCTATTAATCTTCTTTAACTGTTCGCTTCTTAATTATCAATGTATTCATTCTCTTCTATTTTATGTGTTTGTTTAGGTGAGTCAGGATTAGGAAAATCAACTTTAATCAATTCAATGTTCCTCTCCGATATATACAGTGCCGAGTATCCTGGTCCTAGTCTTAGGGTTAAAAAAACCGTAGCCGTAGAGACTAGCAAAGTATTATTGAAAGAGAACGGCGTCAATCTGACGTTGACGGTCGTTGATACACCTGGATTCGGTGATGCAGTTGACAACAGCAATTGGTAATTTATTCGTTATACTTTCTCAGGATTATTATAATCTATTATACACCGTATACATATTTTAATTAGACGAGTGTCTTTCTTTTAGCTGGGTACCAGTGATCGAGTATATCGAATCAAAATACGAGGAGTTCCTTAACGCCGAGTCTCGTGTAGTAAGACGGCAGATCTCAGACAGTCGAGTACACTGTTGTCTCTACTTCGTTGCACCCTCGGGCCATGGTTTGAAACCGTTGGACGTCGAGTTCATGCAGCGTCTTCACGACAAAGTAAACATCATACCCGTAATCGCGAAGGCTGACACAATGACGCCAGACGAATGTGCTCATTTTAAAAAACAGGTACATGTTCATAAGTTACAACGTAAAAAATGATCGATAAGAAGGATACAATATGATGCTACATGTCTCTGGACTATTTTCTTTATAGATACTGAATGAGATAGCGCAACATAAGATTGAAATTTACAAATTCCCAGAAGCGAAAGATGAAGAGGAAAATAATTTGCATAAAGTTCTTAGAGATAGAGTACCGTTTGCGGTGGTGGGCGCAAATACCGTGGTCGAACAAGATGGAAGGAAAGTACGTGGAAGAAAATATCCATGGGGCATCGCTGAAGGTGCGGATTTCTTATAATTCGATAATCTGATATCACTTTAGGTATTGATTCTTGTGTCAAATTTTGGAGGAAATCAATGCTTTCTTTTATTTTCAATTGTTTAGTGGAGAATTTGGAACATTGCGATTTCATAGCCCTACGAAATATGGTGATTAGAACGCATTTGCAAGATTTGAAAGACGTTACAAATAATGTACATTATGAGAATTTCCGATGTCGCACATTGGCGGGCGTTGGAGTAGATGGAAAGCCAACAAAAGTTTCCAATAAGTAAGTGTATTTTGTTAGTTAAATACAAAAAAAAAAAACATATACCTTAATTGTCTCTATGTAAGACTATTAAAAAATGAGTATTTTATTAATTTCAAGTTAGGAATCAAAACTAAGAGACAAAACGACCTAATGTACTACAATACATAAACGTCCCATAAAGCAGGAAAATTATATCGATTTTCTTTTCCATTTTTCTTTTTTTCTTCAATGCAAATATAAATGCTTGTAGATTACTTATTTATTTTCATTATAAAAAATGTTAAAAAAGCTTGTGCATGCAAACTATTAAAGGTAAAGATTACCTTTTATAGGTCATATTTTAAAACTAAATAAAATCAGCAAAGTTGTTAAGACGTGTTATAGTTTAAATTAATACTAGTATAGAAGCAAAAGTGATTCTGAAAATACAATTTTTTAATAGTACATTCTTAACTTGAATTTTAATGCTAATTTCTTATTGGTTAGTTTGTGCCCCCCAGGAGTGATGAACAGTTTCATGACGGTGTGGTAAGTCTTTTAATAAGGCCGGGATCGTGTAAATATAGTTTTGTGTGCACAAGCCTTGTTCAGTTTCTATTTACTGAGCATTAGTTTTAGATGCATTTCTGGTTTTCTTTTTTTAGTTAAAAGGGGGGTTCACTTCGCTAGTAAATCAAACATACTTAAACTATTCAAATTCAGTAGGATACACAAAGACAACAATATAGTAATTTAATTTGAGTAGGAAAAGCATTACACTGTATAATCTAAGTATATTAATCGCCTAACATTTGTTTAAGTATTAATAGTGAACCCTCTGACAATCTTCTAATTGAATATTTCGTTTGTGTAAGTAGATTGCATTACATTTTTTGAAAAATATTTTTGCTAATTGTTTTAGTATTATTAGATACTTTATATAAATCTGCTTGCTTTTAGTATACACTTCATACTAATGTCTCTCTCATTGAATATTTCTCCCACTGTTAGCCTCAACAATATATTATTTCCCTATTAAATCCACAGTCAGAATAAAAATTGTATTTTCATTTTAGAATTATCCATATATGTAAATAGAGCACCCCTCCAAAAACGCAGTGTAAAATGTAGTAACAAAAATTTGTACAAGGTGTTTATCTTTGCGTATTGTGATTATTTAGATTCTGAAACAATTTTTACGTATTTTATAGGAATCCGCTGGCTCAGTTAGAAGAAGAGAAGAGAGAACATGATAATAAAATGAAGAAAATGGAAATCGATATGGAACAAGTATTTGAAATGAAAGTCAGAGAAAAGAAACAAAAGCTTAAAGATTCGGAAGCAGACGTGAGCACCATTGCTATGCGTAGATATGAATTTACTTAAGTGTAGAAATTGTTTTAATAGAAAATAAACTTTGTTTATAGTTGCAAAGAAGGCATGAACAGATGCGGCGTTCTTTGGAGCAGCAGGTGCGTGAATTAGAAGATAAGAGGCGAGCGTTTGAAGCTGAAAAGTTGGCATGGGAACAACAGACTGGACACAGTATCGAAGAATTACGTAGGCGCAGTCTAGAAGCGAATTCAAAAGAGTAAGTATCATTTAAGTAATAAAAGATCTGTTTTTCATTGTTTATATCTTATAATTATGGTTTTATACATTTCTCTTTATGTAAAAGGATATACACATATATATATATACATATATATCAAAAAATAAAACTGCTTCTTGCACGATTAGAAAGGTATTTTAAAAATTTAAGGATTTAAGGAAATAGACGTATTGCTTCAATAAACTGTATATAGATTAATTTGTTATTTATTTGTTACAAATAATTTCAAAATGCTTAAATCCTTGCTTTAAAAAATCGTTTTAGCTAAAGAAGCGCGATAAAGGCGTTTGTACTTCAGCTTATAACATAATTGTATTTTATTACAATTTAATGCTACTAATATTTTGATGATCATTAAGTAGTACAAGTTTTGAAAAATGAAACAAAATTGCGTAGAAGCTGTTTCATGTAGTTTAGTCTAATAGCAGGAAATTACTAATAATTATTAATAAGCATGTTCAGCGTAATTATTCTTCTGAACTTAATTGACGTTAATTCAACATTTATTCGTTTAATATTAATTCAGTGTGATTCAGTAAACAATATGATAATTTCATCTTATTTAAAGTTAATTAATTAACAGTTTTATTTTCTCCTAAAACACGACCCCGAATTTGTATACAAATGTAATGTTCTAAAATATTGCTGCTGTATCATTTGAATTTTCGTTACGAATGTATTTTTATATCTCTCGTTTCATTTTAAATGATCATTCAGGGCATTTAAATACTTTAGATGTTATGTCATTTTTGTTCAATGTGCACCACATTTACGTAAAGCTAAAATCATAAAACATCTCACAAAAATGTATTTTTTTTTTCTTTTTCGAACGCTTAGCTAAAATTAGCACCGAATGTTATGCAATGTAACAAGTGCACAAGTATTATTATTATTTAAGAAAGCTTTACGGACGAATGTAATGTCATGCTTGCGCTTGTTTGTTTGTTGTGTGTATACCATATCGGGGTGTCCTTAATTTAGGACGGGATCAGTGTCTTCCGAGGGATCTGGCGGTGGCGGGGGTACATTGAGGGGGTCCCGAGGGATAGGAAGTCTCCTACGCCGTCACACCAGTTTCAAATCACCTCAAGACAGCCCTACACAGATACAGCTTGTCATACAACATCCTGAGCATCCTTAGTAGATTGTAGAATCTATCTACATTTACTTACAAATGTTTCTACGTCGCTGTGTCCAAGGACTAAATTTTCCAATCTTAACATCGATCTCATTTTTATTCATTTGATGCGGGTGTTTTTTTTTTTTTTTTATTACCGATTTAACATACGACTATGCTACGTACTCGTTAATTGAAAAAGATATTATTACACATCGTTTTGTGTATCTTTACTGTTAGTTTTTTCTTTTTGTTTCTCTCTTTTTTGATTACCTTTGTTTAACAATTACAAACGCCTATTAAGATAGTAGCTACACCATTTTCGATTGTTGTGAAAAGTATTAGATATTTCGGTTATTGTGTAAGTAGCAGGTATTCTCGTTACATACTTATATTTCATTTCGTTTCCGTGGTTCCGCCGATGAAAAAGATGAATAATTCTTAAACAGTAGTTAAGATCATACGCCGTCAGTGATGAAGTAAAAAGCTACCATTAGTTCGAAATCGATTATTAATATTCACAATTATCATTATTTCAATACTGCTTATTCATTTATTGAACAAAACAAAAAGTTGCATATCAAACAGACTATCGTTTAATAGGCAATGATTCCTAATTTAAAAATAAAAAAAGAGTAGAGTGTATGTTGTAAGAGAATCTATGCTCTAGATTAAAGAATAAAAAGAGAGATATTGATATCAAAAAAAGAATTACAATAGTGACGTTACATTAGCCCTATATAAATGTATTTTAGAGGGGCATATTTTTGGCACAAAATTTGATAAACTTTATGTAAAGATAGAAAACGCAAGAACTCTTTATATTCCTATATCACTGTTTTTTATATTTACTAGAACATATGTTACACTCACATATTTACTGCAACAAGCGTTACACTCATACATAATCCCTTGTATGAACTCAAGTAACAATCACACTTGGTAAAGTATTATGGAAAGCTATTGTAAACTCTGAGCAAGCTGTCCGTTTCTTTTTCCTTTTTATTTCATTGAAACATTCCAGTTCGTACGTCTTGACATTCCCTTTACATTGTAAATTTAGCATCTCTTTTCTAGACATGATTCTTGGAAACAAGTTGAGTTGAGAGTTTGTGAGACAGCTTGATAAGGGGTAATATTATACACGACCAGTAATAATTATTCACAAATAATATTGTTAATTTCATTATTAAATTTTGTTCGCAAATAAATGTAATGCTTTTCTACAACATTTACTAACCATTTTCGTCGCCTTCATTTTTTAGCCTGTTTATGAATATATGCGTGTTAAGAAATATCGATAAATGTTAGAAAAATACCGTTCGTTTATTTTAATATATAGGAAGCTTTAAACCATACAACGCAACACGAACGTAATTTTTCATTAGCATTTTTTCAACGTTACGCTTTTTCTTTGTATATTATACGTCATTACACTTATTTTTATAAATTTTGTATATATATATATCTAACATGTTCATCAGAATTGTATGTACATCATAATAGAAATTACTATGTTTTTTTGTATCAAATGTTTCAGTACTAAAAATATACAGTATCGCTTTAATTTACTTACTGCAACAAACAGTTATTATAGATATAACAATTGTGTATAGATATTTGTCAAAAACAAAGAGAAAAATCTGAAAGAGATATTCTGAAATTCTGTACAACAAATATAGAACACATTAACACCGAAAAAGCATGCGGCTTGATGGTCGTGGCTCATGAAAGTATATTTCTGAAAGCATGAATTCTGGCATGACTTGATTTTTTACATAGTTATATTTATTCAACAGTTACAAATGGATGTACACATTATTCTTCATGTTTTAAATAGTAAAATTGATAAAATCTTAAACGTTATATAATAACATTTAATGCACACATATGATTAACAAGGAAATAAGTGTATTTAATGAAATTGTATAGTCAGTTGTAATGCATTTGTACTTTGAATAACCAGATGGTAGCGTATGGGATATCATCAATAATTCTTTATTAAAAGGTTGAAAAATCTAAGGCAATAAATAATTACAACTTGTAAATCATTCACACTGTAAGTTATGCTGCCATCTAATAATTGTAATACAGCGATTTTTTCTACTGACACTATCATTCTTTTCAGGACCGTTGATGGTAAGGATAAGAAGAATAAGAAGAAAGGACTCTTCTAACTCGACTCCAGAACGACGACATGAAGAGTAAACTTTTCTTGATGCAGTAAGCAACGATTCTTCTTAAAAATGATCATATCAGACGTGTGATCGTTTTAAGAAAAATTGAAAAGAAATTAATGAAAAGTATTTGCATTTAATAAATTTACTAGTAATCTCCTGAACTACTCCAAATCTAATTTTTTTACTATAATAATTTAACATTGATTTATATTGATATCATTATGACTGATATGTACAGTACTCGATGAAATATATTTTATGATTTTTGAATTTCATAATAATACGCTTTTGTAATCATTTAAAGATCAAGAGTGTAGTTCAGGCGATCGATTAATGAATCAAAAGACAAGAAATGAATATATGTTGCTTAAATTACGCGGTTGATGTGTATACTGTGTATATCACTCCACGTTTGTACGACTTCCTCATTTGACAATGCATAAACCTCACAGTTTCAGGAGTGAGGTGAAAGAGTGTTTCTTCTATCGTGTTCTCGCCTGTGCTTCTTTGCGCTTCCTATTATTAATATACAAGAAAATTATACTAGCATAATTTGACTTACTCTTGTAAAATTATGTGTGCTGTAAATTTGAGCACTGTTGCGGGATCGCATTATAAAGAATAAGAACCTCTTTCTACGAAAATTGTACACATAAAAATAAAAAGTGCGATACATTTATCGACCTAATTAGGCGAGAAAAGTCTCTGTGTCTAGAGATAGCAATAAATTGTATCAGTGTTTAAATATTCTTTCGTATCGCGTTCGAGGCGTTGTTAAATAAGCGACTAAAGGTGAGTGCATTTAATTATAAAATGACGTCTGCAAACAGAAGAAAAATTGTACAAAAAAGGTTTTTTTTTTACGTCAATCATGTTTCTTTCCGTTATTCGCTTAACACGGGTAACGTAATAATGAATCAATTCAAAAATACGAGGAAAAACAATATCGAAAATATATTATCTCTAATTGATATTTTGTTCAACAACTCAATACATCATTTTACGAGGGGTGGTTGGATGTGATTTTAAATGAAGCAGTGGCCATATATATATATATATAAATATATATTTATGTATAAATAAAATCGAGGAGATTTTAAGGATAAGTCCAATTCGTGTAAATTTAAGTTGTACCGATAGTAACGCAAATTCGACTACGAGTAAGAATAATTTGTATAAATAAATGTGTTGGATCGTTGTGATTCGAGACAGTGCGCCACAATGTCGTTTCCTTCGCTATGAAATCGTAATCTATAAATCTTCTATTAACAATAGGTTAATTATTAATGAAATCATGCGTGAACTCAAGAATAACGTAACCTGAATAATGCATAATTATAAAAAAGAAAGAAAAAAAAAAAAATGCTAACCGCATCGTCTCGAATCCGCCCAAGTATACGTTGTTATTAGCAAACAAGAATGGGCAAGCGCTCCAAATAATCGGTTCCTTCAACTTTATTTGTTTTCCTTTTCCGGCTGCCTATTTTAATACCGAATCCCATGCACGAGGATTTTTCTGTTAGATTTAAGATCTTTGGAAGGGAGAAACGTTTGCCCAGTCTTGGAACCCTTATTTCTAAGGTAATTGTGTGCCAAGTCCAGAGAAATAAGCATTTTATATAATACGCTAATACGTGATTCTCGATTACTGTAAAATAAGAAAATTCGTACGGTTTCTTTGAAACACGAGTCGAAGGGAAAGGAACTTGGTGTTAAGTTGTCGAGAAGAACCACGTGTTACATTCCTATTTTGTACGCATTTTTCTAGGTGAAACCATCGGCGTAGTTAGGTGGGGGCCATGGTGGACTTGGACCTTCCCGTCCCTAGACAGAAGTCCTAATTACGCCAATGGGTAAACGCATCAGTACGATCTTTGCCGTCACTGATAATTCATTGTAAAGCTCAAGCTAATCCCGTCAGTGATTCGGAAAGTGTGCTAGAAAAAAAAAAAGAAAAAAGAACAAAAAGAATAAGAAAAAAGCTATGATATACATATAGAACAATTTATACTCGAAAATCAGTGAAAAAAAGCAGCAAACTTTTCGAAGTATCGACGCATTTGAGTGAATCGTTCGAATTGGAACATTTCGAACACGAGCTTTCGATGCTGGACAGTAACGAGTATCTTTCAGGGACCGGACAACTATAGCGAGGATCGAACGTTTCGCATTTCTCTGCACTGATACTATTAAGCTCAATTATTAAAGGTGGTATAACATTCATCTGGGCTACGATATTTTAGTCTAAAGAACAGCAAGGAGACAGAATGCTACTCGCATATTTTAAAACAAGAGGCCCCCTTTCTCCCCGTATAAATTGAGTTCACAGAAGAAAGTCTTAGATTAACTGATCCAAGGCTCTCGGTTTTTTTTTATAAATATCCTATTGGAAGATGTCGAGACGCATACATCTGAAGTACAAAGGTATTATAGCAAAGATCATCTTCGAGGAATAAATATGCATTCAAAGTCACATTAACGCGGGAATCTTCGCAACGGTATGCAAAGACAAAGGAAATCGATGTGGTTCGTGTACTTAAATTCAATATTAATTTGGTCTCGCGATCAATGTTAACCAGTTACGAATGGGATTGAAATGAACGCGATTAAACGGATGAAACGTTCAAGAACAAGTTAGTCAGAATGCTGAAGATTTTTACAGGAATCCGAATACTAAGATTGTAACGAGTTGAAACGTTTGAAGGCACTTTGTAAGATTGTGTCATAGAAGGAATTACATTCACGATTTCTCAACTTTAATATCTTTCAGTGACGACAAAAAAGAGAAGGAAAGGAATAGTTTATCTCTCATTGTAACAATTTTATCTGATTGTGAATGTAAAGGGAAGAAGAAGAAGAAAAAGAATGAGAAACCCATATACGAATTATGCTTAGTTTACAGAATGAAACTGTTTGTACGTTTCAGTGTTATATCGTGTAGCTGTGTAAGATATGGAAAATCGTCGAAACAGAAGTGTATCGATTACTGTATGTATGTATGTGTACTTTAACCAGCGATGCTTACGATATTACAATAGTTATTAATTGTCATAGATTGCGTGAAATGAGATGTATCAGTGTGTTAAAGAAGGAAAACAAGAACAAAAAAAAAAAAGAAAGAAGAAAGGTAAGGCGAGAATAGATTAAAAATAAAAACAGACGAAAACAAAAAATTATATTTTGCCGTGCCAGACGAAAACAAAGCTGCCGCCGCTAACTTGTAGAACACGTTGTAATAATAATAATAATATTCACGAAATCACAATTAGTACATTATTATTATTCTTATTATTATACTTTAAAATGATGTATTCAGTAAATTATATACAAAACGAACATAACTGTTACTCCGTTTTGACCCCCAGTCTTTTATATTTAAATTTTTGAATAAACGCGCCGCGCCATCAACCGCATGGCATACAAGAAGAAACTTTGAACTATTTCAAGTATTTGAATTGAGGTTTGAAAAATGTACAAGAAATGGACGTAAAAATTATTTTACCGTGTTGCAAAGTCGACAAAAATTTATCATCTTAATGTCAATTTAAATAAAAAGGAAAGCGTGAATAATTAGAGATATCTTACGTTCTTCATATTTTACTTATTGGGTAGATAACAAATTTCATAGCAATACGCGATTTCATATTCAAAAAGCATTTAAACGCGAGATAATATACAATTCATACGGTGGTAGTTCGAAATATTTAAATTTGTTTTCGACGATTTAAATGTAAAAACGAAACGTCAAAGGGTCAACTTGCTGTATTTTACATTTTACATTTTTACTCGAAATGTCTCTATCAGTACTTTACTAATAACTTACCGTATATTATTATAAATAAAAAAGAACATGCATAGGAATGTGTATGTTTAAGATCATTATAAAAAATTTAATGCAGGTTAGTAGAAAGGTCTTAGTCGAGAATTGTGTCATTGTTTTTTATGTTTTTTTTTTTTTTTTTTTTTCAAGTTACATAAGTATGCGCGTTCGTATAGATCTAATTAGAATGTACCAGAGAAAAGTAAAATTTCTTGAAATCATTTAACAATAGATTTTAACCAAGTGGTATACATTCACTTCTTTCGAAGGTACCGTTCGCTTTCACGAAAATTCATTCCACACGTTGCTTATTTTCATTTGTACCGTTATATTACGTCAAACGTGAGCGGTCTAACTTGGCTATACGATATGTAATGATTTCAAAGTTATTCTTGAAATGGTATAACCATAGATCAAAATTTCTTTTTTCTAACAATAATATAGATTTTAATAATAATTAGATTAGATAAAAAATTTTACCAAAATGTGGAAGGCATTTAAAACAAAACAAAAAAATGAATATCTTCAAAATATTTTTAAGTGCCTCGTTAATTCTTTTTTATATTAATGTAAAATCTTTAATTCTATAATAAGGATTTAAAAAAGATATATTTGTAAAACGAAACATCGAATTAATTGGCGGACATATGTTATACATTTATTCATAAAGAGAATCAAATGAATCTGTTATCCCCACCAAGTGGTGGCGTGACGGTGTGACCCAGTGTGACCAGTTGAATAAGCGGCGGCAGCTCCACGAGCAGCATTTAATCGTGGAATGTTAGTTTATAAGTTTAATTTCTTTGAGAAGACTGATTAGTTAGACAATTCAGCAAGTGTAAAGAACGATCAAGCAAGCTTGAAAGCACGTGATAGGAAGTTATTCGCTGACCGTAATTTTCACTCGATGAGTTTCACTTCTAACCTGAATTAGTCGTCCAGCTAGCTTCTAGCAGTAGCAACGTATTCGTCTTCGAAGTACACATTTTCTTCGCTTAAAAACACATATTCGAGGAAGGAAAAATCGTAAAGTATTGAAAATTAAAAAGATACCAGTCATATCTTCATAAAATTGTCATCAGCATCAATTGCCAAGAAAATATATTACACGAATGCCATAATATTTGAGGGGCACTGTTTGATACAGAATCAGTGATCGACCGGTATCCACGTGTGTTTTCAAGTGTAATAGAAGTATTTTCTTTTATCCTTACACTGTTATGGGTATACAATTTTGAGAATCATCTTGCGAGAACGGTACGTGAAAGAAAATTTATGTAACACTGGAAAAATAATTACGATACACGACGAAATCGTTTGATTAACTTTGAACATCATGTGGCCAAAAGATGTTGGTATCAAAGCAATGGAAGTGTATTTTCCTGCTCAGTATGTTGAGCAAACTGAGCTTGAACGATTTGATGGTGTATCCGAAGGAAAATATACTGTTGGTCTAGGTCAATGTAGAATGGGATTTTGCAATGACCGTGAAGATATTAATTCTTTGTGCTTAACAGTGGTACATCGATTAATGGATAGGTATAACATAAAACCACAAGATATAGGGAGATTAGAAGTTGGAACAGAAACTGTAATAGACAAAAGTAAATCAGTGAAATCTGTTCTTATGCAACTGTTTGAACCTGATGATTGTACGGATATAGAAGGTGCTGATACAACCAATGCATGCTATGGAGGTACTGCTGCTGTATTGAACGCCGTATCTTGGGTAGAAAGCAGTGCTTGGGATGGTAGATTAGCTTTAGTTGTGGCTGCTGATAATGCCGTTTATTCTACTGGAGCTGCTAGACCAACCGGTGGTGCTGGAGCCATTGCAATGATAATTGGACCAAATGCACCTATAGTAATTGATCGTGGAATAAGATCATCGTGCATGAAACATGCGTATGATTTTTACAAACCAAATCTAAAATCAGAATATCCGGTTGTAGATGGACAATTATCGATTGAATGTTATCTCAATGCTTTGGATAATTGTTATCAGACATATTGTAAGAAGGTAAAAAATAAGTTTAACGAATCTGTAACTTTAAATAATTTTCACTCATTTTTGTTTCATTCTCCGTACTGTAAATTAGTACAAAAGTCTTACGCTAGATTAGCTTTTAACGATTTCTTAAATGCATCCAAAGAAGAAGTACTTAAAAAGTATCCAGAACTAGAAAAATTTCACAATGTTAAACTTGAAAATAGTTATTTTGATAGAGACATTGAAAAGGCATTTATGAATTTGAGCAAAGCAGATTTTAACCGAAAAACGCAACCTTCTTTGTTAATAGCAAGTCAAGTAGGAAATATGTACACTCCGTCTGTATATTCTGGATTAGCTTCTTTACTTATTAGTAAACCTATAGAAGAATTAGCAGGTACCAAAATTGGCATATTTTCCTATGGTTCAGGATTTTGTTCTACTATGTATTCATTAACGATAACGAAATATTCGAAGGATGGGTCGGATTTAATGAAAATTATTACGGCCTTGTCGTACATTAATCATGAATTAGAGTCTCGCGAAAAAGTTTCCCCATCAGATTATACAAAGATATTAGAATGGCGTGAACAAAATTGTCACACTGTACCATTTACTCCTCAAAGTAGCATTGCTAATATGTTTCCTGGAACATATTATCTTGTACAAGTGGATGAAAAATATAGAAGGACCTATAAGCGGGTATGAAACTTACGATAGCTTTATACGCTTAGTCTTTTTTATCTAGTTATTCTGTTTGGTACTATAACAAAGAAATAATTGGGAGTTTTATTAATTACCGAATAAAAATTTTCATAATGCACAATTATCTGTGTAATTTAAAAATTAACTGCTTAACGATTAGAACTGAAACATTTAACACTAAACCAACATATTCTTAGTGCCAATAATTGATATAAAATTTAATTAATATGCACTAAGCTTAATGTGTAAAAAGTGTGCCTTATACATACATTAGAATGCAAACCAAAAGATAAAATCATGCACATAAAGTCAGCTCAGTATTTTTATTTCACGTCCTGAGTACGTAAACTAACTTATATTTTAACTGTAATCAAATATTTAAATAGTTTTAATTGTTTTGTTAAAATAAATAAAGTATATATCAAGTACAAGATATGATTTGCAAGCAAATTATTTTTGTTTTGCAAAACTTGTACGATGTTAATAAATGATTATTTTCTCAAACAGTTGTATAATAAATTTATATGAAATATTAAAGTAAAGAAAAATATATAATTGTATTTATATTTTATTTAAATCATTTCAATGTTACAACATTACAAAATAGTATAGTACTAAAATATTCTTCTAAAAAAATATATTAATATATTATTTCTGTATTCTGAGATTCTCTTCATTATAAATAAATATGAGCATTCGCAACTACTACGTTTCTGAACCGCTGAAGTACATAATTGTCACGAAATACATAAAGATTAAGAGTTTATATTTACAACTGTATAAATTACAAAACTTGACTACCAGTCGTAAGTCTCTGATAAAATTGTAAATACAATTGCAAGTTTTCTAATTAATATAAAGCGAGTAGTAAACTCTTATTTTAATATTAATTGGACAGTGATAGAAAATACTGGCTCAATACCATGAGTATCAACAATATAGTGATTTAATTTTGTCTTAATATCACATGATTTGAATCATAAAAATATAAGACACTGTTTCTTCGTTTTGTATAAAAATTTCAATTTGAACAAGATATGTATACTATTTGTTTACCCTTTCCCTCGCCAATTAAAATATTTTATATGAACAGTTTGAGCAGGAAGACAATTTTCGTCCTGCGCCAAGTCTAACAACTTCATCCTGATTAGCATTAATTTGGCGATTTTCGTGTCGCCTCTAAAAACAAATTAACGTATTTGTTTTTAGGATATTTTATCAAGTATTTTTCTATATAAATTATATGCTTACTTTGAGCTCTGATGCCAGGTAAAAAAATATAGAATCTATATTGGTATTTTCTTTGGCTGATGTTTCTACTACTTGTAACACTTCAGGAAGATATTGACAAAGAGCTTCTGCTTCTTCTTTTTCAACTTCTCTTAAATCTTGTAGATCACATTTATTACCTGCAGATGTTAAATTTGATAATATATAATATTTATGTTAAGATTTAATACAATGCATAAATGTATCTTACCAACTAAAACTAACAAAACATGCGATGAAGTGTATTTTCGTACTTCTTCAACCCAATGTTGTAAACTTAAGAATGTAGATCTCTTTGTAATATCATAAACTGAAACATGCTTGAGTCATTACAATGGTAAATAATTAAGTAAAAAATTGTTTAAGAAGATAAAAAAGAAAATAGTACACAATTTTACACACCAACAATAACACCGTTAGCTGATCTGTAATAACTCTGTGTTATTGTACGAAATCTTTCTTGACCAGCTGTATCCCATATTTGTAACTGTAAAAATAATAAAACACTTTGTATCTGGGCAAAATCGTTATAGTAGGCCGCTGGTGACATACTTTATACATACAATATAAAAATCTTTTCAACATAAAACGTCTCATATCGAACATTTATGGTTACAACGAAATTTATAATTTTTCTCAAAAAAATCTTATTATAAAAAGTTTAGAGATTAGTAAAAAGTTTCTACGCAGATAACTTGTAGGTTAATCTGTAATAAAATTGAAAAAAATTAATTAGCTCAATAAGCGAAGACCAAATAAACGTACCTTAATCTTTTTGTCATCAATTAATACAGTTTTCATAGAAAAATCTACACCAATTGTATTTCCATGTCTTTCGATAAATGTACCAGATCGAAATCTTTGAACAACACAGGTCTTTCCTGTACCACAATCTCCGATAAGCACGATCTTGAACAAGTAGTCGAAATTCTCGTCGTTTGTCGCCATCAAATTGTCCGGGTCCCGGTTCGACATTTCTTTTTTTGATGGTCGAAATAGTTAATTAAATCGACGAGAATTTTTGCAACCCGTTCATTCAGACTTGCTGGTTACCTACGCCATTGTTTCATCACTTTTACGTTAACGATATTCCAACGTAGTACAGTTGGCAAATATGAAGCAATATGAAGTACTTATTTACACATTAGAATTTTTAACAAATATACATTATAAAAAAGAGGTGATTAAGGAACATTCGAAGGGTAATTAAGAATTTAAAAAGATTCAAGTATAATATTTTATTAACAAATACTAACAGCACTAACAATAGGGATGTTACAAGTTGTGTTTATTTTTTAATAGAACTGCTTAACAAAATGCATGCAACGAATTGTTACATATATTTATTATAAAGATATTCTTACACAAATAATCTATACCTAAATGATTATAAATACAGTAGGAATTAAAATTAAGGAATAACTAATTTTTAGATGTGAATTTTGAAAGACCTTCCAGCAAACTAACATACGCGGTATGCTCGTAGTTCGTACTAAGTTCAACTAATTTTTCCGCAAACTCGTTCGAAACACCTTTTTCTTCGAGGTAATTCATAAGCAAGTCATAGAGATACTGAAAACGAGATATTACGTAAATGTGCGCACATTTAGTTTGTAAACTACGAGTGTTTATAGAAAATAATGTTTCATTCTCTTGTTATAATGATTTCATGTACCAAATCATCCTACAAGAGAATGTTTTGCTTTTCCAAAGATTAATGTTCAGAATGGTTAATTAATAGACCAATCTGTACTCAACTCTTTGGTTAGTGTAAAATTCATATTTTTTATTAAAAATGTGAGCATCGCGGCTAGTATTACTTACACCATCAATGATTTCACCCTCTGCAACGTATATATTATCAGTACCTTCTCCTTCGTACAAACTAATTTCGTCTATGCAAAAGATATCGTCTGAAATTAAAGTATATACATACATATATAAGAAACATATCCATTTAATTAAATTGAGTTTAATTGAATTGAGTTCAATGAAATCAATTTAATAAAGTTTAATTTAATAGTTACTGTAATTGTCATTAGCACCTGATGCACCAGGTTCGCTATTAAAACTGCAGGAAAATTCAAGAGTTTGATTTCCTCTTACTATATCTATCGTAAATTGTGGTTTACTCTTTATATCTCCAATATCTGGATTATCGCTCGACATTTCGATGTCAGGTTGAGGGTCGGAACTAACCGAATGATTTATATCAAACGAAATTTTAATTCTGTAAAAAAAAAGAAACAATTACTTAAGTGAAATATATGTTTTAATTGTAAGTAATTTATACTTATAGTCGAAAATAATCTATAGTTAAGTAGTTTCTCTTACGTTTCGTCGCTTTGTTTCTTCTCTAAAGTAACGAACGATCCGTTAAGTGATACTTTGAATCCATCTAATTCGGTGGGAATAGTTTTTAATTTCTGAGCTTTCTTTTCCGCTATAATCTCTTCCGCTAGAAATTCTACTAGCTCCTTCTCAGCTATCAGAAAAGTTGAAAGATGGAAAATTATTTACTTTAGCAAAGATTTTTCGATTACCATTTTATTAAGTATCGAAGATTGATATGCTTGACAATAAATGTTATTAACTATATGTTGCATGTTTTGACGACTCACATTGTAATATATAGATATGTATGTATTTAAAAATGTAGTCGGTGAAATCAATGAAATATTTATATCATACATTTTATTAATATCAAATTAATTTTAGGTGAGTGGATTGTTAAGAAAACACAAAGAATCTACGATGCGACAAATCTACCTTTTGTGTGGGCACCTCTACAACAACCACATTTACAGAGATTATTTCCGTGTTGAAACGATTTTACCGAAAGGAGAGGTACAGATTGGATTTGTCGAGAAACATTCCATAATGATCTTAACTGATTATTTGTAATTCCTATGCTCGAAGTCGAGGAAAACAAATTTCTGATCACTGACGAACGCAAAGTATTTCTTATTATTCCGTTCATTTTAATTTTTACAATGAATAAACCTCCAAACTTTTCAACCGGTATGCTTCCAAAATGGCTTTACACAGAAGGGACAAGCACGAGGTAAATCGTAATATCATAGAGTAATAACGTAGTTAGTTCATCGTTTGCTTGCTTTTAGGGAAACAGCTTCGCAGTTATTACTAGTAATTTCTGTTCGAGACGATGATTGGAGCCAACAATTGAAAGTTTTTTATCTTATCTTTTCTCCGACTGTCTTGGTTACGCTCCGTATGATGGAGCAAGTATCGGAAAGATGACGTTTTACTGCTCTACTGTTTTCACGCTATAAGGTTGCATAGTATTCTTCACGAGAGAATAGTATCATTTCGCGCAGCTCGATTGATTGTGAGCTTAGAAAGTTTCCCCACCATAATTTACTTCACATTGCATGCGCTATATACACGGTGGTCAGAATATACTAATATAGGAACGGCTTATTATACGACAGAGATAGTGAATCATAATTCATAAGTTCATGATCACTGGATATACTTTCTGCCCAGCGCGGCTTACGCATACAGCCGTACGGCGCTTGCGCGTTACCTTGGTAGCGGAGCGTGGCAAGCCAATCAGAGCCAAGATGCGCAAACAAAACCAAAATTCGTTCATCCGATGGTACTATTCTCTCGTGAAAAATACTATATGTTGTATACACGTGGATTTGTATCTTAACCTTTTTGTATATATTGCTGTCAACTGTTGTTTAAAGAAAAAGAAGGATTGCGACAACAAACTTAAAAGATCAGAGAAAAGAAGAAGTAATGTTATACGTAATTGGCTTGGGTCTTGGCGATGCCACTGACATTACTGTGAAAGGTCTTGAAATTATTCGAAAATGCAATCGCGTGTATTTGGAATCGTACACGTCGATACTTGCCGTTGGTTTGAAAGATTTGGTACGTATATAAATTAAAATGATAGACAACGATTATTGGAATATGGATAAAACATAGAATAATTTGACGAAGCGTTAGCCGTGTGTCACGTCTTTCGAAACTCATACGATGACGGAAAACCAATGATGGGATGTTTCATTGAAATAGGAAGAATTTTATGGACGTTCAATATTAGAAGCCGATAGGGAATTGGTTGAGAGCAATTCGGATGAAATGCTACCGGAAAACGAGGAAGAAGATGTTGCTTTTCTGGTGATCGGCGATCCGTTTGGTGCTACGACGCATTCAGATTTGATATTGCGAGCTCGAGAAAAAAATATCAAGGTAAACGTAGAAAGATAAGAAAAGAAAACAAGAGTAACAGTTTGATGTTTGTTAACAAAAGTTATTGTTATTTTATGCAGGTAAAAGTTATTCACAATTCTTCCATTTTAACTGCAGTAGGATGCTGTGGCTTGCAGTTGTATCGTTTTGGAGAAACTGTTTCCATTCCTTATTGGAGCAAGGATTGGAGACCTAATAGCTTTTATGAAAAAATTGTATCTAACAGGCAAAGAGACTTACATACCCTTTGTTTATTGGACATCAAAGTGAAAGAGCCTACTTTAGAAAGCATAGTTAAGAAGAAAAAGGAATATATGCCCCCACGATTTATGACCGTTTCAGAGGCCGCTACTCAGCTGATCGAAATAGTGGAGGAAAAGGACGATAGAATCGAGGAGGAGGGAGGTAAAGAACGAACAGGATATTAATCGTTTGCTAATTTTTATAACGTATGTACGAGGTTTATTGTTTTTTTTAGCTGTTTATAAATCTAGCATTGTAGTGGGTTTAGCTCGAGTGGGCTGGGACGACCAACGGATAATTGCTTGTTCCCTTGAAAAAATGACTTCCATCGATCTGGGACCGCCTCTTCATTGTTTAATTATTCCCGGGCCAACGTTGCATCCTCTCGAATTGGAGTATATGGCGTTGTACACGTTAAACATAACGGATGACCGAATGTGTGAAAATAAAAACATTTTATAGTAAAAATATCGTTTTGTTTCGTACAAAATTTTATCGCATTTTGTAAATCATTTGAAACCATTATCGTAAGCCTTAGGAAATTTAAACGCTAATGGTACAATGATACACGAGGGAAATGTATAGCAAGCAGGTGAAGCACGATGGAATAACGTGGCTACGATCGATTAAAGGAAGTTGAGTGGCGGTGGCAGGGGTGCAGCTATGTTTCCCGTTCAGGTTACCAGGGTATTTCGTTTGCTCGCAGCCGAGAATTCAGAAACAAAGAATAGTAGTAAGTTAATTTCGAGGATACGCGACGATCGAGTAACTTTATTTGTAATAAAGTGACGACGATGTTGATGAAAACGTAGATGCGTGGCATACGACGACAGAAATATATCGTAAAACGTTCGATCGATTTTACGCATCTGTAATAAGCTGGTAGTAAGGACGATCCGGTGGTAAATAATGAATGTAATTGGTGACAGGTAGTAGAGAGAAGTGTACGAAGAAACAGTAAAAGAGAAGAAGAACGAGTTTGACAATGTCGGTATCAGGATATGTAATTGGTCCACAAATACCTCAAGGTTTAGCCGTGGTGGTTGAAGGTCTTGCACGGGAAATCTTACGTAACCAGCCCGCGGATATTTACGCGTTTGCGGCTCATCATTTCGAAGAATTGCTGAAATTAAGAGAAAAAGGACGTCTGGTCGAGATCGTTCCACAGGTATTCAATGACAAATCATCTAACAAACGCGATCGCGATGACAGATTTAAGCCTGGTCGTTTATCGATTACTGCTGATTCTTTTCTTTTCCTTTCGTTCGTTCTCAAGGTTTCTGCTTTGCTCGATGAAACGGCAACGGTAAGGAAGTTAACGGCACCGTGTCTAACGAGAAAATTGGCGAGAAAACAGAGGGAGACAACGAATGGGTGCGGATGGTCCATAAATCGAACCGTTAAGGTATTTAAGAAGCATGGATATAAAAGGGATGATAAAAACAAGGAAGAGGAGAGAAAGATTTCCGATGACTATCCGGAGATCCGTTCAGCAGGATTTTCAAAGAAAACGATTCGCGGTCGATTTGTTCGATCGTCCTCGGTCGGAGATCTGCTTGGTAAACACATTAGAACCGAGGTTGGCGAAGAGACGGATAACATTCGCGATAGGTTTGCCTCGAAGCAACGCGAGTACCAGAAACGCTTGAAACGGCAAAAGAGTGCTGGTCAGATCGAAAGAAGCGAACAGTTTGGAAGGACGGAGAAAGATAACGGGTACGCGATCGATCGAGAAAGGAGTAAGTCGGTTGCGAACGATAGAGCGAAATGGAACGAATCCGATGTGGAGGAGAGAACGCGATGGTACCGTGCAAGAACCGGAAGCGAAGAGGGCACGTTTGGAAGGTGCCGAAACGAACGAGAGCAACGAAAAAGCAAGTCGGCTGGTAGTCAACGAAGAGAGAGAAAGAAATTGGAGGAAAAGTTTCGAGACGCGGAAGAAACGAAAATGAAAATATTTAAGTTGCGCTCCGAAAAGAACCGAGAAGAATCGAAAGACAATCGCGTAACAGAAAAAGAAGTAGAAGAAGGTGGAGGTGAAGGTAAAAATCTATTATCGCGAATCGATGCTTTGGAGAGTCTGGTTACCCTTCCATCAGTCGTCACGAGACAATGTTCTAGCAGATGTTCAACGATCGAGGTACAGGAGTCCGACGAACCAGCCGATCAAAGCAGTTTCGTTCTACCCCCGATTTCGAACGATTCTGCAAAACTGCTTAAAAAAGAAAGCAGTTTAACGTTACCGTCTCTATCGAACGGACGAACTACGAATACGTCCGTTTCCGGTGATCGTCGGGATTCGAATATTCGCAACGGAGAGGAAATACGAATCGCAGACGATCGCAAAGACGAACAGGTAAACGACATCGTCTCTAGGAAGAATTCGTGGTTTAATGAAAATAATGAAAATAATGAAAATCAGGAGGAAGACGAGACGACGAGGGTTTTGAAGGAAATAGAAAATATTGGATACTCGAATTCGCGAGAAACAGACGTCGAGGAAGTCTTCAAAGATAGTTTAAACGTTACCCCCGATTCGATTGAATTATCTCCGAGGCCAGATTCGTTGGAACATCTGCAAGAGGTGGACGCATCGAAGGTAGTCGAGGGGGATGAGGAAACAGATAGGCAGGAAAGGGAGAACGATGAGGAAGGTGAGAATGGAGAGAATCAAGAGCAACAGAATCGATCGAACGAATTGAAACAAAAGTTGCTCGAGATAGAAATGGTGGAGAAAAGTATCGAGAACACCCTTTCCTCCGAGACAGCCGTTACTTCTGATAATTTACTCGAAAAAGGATTCTTAGTTGAATCTCAGGTAGACTCGAATAGAGAAACGTGCGAAAGCGACACGATTTTCATAACCGAGACGAGGAAGGTGGAGGAGGAGGAGGAGAAGGAGGTAAACTCGAAGAAAGAATCGACAGGGGATGACAAAGACAATGGTAAGGATGATCACGAAATTGATACGTGCAAAGGTGAAACGGTAACCGGAAAAAACTCGAATGCTTCTTCGAATATTTCCTCCGCCAAAGACGTCGATACCGATCGGTCAGACGTCTCGGAGCCAGTTCCGGTCCCGCTGTCGCTTTCGCTCTCGGAAAACTCTTTGATAAAGATTGACCCTTCTTGTTACATTCTTACAGAGGGCTCTCCTTGCGAAATACCGGAATCGGTCACGACCGTCATTATACCGGAGAAAAATTTTCCAAACGACGAGATCGTCGAGTTAGCCAGCGATCCCTGTTTCGAGAATACAGACTCACCTTGGAATCCTGATGAAGAAAAATTTCAACGCGACAAAAATCCGTTTGGAGATCGCGTATCTCCAGAAGCTTTTCAATGCTCGACAAGTATCGACGGTGATTTTCTACTCGGAATAAGTAATGCCGTTGATCGAACGGCTGCTTGCCAAGACCTTGGAAACATTAAGGAGGAGGAGGAGGAAAGCGAACGCGATCACGGTCAACGCGATGTGTCGTGTGTAAAATTATCCGAAGACGTTACGAGCAGCACTTCCGATAATTTAGAAAAGCGTTTCGAAACGATCGAAGACAAGAACGATAGCGATTGTGCCGTCGAGGGGGTGAACGGAGGCGTTAAGAGTGAAAACGAGAAATGTTTGAAGGAAGACGAGGAAAGTAGACCGTACGTACCAGAACTGAATTTAGATTCTCTTCGAGATGTAACGATCTCTTCTTTCGCAACATCTGGATCGAAAGATGTCGAAGATCCGTGGATAAAGGAAAAGATAAACGAAGAGAAAAACGAGGATGTTAGTTTCTGCGAAGGAGAGAACACTTTGTCTTCCTTCGATACTTTGCCCTCGGAAGAGAAAACGATGCTAGACGAGGGGGTTCTCCCTTCGAAAATCGAACTTCTTCGGGAAGAAATTTCAGTCGATCGTAAAAATGAACAGCGAGACGACGAGCGTATCGATGATCTACTCGTTCCCCCGAAACAAGGAGACGATTCGTCCGACACAGAGGAGGAAATTGCAAGAGAGTTGATAAAAAATTTGATTTTGGAAATGCCTGTCGTTCAAGAGGTTACCGGAATAGATACGAACGATGAACCGGAAGAAACGGACGTCGATAAAGTTAAGAAGGAAGAAACGGAGGAAGAAGAAGAAAGGGAGGATAACGAGGATGAAAAGAATATCGTTAAATGTTATTCGACGACACCGACAGCGACGATAGGTAAGTAAATGTTCTAAATAGGTATGTACTACTCGAGCACCTCAAGGATTGGCTCTTCCTAATCCTTTCCAGGATCCCTTATCTTGAGGTGTCAGATACATTTAACTTAACTATATAAACATGCGACTTTTTTTAGGCAGTAATGGATTTTTTATACTTTATCTTGATAATAATTGTTATTATACAAAATTTATGAAAATTACATTATGGAAAACTTTCCCGAATCTACGTTAACGCTTCATCTAATTCCATTTCAATGTTTATCCTTATTGACGAGGTACTCCCTTTGCCCCTCTGCCGTCCCGCTGGTCATCTTTCTGTCTCTGCACAGTAGTAATTATAGCACTAATCGTAGATGTATCTTTTCAGGGACGGAGATGTGTTTGCCGCAGCAAGGATTTCAAAGCGGAAGTGGTTTATGGCACACCGGTGAATTTCACGATTCCTTACCGTTACCAATACTCGAAGCACCGAACGTCGTTTCTAGCAAGAATTTTCAAACTGCGAACGTTACACAGAAAACAACGAGGACGACGGATCCGTGGTTTGCCGTCGAGCCCGATCGTATCGGACATCAGGGATTCACCGTCGATCCTGACACGGGGATCCGTCTCGTAGCCGAATCGCCAACACAGCGACCGACTGTTGTTTATGCGATCGAAACTAAATTACCGTTCATTACTCCCTCTTTTAGTTTCCTACCTTGCCTCGTACGAGTTGGATCAGTGGTCGACGATCCGAGGAACGCGAATATCAGCGTCGTTTCACCTACAGAAAATACGCGCGATCTCGATATCGATGATCTCGTTCGCGAACCATTGGCGCTCGACGATGACGAACCAAAGCCATCGATTGTTATAGAAGAAATTTTAGTTGACGACGAGAAGGAGGAGCAAACGTCTCACGATAACGAAGGTAAGGAAACGCGAATTGATGAAAGAAACGATCGATCGTCCGTCGACGATAATCAACTATCGACAAATTCGTCGGTAAAATTAATTGATCGTGATGACATCGCCAGTCGAGGAAGAGAAGAAGAAGAGGAAGGAAAAAGAGGAGGTAATATCGAAGGTATTTCGCATAGCGACTAAAACAGCGACAAATAGATCTTACAAGAGCGTTTTGAACAAGGTATCACTGTGTATCGAGTGTAAGAAAAGAAAGAAGGAAGAGACGAAGCAGGATACGGTCGTAGATAGATCGTTGTTCGATCAGTGGGAGAGTTGTCGAAGGAGACGCATGCGCGAACGAGAGTAACCGAGTAACCAGAGGGTTACGTATTTTCGATGAACGAGTTACGCGATTGCTATGCGCGCTACTGAACGCACGTTTGTGTTTGCGTTTCCATTTGCGTTTACGTTTATATTTGCGTTTTCCTCTGCGACTGCGTTGGCGTTCACATTTCGCATTTCCACTCGGATTCGCGTTCGCGCACGTTCCAAGTTTGAACGCCAGCTTCCGCGGCACTTTGGTCAGTCTATCTTTCGTTATACGATGCGTTAGGTGTAAGTTTTTCTTTTTTTTTTTTCAAAAATTGCGGAGCAACAAACATTCGTCAATCGTTTTGTTATAATATTATCGACACGGTCTCTGTTCGACGGTCTCGCTGCACTTGGAGTCACGGTAAAATGTATGAAACATTTGCAAGTTTAAAATACGTTTATTCATTCGTGTGAATTGTGTTCCGTTTCCGATCGTTCACCGCTAAGAAAAGCGAACCGTCATCTTCGAAGAATGACATCGAATCGATCGGGATAGCAGCGTCGAAGAATACCGAGCGTCCAGTTAAATGTATTTTTGAATTCATTATGCTGCAAGCTTCTACGAAGGAAGACGCAACGAAAGCGTCCATAGCGGCGACGAAAATTCAAGCCAACTTTCGAGGCTACCGCGTACGAAAGCGATTGAAAGAATCGCGTAACGAAGAATCCGATTCGCGTAATGGAGAGGACGAACGATACCGAGAAGAAAGTTCCGAAGGGAAACGAGAAGGAGGATCGTCGAGCTTGAAGAAATCGAACGGTGGAGAAGAATCATTGGAAGAGAAGTCGGCGATTAAAATTCAAGCCCGAGTGCGTGGATTCTTAGTACGAAAGAAGCAGCAAACAGCTCGATTGGCTGCGACTAAAATCCAAGCGGGCTTTCGGGGCTTTCAAATCAGAAAGCTGTTGAAGCAAACCGAACAATAATCTCTTTCGCCTTTCCTTCTTTCCATTTACCTTCTTACAATTATTTCTACGCATCGCTCTTCTCTAAAAGAAGTACCTCTGTTTCGAATCGCTCTCGAGGGACTATCATATGTTTCGAAACGGTCGTCGAAATTAGAAGATGTTTATTTTTTAAATTCCATCGAGTTTAAAGTAAACGATCTTGCTTGGCTGACGCGATGCTTTTTACCGACGTATCACCGTCCCACCACGTTCCTCGACATCGTATTGTTGGCATCGACGTCGGCATCTCTCTCCGTACCGAATGAATCCATAATTATCGAGAAACAATCGAAATAGCATATGTGACTGGCGACGACGTTGGCAGTAAGATTGCCAGCCGCTATTACGAGCCATCAGGATATTCGTCGTGCGACCAACCAGTTGATCGTTAATCGTCCAACAGTGATGTTTTAAAGAAAACTCGATTTCGAGATACACGTACGATCTGTAATGACAATTTACCACGACCGAACTACCGTTTCCTCCGGTGTGCCTCGGCCATCGACTTCGATCTTGAAGGTATGCAAAATTAGTGACGCGCGTTCAAAAATCGTGCAAACGCGTCTGCTTTTTTCTATTACGAAATTTCGTATATATTATACGATATGCATATATAATGTAGAGCTTTCGAAACTTTCGTCTGGTTCGATGTTATCAGACGCGAGGCGACGCGACGAGACGGTAAGAAGAATGAGGATAGTAAGAAATGTTGGTAGATTGTAAATAAAATGAAAGGTTTAGTAAGCAGACAGAATTTTTAGGATTCGGTATTTATTTACAAAATAAGGGAAATAATTACATTATTTTCTAGAACGTCTATATTGTGATCGGGCATGCGTTAACGACGCGCCGCGGCGCGCCGCCAAATTCGCTTTACCAACGATCAGACGTGTATACGATAGAAACGAAAGCATTCTCGTTTTTTCTTGATCTTTTTTTTTATAGAAACAGCAAGTAACGCGAATCGTTTCTCTCGTATTCTTGCTCGGTTCAAGAAAAATTTCGATCGGAAGAGATCGAATAACGCGTAATCGAACGCATCGGTTGTTAAGAAAAAATTCGATAATTGAAAGAAAGCATTCGAAAACGTTTAATCGTGTCCATTTCGTGCCGCTTTTATTCTCGCCCATCGACGTCTTCCCTCTTCGCTTTCGTTCGCTTTTCCTAGTCTCGTTGATTGCACGCGGTAGACAGCAGACAAATAGGAATAACAGTAAATTCGTTTTAAGCTATTTGGCGGATTAATTTGTTTGGGAAGAAAAATTGCTGAAAATAAGTTGCTCGATCGGCGTGCGATGACCGATTTACGCGTGTTAGTCAAATAGAAATTTAGGCGAAACCTTCGATTCTCATCCGGTCCCCCGTATATTTTCATACTCGAAGAATGTCCCAATCTTTTGCTTCGGTGGTCAGGTATATTCGTCGCCTGGTTTACGATAAATATACATACATACATACATCTATTTATCTATCTATCTATCCGTCTTTTCGGTTTTACACGGCAGTGGGCAATCTTCCAAATCTATCGAAATGAGAAAATTGTAAGAGACTCCCCGGCAAACAAGGATCCTTCTTCGAACATTCGAACTCGTCGGAACTGCAACCGATGCATTTGTTGCAATTGCAATGCATTCCTTCGCCGCAGATGCCAAAAATGTCCTTATGTCCTCCGCACAGTTGGTCGGGACCCTGGTAGGACAAATCGATGGTTAGCATGATCGTTACAATCTCGTTAAGGCAAGTTGCGGCAATCGAATTTGACTCGCCTTTGCGCATTGTGGTACACCGCATGCAACAGACATTACAACACCGTATTCACATTTGTCGCAAGAATCGGCGCAACTCTCGCAAACGTGTACTAAACCTTGTCGTTGCCTGATCGACGGATATCCAAAACATCTATCGTACCTGATCAAATAAAATCCGTATATCGTTAGATCTTTTATCGACCGTGATCAGATCGGTAACAAGGAAAACTTTAAATATAAGAAATTCTTACAGAAGGACGACAGCTAGTAGTATAGCTATGCAGACGGTATGGATGCCAGGCATTTCACTCGATGGATCTGAAACAAAGTTTGTGCACGATTAATCGATTCTTACAGGTATCTCGATGTCATCCTCGGGAGAATGATACGCTATTCTCTATAGTTAAGTAAATTGTATCTTTTTATAGAGACACGTAGGTATCTCTAACTATTTCCTCGCTAATTTGTTACATTTTATGTGTTGCACGCAAAGCAACCTGTAAAAATACCAATTTATGTAATTTTTCGATTCTCTGTAAAATGGTACTCGTGAATGACGAAAACGTCGTAGCGATAAACCTGGCTACCGAAGCATCGGTGTATATTCTATACATTGGCGCGTTTTAGACATCAGAGGGTACTCGAACGTTTGCGAAGGAAAAACCGTAGGCTGAGCTTCACGGACAAGCCAGGTAGAAGCAGGACAATCCCCCTCCGTTTCGTGTACCAACAAGCGTTTTGCTAAGAATAGCAAAAGGATTTCTGCGTTGCTCGTGACCGATGCCAGATTCTCTCTTTCAGCATTCCTTTCTCTTATAATCTCTTTTTCCTTTCTAATTATCAATTACACGTTCGTAAGAGACAACCGCTTAGAAACACGCGGTTATACAATTTTCCTCCGACGATCGGTTACCAAACGATAACATATTTTCTTTTTTTATATTTTCAGGACAATGAACGTAGCAAGACGGCGCGTAAAGTGCCGTGCGAAGGCTGATTTCCTGATAATCGGTCAATTCGGAACGAACGTACAAAGTATCTGTACTTTAACCGTGGTGCTTCTTTTGCCTCCTTAGTATATTTCTAAACCGATGAAAAGAGTTTTCATCGGACAAGTTGCTATTCTATTTTCCCTTAGTTTTATCGATAGCGTTGAAAACTAGTTATAAATAATATACGATATCTAGCGCATCTAGGAATTTCATCGAATTCGTCAAAGGTACGTAACAGGTATAGTATTGCCTTGAAATAAGCAAGTGATCTCTGCCTTGAAATAAGCAACTCGCTATCCCCTCTTCTCTGTTTGAAGTGGCTCGCAAAGTGAGAGATCCGTGAAAGCGAGAAGTCGTTGTTTTGGGTAATAAACTGTCACGCTCGACTGAGCACTGACATCGGTTAGTAAAAGAAGGATGGAATATATACACTTTCTCCTTCTGATATATGTATTTGCCTCGAAATAAGCGAAATATTGCGAGAATGAGAGAGTATGCCATATTCTATTCTTGTTCAAAAAATAACATTGCTGCTCGGCCAATCACTTTATGGTTTACCGTTACCTCGGATCTCTTACTCGTTTCTCGTGTTTTCTATCGTCCCGTTTCGAGAACATTGTCAAGCCGAATACGGCGATACTGATAGCCGTAATAAGCAACTGTTCGGCTCCCGGGCGAGTTGCTTATTTCGAGGCAATACTGTATTTCTTTACAATTACGATCGACTTTGAAATTTCCCCTCCCACCCTTTTTCCCTCTTTTGGCTTTTATTCTTCGTTTGTTCCTTGCCGCGTTGGAAAAGATTGATTAGACCGCGAAGGTTCATCCACCTTCTCGTTACGTATGCGTTGTTCAGCGATTGGACAATCGGTATGAAAGCATACCTATCGCAATCGATTCTCGATGCTCACCCAAACGATAGATAGATTCCAATATAGTATTTAGCAGATGCTTTTCTTTCCTTTTCTGTTTCTTTTTCTGTTCCCTTGTACTTTGTACTGGAAGTGTACTATAGTACCGGAAAACGGAAGGACGAAAGCGCGAAAACACGAATCTGCGAAGACGGAAAGACGTTGAATGTGCCATTGAAGTCGAGTTCGCTTTGTTTTATAGGGTCGTGAAGAAAGGGCACGATGAAAAGTGGCGAAAGGGTGGGGAAAACGGGGGGGTCGAACAAACCATCCTCGGTGTACCAGTTAACGGTTTTCCCTGAGAGAGAGATAATCTTGGTTGCCATGCAAAATCCTTGCTTCCCGTCCTAATTAACCCCCGTGTGTCGTAAGTGTCTGTTCTCCTTTTAGACACGTCTTTTCCTGTTTGCATGAATTCTCTTGAAAGACATCTATTAATATGTAAATTTTCTTGGGAGTTACGAGAATCGACGGTGATCATTCATTGACGCATTATTTACGCTTGTTATACCCCATTAAGAAGCTTGCTAAATCGGATGATCGGGTACATGTTGTCAATCTATTTCTCAATATTGTATACTTGTGCGCATCTACCCTATCGACATTGTTACCGATACTTACATATTTTCTTTTTTAAATGTATACATACGTACCTACTATTACATACCTGTGCGGTAGACCAGGAAAGAGCGAGAGTCGAAATAAGGGTAGAAAGGAAGGGAAGAAAATGAATTTCGATCGAAATGTTCTATTTTCCATTGGTACGATGTCTATGTTTCTTTTTTTTTTTCAAAGGTACTAACGAGATGATTTGGCAACGATTCAGCAGATTTTTCGTACGATTTTATCAGCGGATCGATCGAGCGGAAATCTTTTTCCTCGAGATGAACAACATATCTACGATAACGAATCAAATTATATTTCTAATGCTGGCCGATCGTATTTTCATGCCAGAACATAAACTGACGTGCCTTTACACGTTGATGTTTTACAACGTAATCGCTTACTGTATCAGCTACGTTAAGGAATTAATCGAAAAGGAAGATTGGTCGCCGTACGTGACTCTCACCGAAAGATCCAAAATTAGGCATTTAGCTATGTCCGCGACGAAAATAGTACTCGAATGGACGAAAGCCGTCACCTTTGTCGTAACCCTTACATTTCTGCTTCTCGTTTTTGCTTTGGAACAGGGTCTTCAACATTACAAGTGAGTAACGATTAATCAAACACGGTTACAACCTTTAAGGGTAAAAAGATCGAAAGGGGAAGAAATTAGATTAATTGTTCGATCGATCGTTCGTGTGTGGAATAGCGTGGACGTAGGAGCACACTTGCTCGGAGCAATATACAGTGGTACCTCGGTATACGACCTTAAACCGTTCCTAATATTTGGACTTATACCGAATAGGACATATACCGAAACAATCTTTCCCATAAAAATTAATGTAAAAATGATTAATCCGTTCTCACACAAAAAAAAACTCCTATTGATATTATACCTACATTAATGGGGTTGTAAAATAATTTAAACACTGTTTATGTCATGAACAGCATTTAAACGATTTCCTAGAAGTTTATAAAAAATATTCACTAGTTTATTTAACATAATTAATTTGTAAAATATAAATGTAACCTAATGATAGATTCTAAATTAACAAACCAAATGGAATAAACTTTATTGCCTCCTGTTTTGCGGTTATATTTTGTTATATGATATCCTTACTTGTATGATCAGTCAGTTAATAATTATATATCAACTCCGAATATAATTGATTATTAATTTAATTTTTCCTCTGAGATAATTATTTAAAAATGACGCAAAATTCATAGAAAAAAATGTCGTATATCGAGGTACCACTGTACCTATACCGCAGTTCACCAGAGTCCATAACTGCGAAAAGACCAGTTTTCGTTCTTCGCGCTTCTCCAGTGCGCATCTTCGCCCTGATTGGCGATACTTCCAAACGAAGTGGAAAGCGATTAGCAGAAAGCTCGCTGCGTTCCCCCACCATCTTCCAACCTGCGCGTCGCAGTTATGGACTCTGGTGAACTGCGGTATACATATCATACGTATAAAATGATAATTCTTGTGTAACGTATTTTTATAGACCAACAACGGTTTACACGGTAATCACGTGGATCTATTATGCGACAACGGAAAAGATTTTTGTTGAAATGTTTCCATCGATTTTGAAATTTCTTCGGCTGGATGTTTTCGAAAACCTCGAAGAACTTTATGCTCCGGTGATATTAGGATCATTTACCATTGCCACCTCGATTATATTCGTTCTGATACTCGTACCGAATACATCTTGGAACATTTTATTGATTGCCATCTATATCAATGTTTATTTAAGAACGAAGGATTTCGCGCGAAAATCCGGTGCCGCGTTAAAACGCGAGTGGCAGATGTTGAACCGGTATAGAAAGGCAACGCTTCAAGAAATTCAACGATTCGATGATGTTTGCGCTGTATGCCTTTGCAATATGACCAAAGCAAGAATAACACCTTGTTCTCATCTTTTCCATGCCGACTGTTTACGTCGATGTTTGAAAACCGGCGACACTTGTCCTATATGTAAAAGACAATTAAAATGTGATACATCCTAAATAAATATGAAAAAGAACGAGTAATCGATTATTTGCAGGCTGACAACCATGGGATATGATGATCATTGTTAAACTTTTTAATATAGATATCTTTATTCGAGTCGTTATACAAATTGAACATTGGTGAAAAGTAAACTTGTTACATTCGCATCTGTTTGAAATCACTTTTTATTCTAGTCGAGCAGAAATGCTTTTATTGTACAAACTTTGATGTGTAATTTATACAATACTGTACAATACATGTATGTACATTGATAACATAAAATGTGTAAACAACAAATTAATCATAAATCGCTCTTACGTTTCATTTTTTGGCTAAACAATATCAAAGGAAATAATATCCTTGCACGCTATTTCGATTACCCTTAATTTTAATTTTATGTCCAATGAAAATCTTCCACTTTGCGATACTCTGAATAGGAAAAAACAAAATTAATTAAGTATTCTGCTTAAACGTGTATTATTATTAGATGAAATTTTACCTTTTTCATATCTTCTTGTTTATTTATTGCTTAATTACTTTTATCGTTTTATGTTTCTCCTACGTATTTAACCGTAGTTTCTGCATATTCGCCATCAGGACTATCGTAATCGGTTATCGGTGGTGTGTATAACGGTCCAACGGCGTTATAAGGCAAGTCCTGATCGTTAAACTACAACAATTATACAAGAAGAAATCTGAATATCTATAGATAATTAATTCAGCTTATTTCTTAGTTGATAATCTATATGTGTATGTCTGTACTTCTACAGCTTTGTTGTAAAGATCCTTTGATGCAGCTTTTAATTCCTTTAGTGCTATTTCTTGTGATAGCATAATGGACTTTATAATCTGCAAGTCCTTTTGCCATTCGTCTTTTCTATATTTGCCCCATTCCCTTTCTAGCAATGTTCTGTTCCTTATTTCTTCTGCTGACAGGGGTGTAAAATGACGTAATCTTTCGCTATGAAGTATTCAATATTACAGATAAAAAACATATCACGTTTAAAAAATTGCCTACATACACATATGTTGAGCATTACATTTGTCTGCTATATTCAAACATACTTTTTTTCATTAGCCAGTTCAGCTAAACCATCGATTTCGTCGAGTGGTTTTAACTGACCAGATCGTTTTTCTAAACGGCGGATTCTTCTTTCCAGTTTCTTTTTCCTTCTATCTTCTCTAGCTCTGATAATAGCAGGATCTAATCGCCTCTTCTTTTTAAGTGGTTCTGCTCTACAAGACACACGTTTATTATGAAATTTCATGGTGTACGATTCTAACAAAATCGTATTGTAATATTACAATAAATCAACTTTAAGTAATACAAAATTCAAAACTACTTACAGAAGAATCTCTGTTGCTCGGAAACACAATGGATATATACAGGTAGAAACATTACGTACATTATTAAAGGAATACAGAGGTAACCTGCGTGTGGAAATAATACATGTAAGTGCTGTATCGAAAACATTGAAAGAACAATGTTTTTTTTCTCATTTTCTTTAATAACAATTACCTGAACATGATATTTGTCACATTCAATGCATTAATCATGCTTACAAGTCCAAAATATTTGTACTTTTATACTTTATTTGAATATTTTTACTAATATATTATGTTTGCTTCTTTAACCTCTTAATTCCTTCTGGGAGGGAGATCCCAGGCAATCACGATGGGGTTAGGTCTGCACACACCCAGCACGGTTGGTATGACAATCGTCCCTCTTTTACCTGCTTTTACCACGCATCACACCAATAACTGAAAAGACAAAATTTTGACCTTCTTTGATTCAATTTTTTTTCAAAATCAGTCAAAATCAGCAGAAGAGCGAAAAATTACTAAAATAATTATTAGACAAACTTGAATTGAGCGTCGAAAACTTTACCGACAGACCCTAAACAACTTCCTAAAAACGAGTTTTCAAATTACGTCGTCATTTTTAAACAGAATGTAAACAAATTTGAGGGACGTGTTCAGGAGGCCCTAAAGAATGGTAGTCTGGTCCTTATATTATCCTTATATTATCCAATTCATAAATTATTCCTAGATAGGCCCATTTTTGCCGGTAATGTCACCTCGCTGCATTACCCGTGAACTAGGCGTCAAAGCCAGCGGAGGGGAAGGTGATTCCAACAAAGGTAGCTGACTGTGACACCGAGGTCAACGTCAACCGTTCGACATAAAGCGAAGTGCAACCTCATCAGTCTTATAGCGACCGCCGAGGGGTACAGATCTACCTGCTAAACATACAAATACCCTTATTTTATTTTTTGCGTTCATTTAATTTGCTGTATTTATCTTCTTAGCTTATTGAATAAACTCATTAGGAGGAAGAACGTGTTGATTCTATTACTCCTGTGTACATCCTTTACATCCCTGATTCCTTTACATCTCTGCACCCCTTACATCTCAGCATTATTTACATTCCAGCATTCCTTCCAACACCGCATTCTTTACAACCCTGCTTTCTTTACATCTTAACATCCATTACATCCCTACTTTCTTCATATTCCTGCATTCCTCACATCCCTGCTTTCTTTATATTCCTGTATCCTTTACATCTCTGCAACCCTTATATCCCTGCATCCCTTATATTACTGCATCCTCACATCCCTGCTTTCTTTATATTTCTACATCCTTTACACCTCTCCAACTCTTGTATCCCTACATCCTTAACATCTCTGCAACCCTTACACCCTTCAATCCTTTACATCTCTGCATTCCTCACATCCCTGCTTTCTTTATAGCTCTGCATCCTTTACATCTCTGCAACCCTTACACCTTTTAATCCTTTACATCTCTGCAACCCTTACACCCTTCAATCCTTTACATCTCTCTATCCCTTAAATGTCTATTCCTCTTACAACTCTATTTTCCTTATATTATTCCCTTATAATCTTTCCCGAAAAGCGCCCCCTAGCGGTAAAAATGCGAACTAAAATTCCGACCTCGAATCAGCGCCCTCTGGATTTAAAAAAAGGAACTAAAGCTTGCATAAATTTTGGCCCTCTTGCGGCAAAAATGTGAACTAAAATCTCGACCTCGAATCAGCGCCATCTGGATTTAAAAAAAGGAACTAAAGCTTGCATAAATTTTAGCCCTCTTGCGGCAAAAATGTGAACTAAAATCTCGACCTCGAATCAGCGCCATCTGGATTTAAAAAAAGGAACTAAAGCTTGCATAAATTTTGGCCCTCTTGCGGCAAAAATGTGAACTAAAATCTCGACCTCGAATCAGCGCCATCTGGATTTAAAAAAAGGAACTAAAGCTTGCATAAATTTTGGCCCTCTTGCGGCAAAAATGTGAACTAAAATCTCGACCTCGAATCAGCGCCATCTGGTGTTAAAAAAAGGAACTAAAGCTTGCAGAAATTTTGGCTATTTACTTACCTTTACTTACCTTTACTTACCTTTGCCCGAACCAGTTTTTATAATATATTTATTATAAGATTTGCAGACATACAAGAGATGAAGGGATATAAGGGCTGCAGGGATGAAAGAGATGAAGGGATATAAGGGTTGCAGGGATGAAAGAGATGAAGGGATATAAGGGTTGCAGGGATGGAAGAGATGAAGGGATATAAGGGCTGCAGGGATGAAAGAGATGAAGGGATATAAGGGTTGCAGGGATGAAAGAGATGAAGGGATATAAGGGTTGCAGGGATGAAAGAGATGAAGGGATATAAGGGCTGCAGGGATGAAAGAGATGAAGGGATATAAGGGTTGCAGGGATGAAAGAGATGAAGGGATATAAGGGTTGCAGGGATGAAAGAGATGAAGGGATATAAGGGTTGCAGGGATGAAAGAGATGAAGGGACATAAGGGTTGCAGGGATGAAAGAGATGAAGGGATATAAGGGTTGCAGGGATGAAAGAGATGAAGGGACATAAGGGTTGCAGGGATGAAAGAGATGAAGGGATATAAGGGTTGCAGGGATGAAAGAGATGAAGGGACATAAGGGTTGCAGGGATGAAAGAGATGAAGGGACATAAGGGTTTTAGGGATGAAAGAGATGAAGGGATATAAGGGTTGCAGGGATGAAAGAGATGCAGAGATGTAATGGTTGCAGGGGTGCAAGGAATTCAGGGGTGTAAGAGATACAGAGTGCACACAGGAGTAATAAAATCAACATGTTCTTCCTCCTAATGAGTTTATTCCACAAGCTAAGAAGATAAATACAGCAAATAGACGATTATTATACTAGTTGTGCCCTCTTCATACGGACCTGATTTCTTCCGGGGGTGTCAGGGACCCCCTGCGCCAATAACGTCCTCTGGATACCGATCTCATATCATCGTGGGGTGTTAGGGACCCCTTAGCGCAGTTGACTCTTTCTGCATACCGACATATCATCTTGGGGTGTCAGGGACCCCTGAGCGCCGTTGACTCTTTCTGCATACCGACATATCATCTTGGGGTGTTAGGGACCCCTTAGCGCCGTTGACCCTTTCTGCATACCTACATATCATCTTGGGGTGTTAGGGACCCCGCAGCACAGATGACACTCTTTGCACACCGACATTACAGCATCGGGGTGTCCGGGACCCCAGCTAAAATATGCGACCCATAGACTTTCAATTTTGGACCGTTCAATTGCTAGTGAGAGGTGTGGTAAAAGAGAAACTGTTAAAACAGGCAGGATTATCATACCGGCCTTGCTCTCTGCATGCGGTGCTGAACTCATTTTGGGGTGTCTGGAACCCCATAAATCATCACTCGAAAACGAAGGTATGTTTAGTTTTTGACATCTATAATCACTGCATTGCTATTCAGGATTATGTGTTTATGTATAAATATAATTCATAGCACTAAAAATTAATGTTTATATACACAGATGATTCCTGCAGTATATAATGCTATATGTTTAATATAAATTTTTCAATTTTTTTCATCTGGGTAAATGGAAAGGAAAGTATAACCTATAAAAAGATCAATTTCATAACTTGTGTATCAATATTGTTTCAAGTAAAAATTATATTTTATTTGAAAGGAAGGAAACAAATTTACAGCATCGGTTACTGATCGGAAATAGAAAAGATACATAAAATGTGCACATTAAACGAATTCGAATATGATGTTTTTGAAACAGATGTAATGCCAAGAGACAGGTGAGTGTTCACTACTAATCATCATATTTTGCATTTTGTAAGATTTCTTAATGTTATGATGTTTATGATTCTTTATAGAATCATAATTTCGTGTCCTTACTGATTGATTTTTTATAGAATTACCTCTGTTAATAACGTTGCTGAATCAGCTGATGTTAAATCTGTTTGTAAAGTATGTGGATCGAAAGAAATTCAAGTTTCATTGAGGAACAAAAATGAATATTGTAAAGTATGTTTTCTACCGATATTAACACATAAATTTAAAGCAACACTGGGTAAATCCAAGGTGGTGCGTTCAACCGATTCTGTACTTATCGCTCATTCAGGAAAAGTAAATTCAACTGTACTTGTGCATCTTATCAAAGCTAATGTCAATGAAACATCTTGCAAAAAGATTCCTTTCCAATGTAAAGTTCTTTACATAGACGGTAAGCTTATATAATTCTTATTTTTTAATTTCTTTTTAAAAATTTATAATAATAATGGTTATATTCCTGTTTATGATATCTACTCAGATGGCTTGGTGAAAAAACGCACGATCGAAGAAAGACAGTTTATTCGAAACGCATTAGTCAAAGAAGCAGAAAGTACACGATTGCTGACATATATTGTACCTCTGACAAAATATACCAGTGATAATATTGATAAGGAAATACAACCGGTAAATGTACCGGGAATAAATATAACTCAAGATGATGTAGCTATACAAGAAATTTTTAATGGATTAGAAAGCGATACCGCAAGAGACGAATTATTAAGACAATTAAGACGCAGATTACTTGTGTCAGCGGCTCGCAGTTTAAATTGCAACAAAGTATTTCTCGCTGATACATCTGTTGATCTTGCAGTAAAGGTACTTGGAAACATATCGACTGGTAGAGGATCTCAGTTACCTTTCGATGTTGCGTTTTCCGATGCAAGATGCGCGGATGTGACGTTGCTTAGACCGCTAAAAGATTTTACAGTGGACGATGTTAGTGGATATTTAGATTGCTGTAAACTCTGTCCTATTATTACTTCTCAAAAAGATGATCATTCTTTTTCTGCTTCCATTCGGACTGTTGCAAGGAGTTTTGTTTGTCAATTAGATTCGGAATTTTATGGTACTGTACCTACGATATATCGTACTAGTGAAAAATTAACCGCAAGATTAGGTAAACTTAATAATCCAAAGATTAACATCAATATTGAGTCCAATATTGATGACAACACTTGCATCCTCTGTGAAACAGTTTTAAACTCGTGTTGTTCACAAGATGGACAGCTATCGGTTATACGAGCAAAATTATTTTCCAAATTAGTTTCAACAACTTTCGTAGAATCTTCGTCAAGTGTTACAGACAACGAAGAAACTAAAAGTAAATATAACGTGAAGCAAGAAAAATGTTACTGTCTTGGTAATCCCCTTCAGAAACAATCTTTACAGTCGTACATCATTAAAAAATATCTTTGTTATAGTTGCAGCTTAATTTTTTTACATTCAAATCAAACGCATATTACTTTACCCAACTTTATGCTAAACACGATTCAACAGAAATTACACAGTATGCGTTTGCGGGACGAAATATCAGATTTTTTATTATAGTTTTAATTAATGTGTGCTATTATTAATGATAAAATAATAGTATGCAAGAAATATGTATAGCATACATTTAATGTATAAGTTATAAGGTTTTTATGTAAACAATAACAGAAATATAATCAACAGCTCGAATACAAAGTTATGTTACAAATAAAAATACAATTAATTGGTGAAATATTGCATTTTGAATATATCAATACCTCTATCAAAATAGGTATACATATACATAAGTATACATGATTAATTTTCTTAACCGATAACAGAAAAAACATTTTTGTGAATTAATATAGATGACGATAATAATAAGAACTGATAGTAAATACATGTCAGGTACTTATGTATATACAAGACCAAAAAATTATTAGAATGATTATTTGACAAACTTATATTTTGAGAAGACCGCCTATTTTTAAATGGCTGCGCCATCTATACAAAAGCGGCGGAAACTATTCAATAAATTACCGACTTATCGACTGAACGTTCGACAGTCGGTAATCGACCCTTCGGCAGTCGGTAAGTTAACGAATAGTTTGCGCCGCTTTTATATAGATGGCGCAAGGCCGATGACTTGGGGCGTTAAGGACCCCGAAGCACCGGTGACTCTGCATACCGACATGATATCGGGGGCGTTAGGGACCCCGAAGCACCGGTGACGCTCTTTGCATACCGACATTATGGCATCCGGGGTGTCAGGGACCCCAAGCTAAACTGTGCGACCTATAGAGTTTCTATGGAGAAATTGAAACCTCTGAAAATTTTGACTGCGCTTTATATACATATATAAGATTGTGTTGGGTTATATAAACGTTGAGAGAAGAATTTAAACTGAATCGTTTCCTTTAATCAAGGACTCTTTTAGTGAGTTATGTAATATATTAATTTAAAATTTAATTTGTACAATAGATATTCATATTAAAATGTAAAAAATCATAAAATATTTGTAAAACAAAAGCTGTATGGAGGTTATGATGATAGTAACACAATTAATGTACTTAACAAGGAACTATAATAAATGTATTATTCTTTTTATTTGGGTTTTATTAACTAATAATTTCAGTTTTTACTAAAACTATCGCTAATCTTAATATATTTTTTATATTTATAATTTTCAGAAGCGTCATGAACCCCCATCAGGACCCTTTTTTGGTATCCTGGCTGAATAGAATATCGGGTCACTTCCAACCCGTTCAGTGGAATACAAGATGTAGAAATATCGAATTAGAGACTGCTAATTGTGTCGAAGCTTACGGATTTATTCGAGGGGAAGAAAAATGTAAAGAGTTAATAAGTGATCTGTATGAATGTGTTTACAACATGAAACAAAATAAAAGGTTGGAACTAATGCACATAGAATATCTACATCAGATAAAAAAAGGACAAAAGGAATATATACCAGTTCCTCCTGTCACCTATTTTCACGTTTAAAATATGCGCTAGAAAATTGTAAGTTTATCTTTTGATGTACACTGTGTAGTATCGTACATGGTAAATGCTGTGAGAAAAATGCAAAAGCAGGTTAAATACGTTGTTTTTGTATCAAAGAAATTTAACATTGCAATCGTATCAATATCAATATGAAAAATGTTACAAAAAGGTGTGTAATACGTAGTAGAGAAAATAAATAAAAAGAAAGAAAAGAACGTATATTATCCACTCATTACAATGATCTTATAATATTCATACGGCGTATATAGTAGACTAATGAAATTAAATTATCGGGTAGATACCTAAATACGGTTATTTTTTTGTTTATTTCTAATAATTGGTTGAAAGAAATTCATAATAGTCGTAAAATTGACAGCAATTTGAAAAGAGATTTGACAGAGAAAAATAGAAAGGGGTAGGGAGAAATTTATTGGTGGATGGGGTAGACATGTTTCACCTACAACGTCACTAGATGGCAGGAAAATGTTAAAAAGAGTACGAATAGTGTAACGTGCAAAGGCAGTTGGCGGGCAGGCGGGCAAGCGGATACGCTAACGAACAGAAAAAGATAGGCAAGCACGACGGTAGGTTGCCGACTTGTTAGGCCGGAAGGCGGGCGCACCTGTCTGTCATCAGCGCCGACTGTCAATCGTAGTGACGCTGGCGCACACGGTACGAGAACCCGCCGCATTCGTAGTGTTTATCTGTCAGAGAGAACGAGAGATTAGTCGTAACGGGAAGTAATTCAGACGGAAAACGAGAGTGCGAGTGAAAAAAGTGTAGGGAAACTACGCAGAGATACGCCGGTGAATTGTCGAACAACGAATCAGTTAGTCTGAGAAGAAAACGCGAGGAGGAAAGAAGCCGCTGATACACGCCGCGTGCTGTTTCACGGTATGGATGCAGGGTATCTATGTTTTAGTGGTGTGGCTGTCATTGACGAACCGTATATTCGAATCCGATAGTTAACAGATAATCGAGTTTATCAATGTATTTCGCGCGATCGTGCAACTTTTTAATCGTGTTAGTGCATGCGTCTCCATAAATTGATGGTCAGATTTCGTGGATTTTTTTTTCTCTATAGTTTGTTAAATTTTCGTAGCCAATGCACACGTGCAGCGTGACTTTTCCTTCTGATCGAATAATTGAATCGGTCAATGATATTTATTTTTCCTTACAAGTACCTCTTTCTGTTTGACAGTCGATTGATTAACGAATAAAGGTTTTTTGGCCCACGAGGACATTACTGGATCGCGTGTACGTAACGTCTACCTCATTTTCTTCATGATGGACCATCGTATCAGTAAGTATAGAAATCAATTGATTTAATCGTCATTGTTGCGAGACAGTGAGCCGACAAAAAATTCATGCTCTCATTGAAAGAATTAGTTTAGATAGGATAAAATGTTCTTTTTGTAAAACATTGAAAATTGTATCGCAAGACGCCATCATCTACGATGCTACAGCGCGTGGCTACCGAGCTAGCATGCAGCCAGCGAACCAGCTAGCTAGTCGGGCACGTGGTGGCGCGCTACAGCGCGGACTTCGTTACTTCCACGGGGCTCACCAGTCTTGCCCCACGGAATCCGCTCTTCGTTATAATTACCAACTGTCATTCTGCTTTTTCCGTCGTTCCTTCCATGCTTGCCTGCCTGCCTGCTTGCTTACCTGCCTGTCTACTCGTTCGGTTAGCGTACACGACACGTGTCGTACGTGTATTGCTCTTTTCGATTAGTTAACAAATGCTACGTGTATCTATTTCTTCACACTTTTGTATTTTTGTATTTTTAAAAATACAAACCTTTTTAATTTACCCAATATTACGCGGGAAAATGAAATTTACAATACATATAGTAATTTTTAAATATTTCGCTGCTTTTTCATAGTAACGATATCGAATCTCGTTTTCTCGGTATTATAAATTGAAATTATGTTAACCTGTAAAACAATATTAGCTCTCAGATGGTAAAAGGATTAAAATTTAAAGATGGATTAGAATTTTTTCAAAGAATACCTAAGTTTATACAGTGCAAAGAGAATGATCGCAAGTACATACAAGTAAAAGCAGAATATTTTCGTATCATGTCACTCGTATAACGTTAGTCTTGCGTAACATACGTTTGAGATAAAGATATAGAACAAAGTTAATGGAAACATACAAATTTTTGTGTGCTTTCTTCACTGATATCTTTATTTCCACATCTTAAAGAGGAAGGTATATAGATGTTCGTACAATGAAAAGGATACAAAAGTTGTATTTTTTATTTTTTGAATGAGAAACGAGGATGAATCGGTGTTGAAACTTTTACGTTGAAAACAAACCGAAAATTTGGTCAAATATAATACTATGGAGGCGCACAAGCCACACGTGTACTTACGCACGCGTCAAAAGTAATTCCATTGAAGGTTGCATGAATGGGGAAAAAGTATTTGAACGATAGAAAAAAAAAAACAGGGGAAGAGAATCAAGTACGAATTAGAGTTCGAGATTGGCAACTCGGTAAATGGGTCGCGATACTAAACGTTATCTAGCGTTGGTCATTGGCCAGTGAAACACGTTTAAGAAGACCCGAGAGTATTTTGTAACACGCCTAATAATAGTAATAATGGTACTGGTAGTAACAGTACAAATAGTAAAAAGAATTTCTCTATTTTTCAATTCTTTTCATTTCACATGGAAATAATTATAACAATAGAATTAATGATTGATTTAACAATTTTCAAGATTTATTTCGTTAAATCGATTCTTGCACGTAAATTTATTGTTTTCGAAATCGATACGTGCCGGCCTTGATCGACATAGTAATCGGTATTGTGCACCAAACAAGTTACTTCTTTTACTGCTTGTACGTTACGTTATATTACCGATGAATACGACCTATGAACGCAAGAACACGGGTGCGTTGAGATTAGCGAAAGTACAAGGGAAAGTGATAACAGTAAAAAGGTAGAAAGAGAGGGGAGGTGGTGTGGGGGGTAACGATAAACGGTAGAGAAGAATATGGAGGCCTGGAAAAGACGACAGGAAACGCGTATTCCGTAAAACGATCGTAGCATGCGTCGAGTCGCGTCACATCGTTTCGTGCGATCGTCGTATCTTTGGCTTGTTACGTAACCGATAATACATACAATATACATAGTATGTAGTCATAGTCGATGGTGCCACTCGTCGTCTCTCGGCTGCTCTCGATAATTTCCGAGAATTTTTGGGTACCTCTTTATCGACCGATCGACGGAGATCGATCTATCGAAACAGAACGTTTCCCCCAAAAGGTTAATAAAATCGAACAAAATTCGATTGAGCTAAATTTAATTTTTATAAACGTTCTAAAAATGAGCCTGAAATTATGGGAAATTGAGGTTATATATCGATCAATTAAAAAATGAGTAAACAAACGAACAGATCGAAAACTTTTCTTCTCTCTCTTTTGCTTTCTCTCTTTCCCTCTCTTAATAAGTTTTGTATCGAATGATTTTACGATCAACGATGTTACGTACAACTTTTTACGCACACACACGGTACACAATAGCTTCGGTAGCGAGCAGTTCATTAATAACACGAGTAGAATACATTATCGTAATCTTTAGCCCTTTCTTTGGGTTACTTATTTAACGTTTGAGGTTATCATGCGAAACGTCGTAAGAGGCTATCGCAGAGGCTATCGTAGATGGAATGCATCGTAAAGTTTCACCGACACCGGTAGCGATGTAATATCGATACAGTTCAGATAAATTGTATCCGTGTGGTTCGTCGCTGTCCAATCGTAAAGATCGTCAGTTTGAATGAAGCTATTTTCACCTCTTATCTTTTATCTAGGATAATTTTTTTATCTTCAAAAAATGTTGATTAAAAATGAACGGTGAAGTATATACAGGTGTTAATGTTTGAAATGGTTAGATAGCTGGAAATGAAATGGAAAGATTGTTGAGTAGCCGAAGTAAAGCAGTGAAAATCGAAGTCACAGCCGCAAAGCGAGAACCGTGCGGCTCAAAGGCCGCGGCTAAAATCGTTCTATACACTGACCTACGAGGAATGTTCCTCTCCTCTTAAATCGACGTTTCATTGCGTGTCAGAGATTCGGAGCTTGATCGAAACTTTGAAAGTTCGAAACATCGTTGAATAAAGTTCCATGGATGAAATGCGCGCCCGGTGACGCTCGTCCGTTCGGTTATCGTCGATCTGACGGGATAGCCGATCGATTTTCACTTTTTCTTCCGATTAGCTACCGAATCGACCGAACTTCTTTTCGCGCGTCGATATACATATTTTATCTGCCGTACGATTCGTAAATCGATCACCATCGTAGAAGCGACGAGCGAGTACTCGACTTTACCTTAATGTTTTCGCGGGTTTTTGCGAGTTTCTGTTTGTACCCCGAGTGAATTTTTTACAGCGAGCAAAAAGAATCGACTCGCTTCGGTCGGTTTCTACGTGGTTTCGGTTAGCAGTGGATAGCTAACGAGAGGTACAAATTCGTTTCGTAGTTGCACGCACAATCTGGCATTCGCTTAAACCGTTTAAGGAAACTAACAAATGCTCGCAAAGTATTTAGAAACGAGATACTAAACGATTTCTATGTGTTATTGCTATGGTCAAAAAAAAATTTCGTACCGACAAAGAGAAATTTTGTCGAATATTTAGGCGGATTTCTCTTTCTGAACGTAAATATTCGAAAAAGCTGTTTGTCTTTTTACGATACATACTTTACCTTGCATACCAGAGAGAGAGAGAAAGAGAGAGAATATAGATACATAGTAAAAGTGAACGATGATAAGGAAGAAAAATGTTATGTTAAACCGAAGGAAAGGACGAATCGTCAGAACTGAATGAGAGTAAATTTAATACTGATCGGATAAAATTGTAGGAAAAGCTAAGGAACAAGACGATAAGCGTGTGTTATCGTGTTGGAAGTGTATCGTCAATCGAAACGAAGGTACACGAGGGTTGAACCGATAAGATATAAATACCACCGGTATACCTTATCTAAGACAAGACGTTGGATCTGGGAAAGATAGCGAATACTGAAAACCGACAAGATGAATTTTCTCCGCGTATCATCTTATTTCGTTTTCCTTTCTTTTTTTTTTCAAATTGAAAAATGAAATATCGTTTGATTAAACGTACCACCAATCTCACGATGCTCGAAGCTCGTAACTTTATCTCGTATCTTGTATCTCTTAGTTTTTACTTAGTCGTGTCATTTTTTCTACACTCAAGATACGATAAACGTGTAAAATTTCCTTTCTGTTTTTTTTTATCATGTTCGCATTAACGCGATAACGATCGATCCGATTTATATCGTGAGAGTATTATAAATAACCTGTTCTCTTTCTAAACAAGAAACACGTAAAGAAAATTGCGAGATAACTGATATTGTATAATACCTAATAGGAGAAATTTGGGAAAGATCGTCGGCCGGAAAGTAGACGGATCCTGTTTACTAAGTGAAAAGCGTGTTAAGACACTCTAAGATTACGTTGAAGATTCGAAGGAATATTCGACATGATACACTCGAAGCTTGTCAAAGACTGGATTAAATAAAGTACATAGTCGAATTGACGGAGGGAACGCGTTTCCCGCCAACGGGCAGAGGGAAGGAACGGTGGGAGATTGTGCGCGTGTGCGCTTTACTTTAGTAGGACACCCGGCCAACGGATCTGGTTGTAAGCCCCGACGCGACGCGAACGTCTAGATGGCGGGAAAGTGGCGCGTATGTATGCTGAATGGTGGAGCTACGATCGAGAGAGCGTAATGGCTGGCTGTCGAAATCCAAGTATACTTGATGTTACGAGAGTCCGTAACTGCGAAAAGACCAGTTTTCGTTCTTTTCTGCGCATCGTCGCTCTGATTGGCGATACCTCCAGAGGAAGTGGAAAGCGATTGGCGGAGAGCTCGCTGCGTTCCCCCACCACCTTCCAACCTGCGCGCTTAGTTATGGACTCTCGTGGCATCAAGTATATAGCTACGGCGTCGAGTGGAGAGATGCACGAAGTACGAAATACGGAATAGGGTATCACGCACGCAGGCGCGCGCGCGCGCAAATCTTTCTCTTTCTCTCCTACTGCATACGCGCGCACATGCCATCGCTCTCGCATTCTCGCGTTTGACTTGTCTCTTGTCAGACCTCTCTGTCAAGCCGGCTTCCGAACACGATTGGCCCAGTCGCGTTTCGGATGTCGTGCAGCCGGGTTTCAACGGTTTTCGAAATTTAGTGCCAATATCGAGAGGTTTTCGAATTGATTAATCAACCTCGTCCTTCGATCGTAATCTCGTTAACAGCCGAAACTAAGAGGCGGAAAGCCGATAGTGTGTTTTCGATTCCTAAAGTAACGTAACGATCATTTTCGTTGCCCCGATTCGATTTCGGGCAAGGTTTTACATGCCCAGAGAACGTATCGGCGCGACGATGCTAAACGTTTGCCGATCTTTAGAAGAATGAGCGAGCAGAAACTCGGTACGATAAAACGATTAAAGAGGAACGGTGGTAAAATCGATTCGATCGGTATCGTTGATTTTACCGATTTTACGTTACAACGAAATATTTAATCGAGAGGAACGGACGCGGCCGATTTCGTTGGCGATGATCGACGATGGTCGGAAAGGGGCGGGGGGAAGAAGATCAACGGAGGGAAACTGTTTCTTTGCAAGCTCGTGAAATGCGTGCAGCTGCGTTGGAAAAATGATTGGTACAACGCGACGATACTACTATTGCCAGTGTTGTTTTCGTTAAGAATCGTATCGTTCAGTAATCGAACGGAGAAAAATGGCGGAGAGATATTTCATTCTTAAACGTGACACTTGATAAAACGAGGGAAACGAGGTAAACCGAGAGTTTCAAATCTTTTGTATTTACGGAAAAACGAGGATGCCTAACGAACGGAGAGTAAACGCAAATGAATTGTAACGAATAACGTACCGACGTCTGATGATAGGAAGAAGAGAAAAAGACACGTGAAACGATCGAACGAGATCCGAGCCGTCTTAATAAAATTATCCTTCAAATTGCCAATCGCAAAGTTTCACGTTTTTTAAAGAAGACGTATCGTCGAGTTTCCTATTCGGTTCTTGCAACTACAAGAACGCTATGTTACCGCCGGCCGCCCTGAATTTGGAACAAAAAGACAGTACCGATAAAATAACAGGTACACAACAGCAATATCTTCGTCAGTATCGTAACCACTATTATCACGATCATCCGCATCAACGTCATCGACATTCACAGAAGCAGCAAGAATGTCACCGTCGACGTCGACGTCGTCGTCGTAACAACGATCATCACCACCACCATCGTCACCACCATCATCATCATCATCGACGCAAGCATCAACATAATCACCAAAACGAACAGCAGGAGCAACAACGTAAAAATACGGATTGTCGTCGCGCTATATCGCCATCGACTACGTCGTCGATACCGTGTAACGACAATTCGTCGTCCTCGTCTCAACGTTTAAGTATGTTCGTGACAGGTAAGAAGGACGATGATCGGTTCGAAACGAGCCTGTTAAAAAAAGAAAAAATTATTCTTTCAAAGGTGACCATTTTTTAACACGTTGAACGCCATGGGAGTCACACGTCTGAATAATTAAAAAGAAACAATAGAAAAACATTATTTTAATTAATATTGCTATGGTACAAATAATGTGAAATGGCAAATAGAAAACTTGCAATATGAAAATGAATTATTACTATTCTTAATAATTAGAGTTTTAATACGTTCCACAAAAAATGTCCAATTTCACTGTGGCATTCAACGTGTTAATTGAAACTCGAGAAAATGTAAAAATAGACGAAGGATACTTTTCAGTACATTCGAAGGAGAGAGTAAAAATGATGAAAAATGATGATGATAGGAGAAAAAAAAGCAGTAATCGATTTCGAGATCGATCGTTCATCATCCGTATAAGTTTGGCACGAAAAATGGTGCCTGTTGCGCAACTGGCGTCTCTTCCCCCCCTCCCGCCCGCCCCGTGGTTACAGTTTCGCGCGCGTTCTTGCCCGCTCGCCCTGCTCCGCTCCTAGACGCGCGTGTTTTCTTCACTCGTTGCGCTGCGCCTGCGAAATGTAATAGAGACAAACGCGAACGCGTATCTCCAATTACTCGCTTGCTGCTTCTCATTGCTTTTTAAATCATGACGTTTCTCATCGGAGAATGCTTTTGATATTAATTCGCTCGATCGCGTATGCCGTATATCGGGAGCAACGGTTCGCGTACGAACGTGTCTTACGTAGAAACGTTACGTGGAAAAGAAACGGAAGAACAAGTTTGTCTGGAAAATGAAAGGAAACCGCGCCAAGTACAGAACGAACAGTGGGTATGGATTGTTTTAAAATTACCACGTGTTGCACGCGCCCGACCTGTTTTCTTTTTTCTAATACGCTAATTATTACTGCCAATACGGTTTACCATACGGTAAAAGATCGAACCAAAAGGGGTTATCGTACACGATACAAGTATTTTCCGAGGATATTACCGTAGACTCCTTGCGAGCCTCTTTGTAAACCCCGTACCCACGCATTGTGAGCGCGAAACGATTAGGATCGATGATACGTGCCACGTGTTTTCAAAAATTCAATCACGATTCTTTCTCATCCATCGATCGTTAATGAGTGATCACGCGAGAAGAGAAGGAGCGGAGTAGACGATGAACGAGAAGGGGGTAGGGAGGGCGAGGGCAACCTCTTAATCAAATTTACCGCGCGATTATCTGACAAGCGGTGAAAAAAAAATGGGATTCGTTTAAAAAGAAATTCCGCGTTCGATAAATAGAAGTTAAAATCGTTCCTTTTCTCGAAACACGTTATAAACACAGCGTGGCGCGATATTCGTTAACCAAACGAATGTCGATCGCTTACGTGTTTGCGTCGAACGCGTTTAATTAATCGTTGCATTCAATGCAAAATATATATACCGGACATTGCGTACGTAAACTTAAGCGTACATGTCACGAAGGTTACGCTCGCGAGATTTTCTTTCTTTTTCTTTTTTAAATTTCATTTCGACGAATAAAAGTAAAAATAAAAATGAAAGAACGATTCGTAAAGGTGAAAGATTAAAATGTAAGTGAACAGGAGGTGAAAGGTCGTATAGCTAGCAGTCGTATATTTCCAAAGTTAGCGACGAGGGCAGTAATAATTAACGTTTCGTAGCGTTGCGACGATCTCTTGGAAAATATCCAACCACGTTACGGGTCACCGACTGTCGCTATTGCAATGAATGCACCTATGCAGACAACGCATACTCTTATTCTATCCATGTTTTCTTAATATTATTCCGATATTAATGCGATCGTTCGATATTGTACCGCTTAGGTGCTTTAAAAAAGTGCTGGGACGATCGTCGCTCATAGAAGTCGCATCCGTTGCATCGTTGATCGCAACGTGTCGAAATCGGGCCGTTGAAAAGCGAACAGATCGCGTTCCACCGTAGCCTGCTCTTCTTTAGCTATACATTACATATATTTATCTGCCTACAGACAATCGACCTATCCGAAATTTTATCTATCTCAAAAATCGATCCGATTTTACGCAACGCGTAAAGTTCCGATTTTCTTCCTATTTTTCCCCGCACCTAAATGAATTTCCCGTTTTATACTTCCCCCGTACTATCGACGAGTCGAAAATAAATTTCCTTCGATAAATCGTAAGTACGTTTAACGATCGGATCGCGCCCGGAAAGGTGAGAAGCGGAAAAAGTCTCGTCTCGTCTGGTCTCGTCTGGTTGCATCGCGTCGCGTCGGGGATAATGCACGTTGACTCTATTAGTGCGCACGGTGCATCGGTGAACTCGCTGGCAACTCGTAGTATATTTAGCTCGATGGAGGAAGAAGAAGAAGAAGAAGCCGTTTCGTGTACCGACTAAACTAAGGTCGTCGCGTGTCGTTTTCTTTTCGACCAACTAAGTTGTCCTACCGTTCCATCGGGAGCCGATAATGCTGGCGGTATAAGTTTTCTTACCGCACCGCCGTACGGTTATTTCTACACCACCCTCGTCCTCGGTTGCCATCGTTATCGCGACACTCGACGCCGTCATACTTTTCGTCTAAGTCTAGTCGTAAGAGAAGAGCTTGGATCCTAATTTTGTGCCGTCGGGTTACTGGACCTTACGTAACTACCAATTCGAATGCTAAGATTAGTCGACGGTGCAAACTAACCAGGAGCGCAGATTTAGTTTCCGGCCATATCTATGTATACATAGAGATATTCACGAGTCAACGCTCACAACTTGCCATCGTACACGTTAGCGGTTTTGCAAAAAAAAAAAAAAAGAAAAGAAAAGAAAAGCGAGATACAGCGGAAATCATGGAACGAACGTATATTTATTTATTCGTTCAGTTTATGTATTTACCTATTAACTTCGTTCGACGTTTATTGTATTTGAAATTTGAGCAACCGGGTTACATTACGAGACCACCTTTTCCTTCTTTCAATGATATTCTACGTCTATCCTCTTGACGTATACCAGCACGGTCACAATTAAGAGAAACGTACTAAAGAAAGATCGTTCTATCGTTTACAGCAAGGGAACGTTTTCCTTCATCGAGTAGCACCGACGACGACCAAAGCGGTTCCGACACGGAACACGACTCGAACGCGTTACGCGGCAAAGTTCACTCTGGAATACTTCATCACTCTGGTACCCACTCCGTACGAAAGCGTCGAGGAAACTTACCAAAGCACTCGGTGAAAATTCTGAAACGATGGCTTTACGAGCACAGATACAACGCGTATCCGAGCGACAGCGAAAAATTGACGCTCAGTCAAGAAGCGAATCTCACGGTACTCCAGGTTAGCGGTCAATTTTCTTACCTCGAATTCCATTCATCTTTCTATAATTTCATTCATATATTTGTTTTCTTTACGTAGGTCTGCAATTGGTTCATAAACGCCAGACGACGAATTTTACCTGAAATGATTCGAAGGGAGGGTCACGATCCTTTGCAGTACACGATATCACGTCGTGGTAAGAAGATGCCTGCGGGAAGCCATCAACAGTCGTCCGGCGGTCTTGGTTCGAGGTCCAATCAAAATTGGGATTCGTTGGCTGGTATGAGTGCACCTAAACGTAGCAGGGACCACGATTACGAAGATCCTGCAGGATTGATGTATCGGTACGTTAAAGGGATTTGTTTGTTAAACCCTTGAAATTGCTCGTGTAAAATTTTATTCTATTTGTATTTACCTGTACAGAAGCGAAGAGGACAGTCCGAACGATTACGAGAGCAGTTCACACAGCGAGGAAGAACGTCCGTCTACTCAGTGGCCGAGCGTGATAGTTTATCCTTACTCGGAGACAAAAATTGAGCAAAACGTTGGACAACAGCTTGGCGTTTACGAAGAAACGATTGCAGCTCATCCTGCGCGACGAGGGTACGCGTATCTCCGCTTTTCTTTTTCACCTCCTCTCCTTCTCCACTGCAATCAAACATTGCTTTTATGTAATTGAGTGTTACAACGCGTTTATTAGGTATAAAGGAATGAATTGAATTTCAATGGGATTTCATGTTTTCTTTTCGTATTTTCCAGCAACGACGAGGACGAGTCGTCGGTAGGAAACAACGAGGCTGCTTATTGGAGCGCACCTAGACAGCATCTAATTCAAACTGCTAACATACAGCACGAAACGGAAACGTATGGTACCCGTAATGGTCACAACCCTCGTACGGACGAAACACCACCGCCAACGCCACCCGAAGAAGATAAAGACAAATTCAAGTGTCTTTACTTACTGGTCGAAGCAGCTGTTGCCGTGCGACAACAGGAAAAGGAGCGCGAGGGGGCTGTACCGGTTTAACGAGTGCTGTTTCACCTAGCTTACATCGATCTTTCTTAGCTTCCGGTTTCGTTACTCTCCTTCGTGTACACCGAAAAAGTTATTTCGCTTTGCTACCGTTCTTGGGTCTACACACGACCTTTTTTTCATGCCCCGCCTGATAATATTCTTTCGTTGTTACCAGCAATTTCTTTTCGCAGTTTATAAATACGCGATGGATCATCAGACAAGAGCGAAAATACTTCTCGACAAATGTTTTTCTTTGCATTGCTTTAGTCTTTTACCTAATTTCTTCTTGCAACGGGAACAAAAGAACAAAAAGCAGACAGAAACAGAAAAGAAGAAGAAAGAGAATTTTAAAGGCTGTCGATGCTCTAAAAAGAAAAGGAGAAAGATGAAGAAGAAGAACCGACGATGCATCGATTAAATTGCTGAATATGACGATGCTCTCGATATAGTGTGACTTTTTCTTCGACGTACACACGTAATTTTTCACGCGAAATGCCGTCATTTTAAGATCGCACAACGAACATTTTTAAAGGTACATGTACAAAAGTGTGTTGGAATGCAGCAATCTCAGTATTTGTTGTGTGTTCTCTAAAGCGATCGATAAACTTATGAACGAAGAACGAATTTAACGGGCTGAAAAATAATGTCCCTATTATTTTCTCAAGATAACGAAACGTCCTCGTAAATGAGAACAGGCTTCCAATAGATATCGATCGATCTCGAATCCTGCATGTATGTCGTGTCGCGTGAAAATTGTTTGCATATCACGGATTTGTTACGATCAAGAAAACGCGTTTTCTTTTGTTTTATTTTTTTCTTTTTTCAACGGACGTTTCCGTCGATACGTACTTTAACGTGAGATTATCGGCCAAATAAGTGCCAAAATATGTATATACATATTATACGTGCACGTATAATATTGAAAACAAACGATTTAACAATTACGATGAGCGAAATGTTGACAAATTTGACGAATCAAATATCGAACGATATTCTCTGGTAATTGTTAGGACGCGACGGACATGTTCCTGTTCTAACACTCGTGAGGGGAAAGGGAGAATTAACGGAAAGAATTGAGTAAATTACATATTACTTACATATACCAATACGTGCAAAGCATTTGAGCGTTGTACTCTTTGAAAAATCATACGCGCGTTTCCCTCTTCCTTCGGAAATCAGAAGAAAACGTATTGAAAACGGCGATGTTTTCAACAGCGTAAACTGCTCGGAAACGTTTGTTAGGAATATGTGCTTTGAAACGATTTTCATGCAGATTCAAGCTCAATAATGTTTCTTCAGCCAAGACGAGATAAAAATTAGCCAAAGAACAACGTCTAAAGCATTTTTGTTGCGCGTTCTCTTTTACATTTATTTTGTCCGTTTGTTGGTTTAGCACCGATATTAACGACCGATCGACAGAATACAGCACTGATAGCCATTCGTCTTTTCCTTTCATGTTTCGACTGGTTATTTTAAAACAGTACTTATAGACTAACTAGTACGTTACTTTACGCGTACAGTTGAATGCTGTTTTAATTTTTCATTTTATTTTTTTCTCTTTTCAAAGGGTCGTTAACGTTACAGCATCGCACGGTAATTTGTAGCAATTACGATTGCGTTTACATTCGCATTTATACATTAGACGAATAAGACTGGTCGAAAAGAGATTTACAGATCTTTCGACGCGTTTGCCTATGACCGATACACACGTATCTCCCTTTCCTCCGTTAAGCGGTTGAACAATAATATGTAATCAATACCGCCGATTAAATCAATCGTTTGTGTTAATTGCGAGCGATCGTTATCCCATTCAAGGATACATAAAGGAATATTTTTCAGGATATGCGAGACGCCGAGACTCGCCGAAGCAGCGCTGCTCATTTTATATTATTGGTAGTTGGATTCGATATACAATATTATAGAGAACAAAGTATAAGTTCGCGTGCTTATTAACAGAGATATACAATTAATAGATGATAAGTATACACATATATATATATATATATACACACGTAGATTTATGTTACAACCACATCCGTTCGTTGAGCATGTGTGACGCAAAGCCTCGAATTGTGAAAGATTCGTTAATTGAAGATTCGTGTCGCAAATTCGTGTCACGAATCGCGTACAGAAGAATCATTGGTACAAACGCCAAAGACTTAACCGTTAGTTATATCGATAATTAAGCTCTTTAAAACAGTTCACATAGACGAGTCGAGCCCGTTTTGCCGAACACGTAGTTAGTAATAAAAATATGTTTTGTTGTGTGCCCGAGCGTTTGAGAAAAAGAAAAAAAGAAAAAGAAGTTAACTAAAGGAGAAAGTAGAAGATGAAAGAAGACGATAACGGGGTAACGATGATAATGACAAGTATGATGGAAGAAGAGGGAGATGTTAGAAAATTGTGCCTAATCAAACGTGGTGTATTACAGCGTTCTCTGTTTTTGCGTATACCGTATATATTATATACCGTAAGAGTGTGTGAATGTAGACGCGAGCGTGGATCGATGCAGTTCTGTGTACTATTAAATACGTTAGTAAAACGTGAATTGGTGCATGTGGTAAGCATCGATACGCGAGCTAGATCCAAAACCGTGTTCAAATGAAACAAAGTTCATCGATGTACAAAATATCATTGAAATTTATTTTTAAATCGCGATAATCTTTACGGTCGAGCCGACCTACTCGTTGAAAACTGTTAGGGAAGTAACTTGCATTAGATTAAGAATGGATCTCTCTCCGATAAAAAAGAAAGAAGATAAAGAAAAAAAAGAGTACCTACGAAAGTGATATTTTTCGATCGCGTGAACAACGACCTGAAGTAACAACGAAAACGACGACTACACCGTCGATAACTACGACGATAACGATACCGACGGAGACAGGGCGACGAGAATGAAACGAGTTACGCGATCGAGTCGTCGTCGTTGTTTTACGATTCCATCCCTTTCCGATACGTCTAACGATAAGTCTCGCCTATTTTACGAAGGGATGCCACGGGATTTGACAATGCGATTCACCTTTATACCGTGTTCTGCTTGCCTTCTGATAAACGTGGAAAGAGGATAAAGGCCGAAATCCTGCATATGAATCGAAATGATTGTTAACAAAACCTACCGAATCTTCATAGTTCCTAACTGTTTCGAAGCTAACGATAATACATCAGGGAGGGACACGTTGAAATGAAAAATGAAAGCGGATGAAAGAGAGAGGGAGTCCATGTACGACTAGCGTCAATCGTTTATCGAGACGCATTAATTGTATAATAAAAGCAATACGTGTGCCTTGTTCAAGAACGTTCTTAATGCATACCGATAATAATAATAATAATAATAATGATAATGATATTTAACGAAAATTAACGTCGATAACGTTCGCCGAATTCATCGAATCACTTCCTAACGTACATATTTTTACAATTTTTGGATAACTTTAATACAAGCATACGCTTTGGCCCCCTCGTTTTGATAAATGATCACTGTTTAAGATACAATGGGCAGGGTATACATATATCGTACAGTGCTCTGAACGATACGCGTTGCTTGAAACTTTCAAGAAAAGTTTTTACGAAAACAAAATGGTAAATACCTAGCATCGCGGATAAAGTTAATCAAAAGATGAACATTCATTACAAGTTGGGATCATGTTTTTATTCAAGAAGAAAAGAAAACAAGATTAATAAAAAAAAAAAATACGGCTCCTGAATTTCATTAAAATCAACACTTGTTATAAAGGGGGAAGATGGGAGTGGGAGAGGGAGAGGTATTTCGTACAAAACTATAAATTTTAATAAAATATTCACTCAACTTAAGCATTGTTACTTAAAAAATGAAAGATAAAAATATATGGGCGCGAGTGTGTGTATATGTGTGTGTGTCTGTATAACACAAAGAACATTAAAGAATAGGATTAAGCATTATTTAGATTAATATAACGTTTCGTTCGAACGATTTCTTTTTCTAGAAGCTCTTAAACGCTTCTTTTCTAATGTTCTACGTGTGCACATACTACTTCTGTTGCATTAACATATCTGGAGAAAGAGAGAGAGAGAGAGAGAGAGAATGTAACGTAATTGGATAACAAATGTTTAAGCTTCCAATGTTAGTTGAGATTTTTATAAGTAGAATATATACGTATGGGAATGAAAATAAATGCAATCGAGTTGGTTTAATCATGCCTATATTTTACGATTTTATTGAAAAATTTACCATAGATTTTAACGACAATAGTAACAATTTTAGACTAAACAGTATTTGAATGCACCTGTAGATCTGAAAAATGATATGTAAATAATCGATTCTCTCTCTTTTTCTCTGGCTGAGAGTGGCACGTGTTACTCCCATATGCCTTTTCCATACCTTATACATTTTTCTATCAAACGAAATAATTTTTCAATAAAATCGTGAAATATATCGTACGATTAAACTGATATTGCTCCCTTTCCCATTTACATCGAAAGATTACATTTGAACGAAGAGACACGAACAAGGTTGAAATTTGGAAAGATTCTCACCAGGAGTAAAACAAAAGTTGTTGTATCGTTATCAAATATTTTATACACGATTAAAAAATACAAAACCGAAGTAACATTTTAAGTTTTAATCTTAGACGATTCGTCTTTTATACGTTACAGCAGAATAGAGGTTCTCGTTTATTTTTTATCGTTTAAGTAGAAGAGAAAAAAGCTCAAACCAGCGCAACAAATTTTAATTGTTAATGATTTTTTTTTTTTCCCCTTATATTCAAACAGGCGATACAGTGTTAAAGTTTAAGTACCTTTAAGTTGAATCGCACGTGTGTATCTCGAGTGCCATAGGACGCTAAAAAGATGTTACATCGATGTAATCAGGTCTGACTTAACAGTTAGCTAAACGATCATTTTATTTTAAAGTTATACTATTATTAATTATTATGATTACAATTATTATTATTATTCTTGATGATAACGATTGCGCGTACCGTTTTTGTTTCTTTCGTTTTTCCATACACAATCTGCCGTGTATACCCTGGTGTGCGTACAAACGTTACAATGTTCTGACTCCTTACTATAAGTACAGACTCATCTTATTTGCGATTCATTATCCAGCGATATTTAACGATTAGAAAAAGAATTCCGTTTAAATCGCCGGATAGAATTCTGCTTTTACGTTTGTAGAGTCAGAATTTCCCCTTTCCCTCATACACACACACACACACACACACACACTTCGACTACGCGAATTTTCGAAATACTTTAGAATTAACAATATTGTATTGTTCGATTCGCAAATTTATAATAAAGTATGTTGTGAATTTTATTATTATCACTGGTAACAATTCATTGTACCTTGTTCCCTTTTCTTTTTCCCCCCAAGAAGAAACGAATGGTGGATGCAGTCCGAAGGGGTTGGATGGAAAATGGAGGGCGAAGGATATCTGTATAACTGTATGAAATGTATTGGAAACGAAAGCCGAATCGACGTAAGGTGCAAGTAGTAGTCGGTTAGAGGCACGAGTGGGAAATAACGTAACGTAGGAAAGGCAAGGTAACGTAACGTAATGTAACGTAAGGTAACGGAGGATATAAGGGGGCTCGTAAAAAGGAGGAACGCCGAGTGGGCTACCGGTCAGTTTTAGATCGAGAGTCAACCACCTCCTCCTCCTAGTTGTTCGGTGTGATCGCGAACGTGCGGGCTGTGTCGAAAAGATACGAAGTGCACCAGGGAAATCAATACAGTTTGTGATTCGATGACCGTACGTTCATTATCTTAACGTTATAATGTGAATTAATTACACGAATGATGGTTATCCGCGCCGCGTAAATATCAAGAATTTCATTGTAATTTCTAGGTAAGCATCCTGTGCGCGCGTATATCATTTTTTAAACGAGAAAAGATATAGAGGAGAAAGGATAAAAGTAGAGAGATAGAAATAAAAGGAGCGTAAAAAGTATAATTCTATCGGTTTTCCTTTGTTTCTAGCAACGAAGAAACTATGGTGGTTGCAATTATGCCGTAGCCCTGTTAATCAACGCGCATCCAAATTAACCCAGTTATAGTACAACGACCGTTCTCTGATGGGTAACGCTTCTAACAGGCGAACAACGCGTCTACCATAAGTCTAAGGTATTATATTTATGTACTTGCACGATGTTATGTATACAAGTAATGATCGGTTCTCCATCTTCTTAATTACATCTCTACTTTTACTTTCGAGAATTTTTTTACGACGCTATTTTTCCTCTTTTCCCTTTCTATTGTCTCTTTTCTTTTTACCCACGTGATCTACGTATTTGCGTATCGAAAAAATGAAATTTTAATTCTGATTTCTTTGGACTTTAATCGTTTGAGTAATACTGGATTTTTGGATTTTTGCAATAATGCGCGACGCGATCGAGCTTCTTCGGTTTTACGTCACAATGCGTTATGCAGAGCGGTAACTCTGTCATTTAATTTTACATTTCTGTTAATTATTCTAAGATAGCCAGCTTGGTAAAATACTGGTGTTCAATCGCTATTGCCATTACCGTGAAACGTACCGACAGTTTGGTCAATCGAGCCGATTCCGTGGCATATTTTGACATGAAACAAGCGAAGCGCGATCTGCGTGCCACTAAAACGGTTAAGCAAACAGGTGAAAAGTATCAACATCGTTTACCTATAGATATTAAAAAAATCTGTCGGTAACCCAAATTTAATACCAGTCGGTGTACCTCTTAGAGTATTTGCAAGTGGAAACAAGTTGTGACAGCGACTAGTTTTTAAAATCTGGTCCTGGATTTAATCTTGCTCACCTGCCGAGCTATTCGACCCGATGACACTCTCCTCGACCATTGCTCGTTTTCAAACTTTTATGCGCAACCTATCGCGACACTTTGTTCTAAAAATCTCGTTTCCAGAAAAATTCTTTACGCGACGATGGAAATGATAAATGATGAAGAAGAATGAAACGGAAAGGGGAACGCGTTGTACGATCTTTCCACTTCGACCCAAATTTACAACAGGGTTTAACGGTTCGAACGAAACGTGCGAGTACGCGAGCTGACCACATGCCCGATTCGGTTCGATTCGATTCGATTCAATTCAACATCCAATTTGTTAAGCAGCTCTACTGATTTCGATTCACGGGTCGTCGTTGATCGAGGAATGTCGACAGGACGATACGTGAAAATTTGTATTCCCCCCCTGGCATCGTTTCGATGACCTACACACCTATTCTCCGTTTTTTTTCCTTTTCATTAACATAGATGAAACAGATGTTCTAATCGCAAGGGGGTAAGTTGATACGACGCGATAGCTGGGTCGAAGACCATTAGCCCTTATGGCCGATGTAGGTGCGAGAAATCTCGTGCAAGAAGCCCTCGAATGCAACTAACATGCGAGCTCGAATCGTGTAACTACACGATTCACGTGCGACCACGCATGTTATCACTCACGAGCTCGAATCGGTTTCCAACATGTTGGAAATTTGTCGAGTTCTCGTGCGTGACTCGCACGAAAATGAATTCGGAAGGAACGAACAGACTTAATTTTAAGGACCGAGCTCGAATGAAATGCGTTGGTACATCCGATTTATATCTCGAATCGTGTCAAACACCATCACGCATGGAAGTTTTAAGATGCTAGCCACGAATGATCTTCGCCAACGAGATTTCTCGCACCGTGTACATCGGCCATTACGCTCTAACCGTAACGATTTTCGGCCGATTCCCTCAGGAACGTTTATATAGGCTGATCACGTCCCGCGACTAAATAAGGAACGCCCTACATCCGTCGTTTCGATACGTACCGTGCATACGAAGTCATCTCTCGAGTTTGTACATTCGTGAGCCGGTACACGCCTAACGGGAATCACCTTAATTCGCGATCCTTTCCGTGCTATACTACCTCTAACCCGCTTTCATTTTGTCCCGCATTTTCCCGGGTATCGATAGAGCCGCGTGCCTTAACCCAAGCCCATCGTGCCATCACCATCATCGTCGCCTTTCTGTTCTCTTTTATCTCGCTCCTCCGCGAACCGCGTTAACCAAACGGATCTGCGATATAATTCTGTTTATTTTCCAGTAGGCATACACCGATAGTTCGGTGTAGAAAATAAAGGATAGCGTACACGTTACATAAAACATGGAAAAGAGGCACAGAGTGGTGGCGTTAATCGGGCTGATTCTATTCCTCAAGTCTTCGGACGCGGAAAGCGGCAGCAAGGAACATTCTTATTCTCACCACCGACAAAAGAGACTATTCTGGATAACGAACGATGGTCGAATAGCTTTGCCGCCAGGCACGGTAATGACGATAACCCCAACCTTAGCATTGCCGTTTGTCAGATATCCACCCTATGGTTTCCTCAGCAATATGACCATCAGTCTACCTTTTACCAGTGAGTAAATCCCTCTCGTTTCCGGTTACACGTATTTTTGATTCAATCTTGACCATCGAAACATGATAGATTTTTAATTGCCATAGTCGATTTCGACAAACTCGGTTTAACCGATAACGAGAATCCTTATGGTGCTCTACCATCGGCGTTCGATGCTACCGCGAGGGATCAAGGATCGTCCACGGCGGAATTTATAGCGACGTTCGTCAAAGGTGGACTGAATAAGAGAGAGGCTACCGAAAATCTGCCAAAGAATGCGTTTTACGGTGGCGAAAGAGCTTTGTTGTACGGTACCGCCGAGGATATGCTTGGAAATTTCGGTTTGAACGGCAAGGCTTGTTTGCTTAGAGCAATATGCGAGGTGCAGGGTCACCCTTTGAGCAATTTCGGTCTGGTCGGGGAAATGCTCAAGCTTTTCTTCACGTAAGCACCACAATTTTTCCTCTTATTTTCTACTTCTCGTATACTAATAATTTGTATTCATTTCTTTTCGTACTTTCAGTGCCAGCAAATCGCCGTTTGCGAACCTTCTGACAGAGTACATCGAAGCTGAGAATAGAGGAAAATTTCACGGAGAATGTTGGCCTTATTTTAAAGACTGTCCAAAATCTTTGTTTCACCCTTCGGAGAATAAGTATACGTAAGTATACGGATTGTTTCGTGATGCACCTATACTTACATCGACTCATTTATCGACACACGCTATTGAATGCATCGCTTTACAGGAATGATGCATTTAACGACAGTGCGGCGGCAACCGAATCGGTTGAGATTCGGCAAAAAAAGGATCCATATTCCCCTTCGATCGAATCAACGGATCGTGCAACGAGAAACCCTCCGTTCCCTCGAAATGTAAAATCAATGCCGCATCCCTCTATGTAGCTTTCGAAAGAAGCCAAATTCTATTTCCACAAGTCGAAGAAAATTCTGTCTTTCTTTCAAAATTCTTTTTTAGAATAACAATTTAAATAACGGACGGGAAAAATGTCGCGCTTTCGACTTGATCACTTGTAAAAGAAAAAACAACCAAATACGTACTAGCATTTTACGCTTCGTTGGCCTATTTTGGCCTTTGTCGCGTGTCGTATACACGCGGCTTTTATCGCCATATTATGTCTAGTAATTTATTCTCCGATGATGTTTTACATTATAATAATATCAAATTAGTTTCTTGTGAAAGCAACTCTACGTAAATTGATTTATGTAATTGGATCAGTGGTTCTTAACCGGTGCTCCGTGAACTTAGAGAAAGTGTTTTGCCAAAATATCCCATTAAAACGATTGTCATAATTTGTTGACTTTTGTTTTGCTATTGACCGATATGTAACCTGTTACGTACATGATTTTTATTTATTAGGCAATATAAAAAATATATATACTGTTTTATTTTATGACTATGTGCCGCAAAAATGTTGTAAAATTGTAAATGTTCCGTAATTTTGAAAAGATTAAGAACCACTGAATTAGATATATCATAACAACTAAACTATTTTGAATAAATCGTGGATAATTTATACTGTATGATTATCATTGATCGATATGTGCCGTTTTCTTGTGAACTACTATAAGAATTTCGTATTATGTAATACAAAATGAACGAATCAACGAAGAAAACAGTAAAAAGATCGAAGAACAGAGAAACATTGAAAATAAAATAAATCATGGTAAAATCGTAGTAAAATATAACTCTTGGCATTAATTTTATGTAATATTGGGAATTATCTGATTCGCTATCTAATCTAACTTGTTAAACCTAGATAATGATAAATATTCAATAAACTACAGTATGTTGAAAATACGTCGATTACTTCTGTAACGTGTATGTATTTACGTGCATACATGTGTATATACATACGTATACATAGATACATAAGTACTCGTTTATATACATCCGTGTATAGGTGACATATACACTGCGTATTTTTATCTCTTCGTGGTAACCTAACCTTTAAATTTTTATTCAACCAAGAATATAATTTGTATTATTGTATTACTCGTATGTACATACAAAACAACATGGCTTGCGAAGCTTGTCATGTAAAATTCAGCTTTTTTACCCGTAAGGTATGAACACTCATATTCTCTATGTGCCTTTCTTACTGACAATAATCTTTTGAAAATATATATGTTTTCTACTTGTATTGTGAAATTATTTCAGAGACAGTGTACAGATTGCTTGAGATATTTTTGTTCTGAATGTGTTATCAAACGGTTAGACAAAGTATTGAGTTGCGACAGTTGTAGTCTATTGTCGCGAAGGCCATTAATACGAAGTCAAATTGTACAAATATGTTCCAAAGACTTGCGTAAATATCTGTTGGCTAAGAAAATACCAATTAATGGATGTATAGGTACGTATTTTTACATATACATTATCATCAAAATATTAAGTAACTGAAAAACATTGACATTACAAAAATTGTGCAATAGCTTTTTGATTTTATTAACTTCTTATTTTGTTTTCTAGAGAAAGAAGATTTAATAAAGTTATTGATGGTATATGCTAATAACAGTAGTGATTATTCTGGTACAGAAAATACAGTTAACCCAAACACAGAAAATATGTATGTTTCATTTTGTTTCATTTCATAGTAGATATGTATATACATAAGTATGCGTGTAATTTAAAAGAAAGATTCAATAGAAGTTTTTTTTTCATTGATTATGAAAGTGATATTGTTATTATCGAATATCAAATGTAATTAGGGAAATTAGTGTTATAGGTTGATTATGCAGAGTTAATTCATGGATCAAGTATTAGATTTATTAAAGTCAATTCACACGTGTGGATTTGATGTTATAGCTGAAAAATGAAAAGTTGCCAAACAAATCATTTTCAGCTTACTTTAATCTTAATGATATTTTCTTTTCCAGTCGATCAACAACTGTAAATCGTGAACGCACTGATCAATTTCAAAATGTAACACATGAAACTAATGCCAGGAGAAGCGATGATAGCGAAACCGATACAACCTCTAGAATTAATTTTCCTTTAAGCGACAGAAGAGAACCTGTCGATTCGGAAGAAGGAAATTCTGATTCAATTAAAGAAATTCTTACGGTACGTGATAATAATTACGTCATAAAATTGTCATTGTCTCTTTGTTATTTTATTTTAACAGTAATTTTGCACACTGTGCTTATTCACTTGTTTCATTCTATACAGAATCCTGTAAAATTATCTGATATAAATACGTTATCGGAATTGGAATATTTAAGTGTGAAGCAACTGAAAAATTTGTTGAGTACAAATCGAGTGAATTATAAAGGTTGTGTTGAAAAACACGAACTATTGGATAAAGCTTCTAGGCTGTGGAAAGAACATGAACGCTCAAGAATAAGTAAAATACAATTTTGCATTGAATTCTTTAGTCATTTCACCTGTTAAATATGTGAAAATCTTAAATACATTATCTTTCTTAATAGATGTGGAAATCCCAGATGAAAATCTGTGTAAAATTTGTTGGGATGAACCAATAGAATGTGTGATTTTGGAATGTGGTCACATGGCTTGTTGCCTACAGTGTGGCAAACAAATGTCAGAATGTCCTATATGTAAACAATACATAGTACGGGTAGTACGATTTTTTAAAGCTTAACCCCCCACGTAAAATTATCATATCGTTAACATTTAAGGTGAGAAATCAAAAGAAGAGATTAAAATAACTAATGAAATAGCATGCATACATTAATATATGTTTCAGGTATATATATATTTCAACAGAAAAATGTCGATGAATTCACTTATTTTAACGTTGAAGCACGCTATCAAATATGGAGATCAAAAACATCATTTTAATATATTACATTTATAATATCAAATATCTGTACATATTGTATATTATGTACATGTTCTGTTTCCGTTCCAAATTTACTAAAATTAAGTTAACACATTCGCATCAGGGAACGAGAATCCTCGTTTTTTACCCCGATTTATATGAAAATTTTGCGAAAAATAGCCCGATACAAATGTGTTAACTAAAATCGACAACCCAACTGTCATAACCTCCCTTTCTCAATAAAAATTTACCAAGTCACTATTTTGAATCAACTGTGATCATTATTCATCATCCATAAATGTAAAGTTACATATTACATATACCGAGAAATGTTATGCTTTTTATTATTCCTATTATCTATTTCAATTCGTTATGAAGCATCTTTATGGATTCAAAATATACAAATTATACGTTCGATGTGCATTTATATTGCATTTGTATATAGATAATTATAATAATAAATATATATTACTCTTTAATGGTTAATTAATTTATTACATTTTTGAATTTCAAATGTTTTTGTTATATACATAACATAGAAACATTTAAATAAACTCTTTGGTGACAACTAACGCGTATTTAAATTGCGCTTACCTTTTCCCGCCCTTCCCCATGGATGTCCAGGAGAGGAGTGACAGTATAGGAAGAGGTTTCGTATGTACAAGATGTTCGGTTACAGGTGGATATCCTTTGAGGGGATGATAGCTGAGGTGATATTAAACAACTTTTTTCCTTCATTACAATGCTTGTTAAAACTTAATTTTATAAAATTAACGAAAAACAACGACCAATCAGAGTGCGCATGCTCGACCGCGGAAGTGCCGGCTACGACAACCGCGCTTGCTCGTGGTCGCGAACAAACTACTCGGCGCGTCGGTTCGTAGCCGACACTTCCGCGGCCGCGCATGCGCATTATACGCGCTCTGATTGCTCGGCGTTTTTCACTAATAATTTGAAAAATAAGCTTTAACAAACATTTTGGTAAAGGAAAAAGTTGTTTAGAATTACCCCAGCTACAGCTCTCTCCCCCAAAGAATGTCCACCAGTAACCGAACACTTATTGTGACTATGTAATATGCATACACTTATACCGTAGTTCACCAGAGTCCATAACTGCGACGCGCAGGTTGGAAGATGGTGGGGGAACGCAGCGAGCTCTCTGCTAATCGCTTTCCACTTCGTTTGGGAGTATCGCCAATCAGGGCGAAGATGCGCACTGGAGGTGCGCGAAGAACGAAAACTGGTCTTTTCGCAGTTATGGACTTTGGTGAACTGCGGTATACATATACACAATAAGTTTTAAATGGCTTCCGAACTATTACGAACTTGTTCAATAGTAAAACTCTAAAAGACGATTCTCTTGTCTTAATATTCTGTTTAGATAATTTAAATTCTGTAGTCGACAGAGATTTATTAAAAAACGAAAACCTAAAGCCTAACAAGCAAAATAGCAAACAGAAAAATGAATCAAGCAAATGTTGAAAAGTTGGTTTCTAAGTTAAAGCATAAAGTTAGGCAAGATCCACGTAAATTAAAAAATGTACTTGGTCCAGAAGGTAGAATTAAGAAACTTCAGAAATCATTAACCGCTATAATTAAGTATGAGAGGCTCGAGATGAATTATGAAAGAGCTGATGAAACGAGAGGTTATGTCGAACGGGTACGAATCACAAACTTTTTTTATATTTACTTTTCGTTACATTGTATTTTATAAAACGTTACCTTTTGCAGCTAATATCAGAAGCAATACGTCATGGACCTGAGAACAAAGAAACAATGGAGCTTGCAGATTTTTGGATTTTGGAAAAGCAACTTGTTCATAAACTTTTTAAAGTACTAGTACCAAGGTATCAAAATTATACATCCTCGTTCACAAAGCTTCACAATGCACCGACTATATATCCAGGAAGTGGCTTCAAAAGAGCTGTATTAGAGCTAAAAGGTATATTTTGTTAAAACAGTAATTATGTACCTTCAAGTTCATATAAATGTTAATATGAAACTTTCATTGTAGGAAATGTGTATCCTCCCATAGAGCAGATTGATCCACATCAGCAAAATTTACTTCATAATGTATTACTTGATGCAGCTAGAAAAGAATACAGAATGGAAAAATACAAAGAAATAGCTGAAAATATGAAATTTTAAATTATATGTAAATACTTTATTACCAAACAGTAGAAAAAAATACACAATATTAGTGTGGAATGGTAAATAGAATTGGTCTAATCATTGTTATTTGGTATTATTAAGTTGATTTAAAAAGGCTTAATGGATAATGTTCATAAAATTCTGCAACATGATTTTCCATGGAACACATTTGTTTTCTAAAATTGAAAAAACATATCAATAATTAAGGCACATTAAGGATAATAAAGAAAATGTCAAATAATTTAAAAGTATAAAAATTAAAAAATCACCTTATGTGCTTTGGCATTGTATGATACACATCCGTGAATAACTCTTTCCAATAAGGTTTAAGTTCTTTCTCTGCATCCGCAAAAGCAATTAAAATAGATTTTTTTACAGATTCATTTAACTCCTGTTCTTGTTGTTCGCACCACAAATTAATTGACTCTAAATAATCACGATATCGATTTATAGGTGTACAATGATTCCAACTTTTTATTTCATCGGTCGATCGATATGCAGTGCTATCGTCAGAAGTACTATGATGACCAATTCTAAAATATATGTTAAATAAAGAAAAGAATAATTTAAGAAAAAGAGAGAACTGCTGTTGTGTGCAAGTATAGCAGGTAATTGTAGTATTATCTCGCAGTGTTGCACAAAAAAACGTTCTATTTTGATGATCCATTAATTAGTTTACTGATGGTCGATACTGCATTTACAGAACATATTAGAGATGATGTTGCTGATGCAACACAAAGAAATTGAATAGTTTTTACATACCGATAAGTCATGGCTTCTATTAAGATTGGTTTTCCTGTCTTTATACAATATTCGCGAGCAGCTTTTGTCGCATAATACATAGCGAGAACATCATTACCATCCACACGAATTGTACGTATACCATAAGCTGGACCTCTCGCTGCAATTCCGTCTCCTTTAAGCTGTTCCGAGCAAGGAGTTGAAATAGCATAACCATTATTTCGACTGAAAGGAAAAAATATGATGCTTACCCATATTGTACTGTCATACAACCTATAGTTATGCAAGAAACTTACCATACGAAAACGATGGGACATTCTAACGTTGCAGCAAAATTGAAAGCTGCATGAGCATCGCCTTCACTAGCAGCTCCTTCGCCGAAATAACACACTACGCATGTTTTTCTCTTGGATCGTTTAAGCGCATATGCCATACCCACAGCTAGAAACACAACAAAAATATGAACATAATTAGAATCAAATATTATGGAAAAATAATGTAAACTGTCATGTTTAAGAATTGTTGTACCTTGAGGTAATTGTGTTGTTAGAGGAGAAGAAATAGTAACAAAGTTCAACCTTTTTGATCCATAATGAACAGGCATCTGTCTTCCTTTAGACGTATCTTTGAAATTGCCATAACATTGATGCATAAATTCTTGGATGGAATAACCACGCCACAATAGGACACCTACAAAAGACCTATGTTATATTAAATACAATTATTGTTATTTGAAATAACAAGATACATTAAAGTTAATATTTTATACCAGCTTCGCGATATTGCGCATATATAACATCTTCTAATGTAAGAGCAGCTGCAGAACCAATTTGAGTTGCTTCTTCCCCTGTATTAGTCATGTAGAATGATATACGACCTTGTCTTTGAGATTCATAAAGAATCTTATCCATTATATTCAAAGTAATCATTTTATGATACATTGTAACCAAAGTTTGTTCATCTAGCTTAGATATAAAAGTTAAATCAACTGTTAATTATTTTCATTTATTACTGATAAGATTGCTTGTTAATTGCAGTAAATTATAAATAACCTTGAGGTCAATAGGTAATTGTAACTCATGTTTTGATGAGTCTAAAAGTCTAAATGTTGGTAAAGGATCATAACTTTCTTTGTCCATGAATTTTAATTCATTGGTAAAATTGGTGTCCACGCCTAAGAAGTAAGGTTCTTTCGCATCATTAACAATTCTACTTTTACTATTGGTAGACATATTGTTGTAGTATCTTTTTGTCTAAATCAATTCAGGAAAAATAAAGTGAAATAATAACATTGTTTTTTATTTTCTTCTTTTTATCCTTTTTACTTACGTGGCGTAATATATTGTTTAAATATAAACATTTTCCAAGTCTTAGAGAAATTTGTTTCATCATTATGTCGAGCAATTTTAATTGACAATTAAATTTCTATTTAATAATTGCTGTTTGTTTTCTCATCTGTTTGCACTGTAGAACTTTACGTAACAACTTACGTTCGTATATTGTACAGAATATTGAACTATATAGTTTAGTGCATTTTACTTTCATGGAGTAAATATATGCACATACATGTATAAGTCAACTGATAAGTCACCAATCGTGTCGTAAACATTTTTGGAGCGATTATGTATAGAATATTTATACGTGTGTGTATGTACATATATGTATATGCGCATAAATAATAGACCTATTTTACGCATCAAATACAAATTAAATAAGTCGCTTATGCACACATAAGTTGCTTAGTAACTGAAAGGAAAACAACACCTTACGACTTGCGGCGTTATCAGTTTAAAACAAAGCGCAAATTTTTACCAGTTGTTCTGTCGGTTTTTTTAAATTTTTGGTGAAATCTTTTCCAATTTCGCGTAATAAATACAAAAGGAAAAATAAAATATAGATAAACAACATTATAAACTATAATAATAAAGTTTTCAGGAAATGACGAGATGTAACAGAAGCGAAGTTAATCTTAAAAGCACCGGTATGAAAAACTGCAACCTTTATTTGACAATTTGATATTATATCACATATAATGTATACCACACTTTAATGACCTATAAATTTTCAAATTTAGCCTACAATCAAAATGGACAAAATTATTTTGAACAATTAACAGCATACAATTCTATGAGTTCACATTTACGACGTATTTTATTAGCAAAATGTGTTGTCGATGCTAAAAATAAAAATTATATGCGCAGAAGAAAACAACTGTGTAAAGACATCGATTATAAATCAGAATGTACAAAAACAGAAACGACGAATGATATAATTGATAAATTAGCATATGATACTCTACATCATCCAGCGGTAGAGTACTCGTAGAGTTTGCGTACAAAAATTTATTAAAATTTCTTATTTTATTGTTAATAAATACTGACATTTATAATATTTTTTTCATTAATGGATAGGACTTCTTGAAAATGAGTTACAATTCGAGATATTTATGTCAACGCGAAGATCAAAAATATTTTACCGATTGCTATAATTATGACATGATCTGTTCACGATCGAGACTGCATAATCATGTTATTTGTTCCGATTCACCGATGTTCAAATCAAATAAGTTCGAACCGTTCATACCGAATAGTCAGAATATAAAACGGCGATCTTTTAAAACATTTAAACCTGTAGATGTAAAATCTGCAATAAAGATTCAAGATATTGCTCAACACAGGTGAGATAAATTTGACCAAAGAAGAATTTCTTTCCTGTTTTATATTTAATTCAGTTCTAGGTGCTTATTACTTGTACTTTGTTAAATGGACAATAAACACAGATACCGAGATAAGATAGTTTACGAATCCGCTTCTGATTTTATAACGCAAGAGGTCAATCGTTTTTCATCGGCAGGAAGTACATCAAGAAGTTATGAAAATTACGAAAACACTCAAGAATTAACTAATATGAATAGTAAACAGCGAAGGCCTAGAAAAGATGAAGTAAAATATGCAAAGTTCGTTTACGAAATTACACGCGAAATAATGCGCAAAGGCCTTTATACCGACGAAGAATTACAAGCAGTATTCAAGGAACATTTAGAACGAAACGTAACAGTTCTGGATAAGGTCTGAATAACATTGTTTTCGTAATTTACATTTATCATGCGAACGTATAGAATAACGTATTGTCTGCCCCTAAACAGAATATGATGTTATACGAAATCAATCAGCTAAAACTTGCTTTAAATGTGTCAGACAGCGATGATTCATTTGACGAAGAATTGGAAGATACTATTCGCACTCAACAATTATTAAATATTACTGAATTGCGACCACCGACACCGCCAAAAATTTTAGATGAAGATAGGTTAATGGAAAAATTAAGGTCTTACGAGAAAAAAGATGAAGCTGAACAGGAATCAAAAGTTAATCGTAGAAGAACGGTCGAATTTATCGATCCTAATCCTGAATTAATTGTAACCGAAAGAGATATTCTTACATCGTTGATAGAAGCCGATATTGATCCTGAGCAAGCCCATAAGATCTTTTTAAAGATTTTTTCTAAAAGCAGAGACGCAACATCGCAGGTTTCTGGGATATATTTATTAAACTAAATAATTTGAAATATCCATCTTTTAATTTATAAAATCCATATTTTTCTTTTTTAGCTTCAAATGAAGACAAGTAACTCAATAATTGATTGCGAACAATTATGTAAAGTGCACAATGTAGATGGACAAGAAAAATCTTGTACAACTAGCGATCTTATAACACAAGAAAATAAAAACATACAAGTAGAGTAAAAAGAATTTGTGTAGCATTAAATCATGAAAAATATTTAACAAATTTCAAATTTTCTTTTTTTAAGTCAGTAATTATCAGAATAATCTGTTCATTTCATTTGTTACGTTTTGTTTATTAATAGAAATAAGTATTATATTATTTTTTCACACTATTAATTTTTTTTTCTACATTCACATTTGTGTATACTACGTTTCAACAACAACAATAAAATATATGGTGAAAAAATATATGTATATGTTACAATGTACAAAGATAGTTACATGTGTCTAAAAATTATAATATTATTTATATATTAAACATACATTCTATAATCTATGAACGTATGTATACATATTTTTACAATACAGTTACCTTTTCCAAATTATACAGAGACTATTATATTTTATGCATACAGCATATATTATACATGAGCTATAAAACTAAAACAGTTATTTTTCATTAATAACATTAAAAACTCTCTACTTATTATTATGCAGGTATAAATTTGTTTACACGCTTCGCATACGAAGTGCGTTTTTCTTGTTTAAAAATTCACACACATATATATATAATAATAATATAATGTACATTGTTACAAACTGACTATAAAAACGAAAATTTATTATAAAATTTGGTTAAATAGTGAAAAAAAAAAAATAAATTAAAAAAAGTGCTTAATATTCCATTAAATCTCTTCCTAAAAAGATATAATTGTAATCTTGTACAAATTATAAAAGAACAGAAGCATTAGTACTCAATCTAGAAACATATAATTAAAACAAAAAAAATCTGTAAAACAGGCACAGACATCGTCCTTTTAGATTGAAATGCAATGTAACTAATTATTTACTATCTCCTAGTTAATAATTTTATACCTCTTACTATTTAATACCAAAATAATCAGAAACTTGATAAAAACTGTTTCCGAGTTATTTTTAAAATATCTAAATTAATTAAGTTATATACTATGATAGTAGTAGTTATAGTAAATGTACGTCTCGAGACAGAAATTTCATCCTGAGCAACTATGACATTTTATAAAGGCTTAGTCTGTTCTTTTATCAACTACCATCAGATGCATTTGAAGAAGAATCTTCAAGTTCTGGGGCATCAGGCCCTCTATTTAAAATTGTTAAAACATCCGTTACATGCCTTGCAGTAAAATCTGGTTGTGGATCTTCTCTTAACAAACGTGATTTATCCACAGTTGGAATCCAAACAGTACCTCTTAGACCAGCTTCTATCCCACCTAGATAAAAAGGATAATCTTTCAAATTACATAAAACGTTTCACGATATAGATATTTTGTAACACAAGTTACTGAGACCAAGAAACTTATAAATAAATTATCATATGATAAAAATATAATACCCAAAATGTCAGTTTCCAGCTTGTCACCAACCATGATACAACTATCGGGCTTTACATTTAAAAATCGACACGCTTTCCGAAATATTTCTCTTTCTGGTTTTTCCCATGGTAAATCTCCAGATACTAGGATGATATCAAAATATTGTTCAAGCGAAAGCTTGTGTATTTTCTCCCATTGAGCATTGGAAGGACCATTTGTAATCAAACCAACGAGGTACTTTATCCTCAATTTACGAAGCATGGAAATTACGTCTGTAGTCATCATCAGATAATAGTATCGTAGATGCAACCAACGTTCGTAAACTCGTTTTGCTAGGTACGAGTATTTTTCTCCAAGCGCTTTGGTCCATAATGATGTGCGCCAAACGTCCAGAGTATTAATTACATTGTCAGGACATTTTCTAAATAGTTTCAAGTATGTTGTTGTAATCTTGACAGATACGTCTTCAGGAATACCATATTCTTGTGTTAGTTCCTCGGTCAACTGTAGATAAAGGTAGAAGATACTAGCTGTTAAAAGCTTTTTACATAATAGCATACAAGTCAAGCGATGTTACAAAATAATCAACAAAATACAAAGTACATACTAGAGGAGAATGAAACTGATTTCCACATTCAACATAATGCATAACAGTATGTTATATCCTGTTTAAGGAAAAACATTAGTGCCAATAAAATCAATTGAAAGGATCAGCTGACGTGTCAAAGATGACAAAACATTTATTGAATGTGGATTGTAATATATGTGGATTATAATGTAACCAAACTTTAAGGAGATAGGATACAAACGATCAGTTAGGAGTTTAGGTCACTTAATTCAGTGTTTAATGATTACCTAGAAAATGCATTGATTCATTGAAATACTCGAGCCGATTAGTGGACACTCGAAGTGGCACCCGCGGTCGTTGCTGTAATCACAACAAAATCAGTTGTGCCAACAACAAATTTATATGTATTAGTCCAATCCTAGAAGCCTTAGTTAAATGATTTTTGGATGTTAACATTTACATTTATTATTTCAGATTCTATGTCACAGATATAATTTAAATTTTGACACAATTTAGTAATCCATCTGCTGCAATATTTTACTTTTTAGTGCTTGACAAGGAGGTAATAATTTGTAAAACCAAATACTTTAAAAAACGATTTAATAGAAAGACCACGTTATTTTACAAAATCATTCATTATACATAGACATTTTTAAAAGTATATACACTTTGAAATTATATTAATTATAAGTATTCTTTAACATATATACTTTCAATAGTCTACAGTTTATTATAAAATGTAAAAATATTTAGTTCTAACACGTATTTCAATATTTAAGTTTCAGAAACTATTTAATCCACAGAAATATTTAGTAGTTCCTTGGCTTGCCAAAAAACTATTTCCAGTCATGATTGCTACCTAAATTTATGTCTGAACTATGATTGTATATAGTTTTACATACATGTAGGTAGAACATGTTATTAGAATATGTGTTATTTTAGTAACTAAAATATTTTGAAAAATATTGTATAGTAAATGAAAATATATAATAAAAGTGCCCTTTTGAGTAAAAATTCAAATTATTTTTTCTTACAGTGCAATTTTTCGAATACTTCCTACCAAACATAAAAAGCATGCAAAATATTCTTATGTCTTCGCATAAGAATCTACTGTTTAATAACATAAAAATACAATAAACCCCTTTAGTATACAAATTAATATATTATACTATCAGTATATGATTCTTTTATTCCAAATCATTTAAATTCTGTATATTGTTTTTAATCTCCAAAAAGATGTTTTCCAAGCTCCATCATACGATGATTTCTGCATACAGTTAAAGCTCCACATTTCTTTAAAACAGAGGGAACATTCTCGTCTGCTTTCACTAAATGACATAATAAATCTTCAAAAGCAGACTTTACATTTGGTTGAAGGCTTCCTATTTTTACTTTTTTAAGGGTTTCAATAATTTCTGCTGCCCATCCTGATTCAAGAGTAAATTGTGAGAGCCAAGGTATAACTTGTAGAACTCCAGCCATTGTTTGCATTCCAAGAAACCACAATTCCATAATTTCCATCCACCGTTCTTTGTACGACATTGCGACAACAAGTTCAGTTGGATCGTTACTTTCATCAATTATATATGCATCCCACAAAAATCTTATAGTAGCTTGAATATACCGACATATAGAGAAATCATTTTTCTTAATACGTTTCGCTTGTTGTTTTAATAATAATAACCCCAGAACTGCAAGATGACCATGAAGTACTAAATTCTCTGGGATTTGTTTAAGTTCTGGGAGATTATTGAAAATAAATTTTAATAAGGAAATGAATGTTGGTGATTCTTCCACTAATTTTGCTTCTAGGACAGTAATATTCATTAAAACATTGCATACAGAAACCATAGCTGTTCTTGAATCTTTCATTGCTTCAGACACGTGAAGTTCTAAATCTTCTTCCTTTTCGGGTTCTTTCAACGCTTTCAATCTTTCTGATCTAGGAACTGGTGGTTTTTTGTGATGAACAATTGTCCAGTGATAAGATAAACATTCAAACAAGACTTCTTCTTGCTTATGTTTGATTAAGATCTTTCTAGCATCTTCTTCTACAGCCAAATAACATAAAGCTGGTAATAAAAGTCTTAATAAATCGATCTCGCTTAAAGGATCATTAGTAACTGGTTCTACAGATGATGGTCCTTCGTCATTTTTCGTTTTAGCATTTGCTTTGGCTTTCTCTGCTAATTTTCTATTTCGGTACGCGTAAAAAGTATCATTGGCTACTGTTAAAATGTAAGGCAGCACCGCATAAACTTGCGGACGCATGGCGGTTGTTTCTTGGGCAAGCCATGCAGCTAACACCCTTACTACAGCACAGATAAATACTCGTTCTTTGATATCTGTTAGTTCTTTCATCTTGGAAACTGCTGAAACTAAACTTATAATTGCAGCAAAGGCTCCTTTTAAAGCTGTATAAAGCGATTGCTTTTCTTTCTGTTCTAAATCCAACTGATCATTTGTAATGTATGCAAGAGAAATTTCAAGAATAACAAAACATGCTGTGATTAAATCTGCATTTGTCATAACAGCTTTAAGTTGTTTTCCTTCTATTTGCATTCTAACTTCTATAGATGCTAATTGAATCAACAACAAGAAAAATACTTTCGGTTTATCTTTATCCAATAAAGTCCATTCTGCTCCCAGTAAATCCAACATTACAGATGCAAGTTTTAATGCTGGGTCACGTTGATTTTTACCTATTTTTGATCCAAGAATATCACATAAAGCTTTATGGATGCTGAGGGGCCAAGATTCATCCTTAACAGTTGCATTAATAATGTCTTTTCTACAAGACATTAATAAAGCTTGTAAAATTGTACATACTTGAAATTTTCTTTCTGTATGATCTGTTTCAAAGTCTAATGCAATTTTGTTCATAATAGCATGAAATGGTGCTGTATCTGTTGCATCCCATGCTTCTGGACCTAATCTTCCCACTAATGTGACTAAAATATTTAATGCTTTGTCCGTTTCAAAACTCTTTTCTGAATAGATATCACACATTTTTGAGATTGCTTTCTGTTCAATTAAAGCTTTCTGTCCTGGTGGATACTGTGCTATATTTTGCAAGCATGTATAGGCTTCGCTAACAATAATTAACATATCATCAGCTGCATCTTCATCAGCTTGGGAGATAATTTCAAGCAATGCAGGTACATGAGCAATCATATCAGGATGAGAAGCCAGTTCTGGTTCTCCACAAAATGCAGAAAGTATAGACAGTGCTACAGATTTATACACTTGTGGAGGACAATCTACAGGAACTACTTGAGGAGATAATAGTTTTTTCAAGAATTTTGTTCCAATTGCTTCAAATAACATTTTTTTAATTGCTGCTGTGCAATCTTTACTGTCCACTAATTTTGTGACCATGAATAGTGCAGCAAATTTTTCTGAGTCAGTTTCAACAGATTTTAAAACTGCTAAGCACTTTTTCACACCCTCCGGAATACTCATTGTTGCAATTTATTCTGTTACTACTTAAAAATTAAATTTTCCTTTTACTTATATTTCAAAACTATCTGCTCGATCTTAATATATTTTTTTTTTATTTGTGTAGGGTTGATATTTCAAATGAAACTCACAAATAATTAACCAGCATCAGATACTTCTTAAAAAGTGTTTAACTTTCACATGTCACAGCTAAAAGCCAACTGGCAGTACTCCCAGAGCAAACCTCTTAAAACTAGCCTTGCCCTTTGACACACTCACTTGGTGCGACCAAAATAAAGTTGTACCATCACAAACGTTTTCCACAAACATGTGTACATTACCACTCACGTACAGATTATCATCAATGTGAGGTTAACTACGTTTTGTAATTATTTTTATTTGTCTCATGAAAAACATTACGTATACTATCAGTTACTTGTTTATGGTAGTTTTTGTATTAAAAGAAACGACAATGAAAACTATTTATGATAACTTTATTCTACAGAATCTTATCGAATAAGACTGTTTCAGCGTATACGTTTTTTCGTCAAATTCAGCATAACCTTATTTACGTGATGCACTATGAAGTATAAATGCACTGTACGCTTTACTGGTATCTTAAGAACGTGAAAACCTTCTGTAACGTGCTTACAAGCTTTTTCTGTTATGTCGGGCGTCTGGACAGTACAAGTAGGATCGGTCAAAAATAACCCGCCGAGAGAAAGCTCTATATCAGGGAGTCGGCTCGTATTACACAGAGGTTTCTATTTTCGTACGATCTCGTATTCAAACAAAAATCAGAAAATAAATGAAAAATCAACGAGATTTTTAAGGAAATATCAAAATAAGTATAAAATATGAAGCAATAAACAAATTAATTATTAACCGAGTGACCTTTTAAGTTTTTCGGATTTTCGAAATGAAGATTCAGCCATTTTCCGCGCACACTCCAGGAACTAACACGCGCATATACAACATCCAAGCATACATATGTATGTATATACTTTTTTAGTATTCCGATTAATACTGACCATTTATATATACACATATGTTTTCTAACATCAATATTACTTTAAATATCTTAGCGTACCTTTCGACATGTTTGATTATCGCCCTTTCTAGTCTCGATGAGAGTGTTGTCCAAATCAAAAAACACAGCGTTTATAGCTAGGTTTGATGAACAAAGATGCTTCTTATGCAATGTCGCCATTGTTATTGGAAGACTATAAGTTCGTCCAACGGTGTTCCAATGATGAATCGCGCATAAAGCATGTGATGTTCATATAATGGCTCTCTTTTAAGAACACTTTAGGGAGGGATGTATAATTATCTGAGTGGTCAGGCGTCACAACGGATTGCATCCGTCTTGTCTCGACCTAATACCCTTCGCTCCTGACCTTTTTCTCTTCCTTGATTTTGTTCTCTAACCCTCGAATGAAGAGACATCTTTGATAGAAATGATGTAGTACATATAATAATGTTAGTAGTCGATAAATAGGCAATCTAAATTTTATTTTTTACGTTATGAATATTATCAACCGAGTTAAAAAGAAATTTTATTGTTCATTTATATATCAATTAACAATGTTATTAAATACAAAATGTATCAAACGCAGTCAGTAATTCTGATATAATATTTAGCAATTAAATTGATAAGTAATCGCTGAAGTAAAAAAAAATAATTTAATGAAAACATTTATGTTATATATTTAACAATTTTTTGAAATTTGAGTATTATTTTATAAGATTTTTATTAAAATTTAACCAACAGTATTGACAACGGGACAACGGTTATTTTACTGACGATGGTGTCATAATATTTTGGCGCAAAGTTAATGATTACTTTGAATTCGTGATTCTGTTTTCTTATGTAAAATACCTTTTATTCAGAATTGACCATATAATATTTAAAAATGTCAGCTACAGCAACCACAGTTCCTCTTCAAGGAGATGAAGAATTTGAAGAATATAATCCACAAGCAAAATTAATAAAAACTCTCGAAGTGAGTTTGTTTTCTAACCTGTATTACATGTTTTGATTATGATTTTTAGATAGTTTTGGAAAAACGATTCATGTAATTTATAACAATAAATTAAAAATATATTGCTATATAGTTTGTAAATGTACTTTCTTTTGTTTAGGGAAATGGGATAACAGCAGGAGATATAAAAAAATTAGAGGAAGCTGGTTACTATACTGTAGAAGCTGTAGCCTATGCACCCAAAAAGCACTTACTTGCCATTAAAGGCATTAGTGAAGTTAAAGCAGATAAGATTTTACAAGAAGCTTCAAAGCTGGTTGTAATGGGTTTTAAAAGTGCCACTGAAATTCATCAGACTCGATCAAATATTGTCTTTGTGACTACTGGTTCCAGTGAATTAGATAGATTATTAGGAGGCGGTATAGAGACTGGTTCTATTACAGAAATTTTTGGAGAATTTAGATCAGGAAAAACACAGTTGTGTCATACCCTTGCTGTTAATTGCCAGTTACCTATAGATATGGGTGGTGCAGAAGGAAAATGTCTTTATATAGATACAGAAGGAACTTTCAGACCTGAAAGATTAATTGCTGTTGCAGAAAGATATAAAATTGCAGGGGATTCTGTATTGGACAATGTAGCTTGTGCTAGAGCTTATAATACAGATCATCAAACTAAATTACTAATTCAGGCTAGTGCTATGATGACAGAATCCAGATATGCCTTGTTGATAGTAGATAGTGCAACTAGTTTATATCGAACTGATTACTCTGGAAGAGGAGAATTATCTGCTAGGCAAACACATTTAGCTAGGTTTCTTAGAATGCTATTGAGAATAGCTGATGAGCATGGTGTTGCTGTCGTTATAACTAATCAAGTTGTGGCACAAGTTGATGGTGCAGCTAGTATGTTTGGTGGGGATCAAAAAAAACCAATTGGTGGTAATATTATAGCACATTCAAGTACAACAAGATTATATTTACGAAAAGGAAGGGGGGAAACTAGAATATGCAAAATTTATGATTCACCCTGTCTGCCTGAAAGTGAAGCAATGTTTGCTATAAATGCAGATGGAATTGGAGATGTTAAAGAATAACATTATATTTTTTATTTATAAATATGTATTTATATCTGTAAGAAAAGTTGTTTTTTTAAATGTGCTTTCCATAAAGCATACAATTATTTTTGTAATTTCAGAAAAAGAATAAAAGATCGAACGTACAATAAATGCAAAGTTTTCTGCTATTGAAAATAAATTTGTATTATTGTGCAATACGAGAACATTTTAAGGTGATGGAGCACGAACTTCGAATTCCGCGTCGGTAAAACAATCAACGTTTCATCGAAAATTAGGCCGAACAGAAACTGATTTAAGCGCCACCTCAATTATCGCATGCTATCAACCCTATCAACTAACGGCATGCTATACTACGTCACCTTCAATAATGAATTCCTCTCGAAAATTGTTATAAGAAAAATATTTGTTAGTCAACGTAGCGAATTTCTATCAAATGAAAAGCAGAAATTATGTGTTCTGTGGACAAGAGCGAGATCTGGCATCTGACCAGAGTCATGGATAAAGTCATGGCCTTTCCAATGTACAACGTCTCTGCTTGAAATATCTTCGCCAGGGTTGATTTCTTTCTACCATTGTGATTTTCTTTTTATTTTATTTTTAACCGACTTCGAAAAGAAGGAGGTAATTAGTCATTTGTAATTAGTCAAAAATCATACAAGTTCCTTTTTCAGGAATTATAAAATTACTATAGTTATACGTTCTATATGGTAATATTGCAATCCCGAAAATACTTTTCTGAATTTAAACTATTGTTTCCCAATTAAAAAATATATAAATCTTTTTATTGTAGCTCTTAGCTTGATATCGCTTTCTAAAAGTTATCTTTAGAAAACGATATCAATTACCAGGTCACACCACATGGAGGTGGCTACGTTAGTGACCCACCCTAAAATCATAAGAACGTGAAACCATTCAAAATATACAACATAAAATAAAAATTTAAACAATACAATCTTGAAATAGAAAATAAAATTAACATCCTAATATCAGAAACAATTGAGAAAATAATAATTTAACAATAAAATGCTGTAACGGAAAACATAATTATTAGGATTAGATATACAATAACGTGAAACCATTCAAAACATACAACATAAAATAAAAATTTAAACAATACCATCTTGAAATAGAAAATAAAATTAACATCCTAATATCAGAAACAATTGAGAAAATAATAATAACTTAACAATAAAATGCTGTAACGGAAAACATAATTATTAGAATTAGATATACAATAACGTGAAACCATTCAAAACACAACATAAAATAAAAATTTAAACAATACAATCTTGAAATAGAAAATAGAATTAACATCCTAATATCAGAAATAATTGAGAAAATAACAATTTAACAATAAAATGCTGAAATAGAAAATATAATTAACATCATAATTTCAGTAACAATTAAAAAATAATTCAACAATAAAATGCTGAAATAGAAAATATAGTTAACATCATAATTTCGATTACAATTGAAATGAAAAATGCCGACAACAGAAAATATAATTACCATTACAATCTGTTTTAAATAAATAGAACATAATTAAAATAAGAACATGAAATATAATTGATGGGCAAATCAATAAGAAAAGAATAATTTATTTCAATAAAGCAATAAACGAAAAAGAAATAGGGGAAATAAAATCGCGAGTTGACCACTCAACGAGCTGGGTATTGAACTCGTAAAATGTCGAGTTCAATACGTTCTGGACGGTATTATTCATACCGTTCAAGAAAAAACACAAAAAATGAAAAAACAAATTAGCGAGCATAGTGACAGAATGACTGTCCATCCGAAGATGGAGAGCCATTAGTAGTTCCCCTCTTCTGGGCAAATTTTGCCGGGGCTCTTCAGCATATAGCCTCTTCTTTCTTCGGCAATAGCCTCACAAAAATCACTCGCGAAAATTTTACGTTTGCTCAGACATTTGTAAAAACGTAACACGTAAACGAGCAACGATCCCTTGAATCGCTACTTGCATACCTGCACAATTTTTGCAAATGTCCAAGCACAAAACACTTTTTAATTTCACTTCACTTCACTTCACTTCACTTCACTGCACTTTCACTTTAATACTTCATTTTTGTAATCGGGTCTAGTACCACGACTACGACTTACAAACTAATAAGGCTTGGCCTTGAAAAAATCAAGAGAGAATGCTAAATTAATTAATTAATCAACTAATTAATTTGCATTTTCATTTTTCCTCTTGATTTTTTAATTTCCAACCCCAGATACAAGCTTCTCACGTATTAGAGGAGAATACGAAGAGAAACATGAAAGCTTGCTCTGGCCCTGCCTACTTATAAACTAAACTCAATCACACCAGAAGTAAACTACCTGCCTGCCTATCGCTATATTTAAAAAAGGGCAAAAATCATTCTCACAAAAATTCACTCCACGGTTCTCATACAACCACCCGGGTGCAAAAATGCCTACACCTAGAGAGAACGTCCCGGGACGCCTCCGACACCCGAGTTCAATTCAACTTTCACACTCTAATAAAATCACATACCTTTTTGCTGAAATCGACTGACAAATAATAGTGAACATTATGCTAAAGTAATACATTTCATTTTCGTATTCTATTGAATTATCTAATGTAAAAATTTTTCAATTTATTCTTGATAAGTATTTTGTAATGTTATAGTAAGTTAAGATTGTTAATAAACGATACAAATCCCACATCCTAACCACACACACACATGTGGAACTTGTATCGTGGTTCACTATTGGTTCACTACTTTTGTCAGTCGCCAAAATGTATTACACTTAAAACTAAACCTTGTCCACCGCCCTCCACCCACGCGAGTACATCTAAGTACCCGAATGAGCTTTGGGCATAAAAATGAACAAGGCCAAAGGTATTTTCACCTACCTGTTTTCTTCATGTGTGCTGAAATGCCTAAGCTAAAACGTATGATTAGCAAAAACTAAAGATGATATTCTCACTTTATTAAAAGTAAGAATATCGGCGAAATTTCACGGCTCCGATTTAGTATATGGGCTGGCCCCCCCAGGGGGTTTTATTTTTAATAAAAGTGACTCGACTTTGCAAATATAAAGCTTGAAGAGCAAATACAGAAAAGCAAAATTGAGCAACTATGACATAAAACATGGTGCACTGCTAATATCAGTTGGCAACGGAGGTTCTTAGGCCCCCTGGACTTGCGTCCGACGCTACATACCACCCACCCCGCCTGGACGTCGTAACGCCAGGACAGGATGCACCCCTTCGCTAAGAGCGCTACCCGCCCGTCCAACACGTTGCATCCAACGGTGTCAGATTGACGGACGCCCATAGTATAGACAAAAGGACTACAGTTTAGAATATGGTAACATATTTTCATATGTTCCGTATTCTAAAGCTGCGCCTTCAAAGGCCTAGTAATGCATGGGTTTATCTCCCATGAGATGGTGTTTCACGGTCTTATGCCGCGGAATCCTTGTAACTAATTTGATTAAATAAATAATACATTGGATTGAGTTTAAAAACCAAAAGGATTCCCACCGAATACTAGTCAGTGCATAGTCGTATTTACTCTCGCGTTCGAAATTTTTCGCAACACTAATTAAACCTGAAAATCCTGATCTAGAAACATGATTGGTACATTAATATCTAACGGGGTAATATTTCACTACACTAGGGTATGAAGGTGGATAAATGATTATGTGATAGAGTTCGTGAAGCTGAAGTGTGAATGATGAGTGTTTAGGGTCGAGAACCGTGAACGTGACAGAATGAATTTGAAGTACGAACGAAGAGCTTTCTACAATGCTTGAAGAGCAAATACTGAAAAGCAAAATAGAGCAACTATGACGCAAAAATGGTGCACTTCTAATATCGGCTGGCAACGGAGGTTTTCGGGCCCCCTGGACTTACGCCCGACGCTACATACCACCCACCCCGCCTAGGAAAGGATGCACCCCTTCGCTAAGAGCGCTACCCGCCCGTCCAACACGTTGCATCCAACGTGTCAGATTGACGGACGCCCATAGTATAGGCAAAAGGACTGCAGTTTATCAAATGGAACATATGGATGTGCGCCACATTCTAAACTGCGCCTTGAAAAGCCTAGTAATGCATGGTTTTATCTCCCATGAGATGGTGTTCACGGTCTTATGCCGCGGAATCCTTGTAACTAATTTGATTAATTAAATAAAACATTGAGTTCAAAAACCAAAAGGATTCCCACCGAATACTAGTAAGTGCATCGTCATAGTTACTCTCGCGCTGGAAATTTTTCGCAACACTAATTAAAATAGAAAATCCTGATCTAGCAACATGACTAAAGGGGAGCTTTAAATTATGCTTGAAGAGCAAATACTGAAAAGCAAAATTGAGCAAATATGACTCAACATTCGTCCACTGCTAATATCAGCTGGCAACGGAGGTTCTTAGGCCCCCTGGACTTACGCCCGACGCTACATACCACCCACCCCGCCTGTTTAAGGCTCTAGGCCCAGGCAGGGTGCACCCCTTCGCTAAGAGCGCTACCCACCCATCGAACACGTTGCATCCAACATGTCCGAGTGGTGGACGCCCATAGTATAGGCAAAAGGACTTTAAGACAGCTTAGCGTATGGGATGCAACATACTTAAATGTTCCGTACTCTATGGCTGTGCCTGCAAAGGCCTAGTAATGCATGGTTTTATCTCCCATGAGGTGGTGTTCACGGTTTTATGCCGCGGAATCCTTGTAACTAATTTTATCAAATAAAAACCAAAAGGATTCCCACTGAATACTAGTCAGTGTATAGTCATGTTTACTCTCGCGCCGGAAATTTTTCGCAACACTACTTAAACTTGAAAATTCTAACAGGGTAATATTTACCCTCGCGTTGAAAATTTTTCGCAACACTACTTAAACTTGAAAATTCTAACGGGGTAATATTTACTCTCTCGTTTAAAATTTTTCGCAACACTACTTAAACATGAAAATCCTAACGGGGTAATATTTATTCTCGCGTTGAAAATTTTTCGCAACACTACTTTAACTTGAAAATCCTAAGGGGGTAATATTTCACTACACAAGGGTATGCGGGTGGATAAATGATTATGTGATAGAGTTCGTGAGGCTGAAGTGCGAATGGTGAGTGTTTTGGGGTCGAGAACCGTGAACGTGACAGAATGAATTTCGAGTACGAAAGAAGAGCTTTCTACAATGCTTGAAGAGCAAATAGTGAAAAGCAAAATAGAGCAACTATGACGCAAAAATGGTGCACTTCTAATATCGGCTGGCAACGGAGGTTTTCGGGCCCCCTGGACTTACGCCCGACGCTACATACCACCCACCCCGCCTAGAACAGGGTGCACCCCTTCGCTAAGAGCGCTACCCGCCCGTCCAACACGTTGCATCCAACGTGTCAGATTGACGGACGCCCATAGTATAGACAAAGGACTGCAGTTTATTAAATGGAACATATGGATGTGCGCCACATTCTAAACTGCGCCTTGAAAGGCCTAGTAATGCATGGGTATATCTCCCAGAGATGGTGTTCACGGTCTTATGCCGCGGAATCCTTGTAACTAATTTGATTAATTAAATAAAACATTGAGTTTAAAAACCAAAAGGATTCCCACCGAATACTAGTAAGTGCATCGTCATAGTTACTCTCGCGCTGGAAATTTTTCGTAACACTAATTAAAATAGAAAATCCTGATCTAGCAACATGACTAAAGGGGAGCTTTAAATTATGCTTGAAGAGCAAATACTGAAAAGCAAAATTGAGCAAATATGACTCAACATTCGTCCACTGCTAATATCAGCTGGCAACGGAGGTTCTTAGGCCCCCTGGACTAGCGCCCGACGCTACATACCACCCACCCCGCCTGTTTAAGGCTCTAGGCCCAGGCAGGGTGCACCCCTTCGCTAAGAGCGCTACCCACCCATCGAACACGTTGCATCCAACATGTCCGAGTGGTGGACGCCCATAGTATAGGCAAAAGGACTTTAAGACAGCTTAGCGTATGGGATGCAACATACTTAAATGTTCCGTACTCTATGGCTGTGCCTGCAAAGGCCTAGTAATGCATGGTTTTATCTCCCATGAGGTGGTGTTCACGGTCTTATGCCGCGGAATCCTTGTAACTAATTTTATCAAATAAAAACCAAAAGGATTCCCACCGAATACTAGTCAGTGTATAGTCATATTTACTCTCGCGCCGGTAATTTTTCGCAACACTACTTAAACTTGAAAATTCTAACAGGGTAATATTTACCCTCGCGTTGAAAATTTTTCGCAACACTACTTAAACTTGAAAATTCTAACGGGGTAATATTTACTCTCTCGTTTAAAATTTTTCGCAACACTACTTAAACATGAAAATCCTATCGGGATAATATTTATTCTCGCGTTGAAAATTTTTCGCAACACTACTATAACTTGAAAATCCTAACGGGGTATTATTTCACTACACAAGGGTATGCAGATGGATAAATGATTATGTGATAGAGTTCGTGAGGCTGAAGTGCGAATGATGAGTGTTTAGGGTCGAGAACCGTGAACGTGACAGAATGAATTTCAAGTTCGAAAGGGGAACTTTATACAATGCTTGAAGAGCAAATACGGACCCCGCTGGGGGCCAGCCCATATACTAAACTGATGCCAATTTCACGAGTAAAATCCGAAAAACGTTTCAATTTCAAGAGCGATTTCGTTATCAAAGTAAGTAGTTGTAATAATTAATCGTATTCATGCTTATTACTTTGATATTGAAATCCGCTCATCGCGAAATAAATTCTTGTACATATAAAAAAGAATGTGTATTGTGAAGTCGGAGGGTCATCCGACTTCTCTACATTTTTAAACTCGGAATTTATATAGGTAAATATGTACAAGAAAACCCTATCCTGAGCTAAGACATAAAATGCACAAAAAAGCAATTTGCACGATTATCATTGTATAAAATGATACAGTGATATTCGTGGGTCACTATGCTCGCTCAAAAAATAAAAATTACAACCAATTCCCGTGTCGTTACGGACCATTCGTCCTACGACATGATGGGAACCGGAGGAACTTTAAAGCATGCGACTCACCAATCGTTGACTTGCACCACTGCACTCGCCACGCATCTTTTTGTTAGACTGATCCATAGCTCGTCTGTTGGCTCGTCAAAGAAACGGTATCCCCACTGGCCAAAGCACTCATCTGAAAGCATAAAAATCACGATTCTTGAACGATATATGTTTTCTCTCAATTTGTTGTAGTTAATATGTTAATACATAGGATAATTCAAAAATATGCATGCAAAACTATGTGGGAATAACTACACCATAAAACACGGTAAAACACATGCAAATACATCCCAAATCACTCGAAGATTAAAACTATAGAACACTATAAAATATTTGCAAAATTATAGTAAAACACATAGGGTACTACTCCATAAAACCCACTAATAAATCCGTATAAATATGCCAAAACACAAAGGGTACTACTACATAAAACCCACTAATAAATCCGTATAAATATGCCAAAATACATAGGGTACCACTCCATAAAACCCACTAATAAATCCGTAAATATATGCCAAAGCACAAAGGAAACCACACCATAAAACACAATAAAGCACATGCAGGTACATGGGGTACCACACCACACAGCACACTAATGCACTTGTATAAAAATGTCAGAACACATGGGTGACCACACCATAAGACGCACTAATATATCCGTATAAATATTCCAAAACACAAGGGAAACACTATAGGAAACACCATAGGCACACATAGAAACATTTATGGTAACACACTGATAAATCCATGCACGAATATCCATAGTGTCAACCCGTACCGGTATACGTTTGGCAGCTCCATCCGTATCCTTCGGCGGTCGCGATAAGACTGATTAGATTTGACCTCTCTCCAGGTCGCGCTTGTACCGGCGCGCGGCGCGCGCAATCAAGCATGACGTTCCGCTTCACCGGTTCCGCGGTTAACTATTTTTATCTGATACTTGTTAATATTTGTTTAATAATTATTTTATATTTTACAATTGTTTATTAATCAAATTATTGTTAAATCTATTTAAATTGTTTATTTCTTTACATTTCCGCGTGGGTATATTGCAAAATTTTATTTAATTATTCTATTAAAAATTATTGAATTATTATTTTTAATTTTACAATTGTTTGTTAATTAAAATATTGTTATATCTATTGAAATTATTATTTTTATAACTTTTATACACGAATATTCAATAAATTTTAATTTTTATAAGGGGGTAGACACGGGTAATGCAGCGAGGTGACATTACCGGCAAAAATGGGCCTATATAGGAATAATTTATGAACTTTTATGATTGATTCTTATCGTAATTCTCAAATTTCTTCTACCTGGAGGCTTGTACATCATCTCTTGGGTGCTCGTTTTTCTATCCGACCCAAAGAATATTAGTCTGGTACCTATTTGGACATATGATTTACAGAAATGTTTATATTACGAATAAATCAATGCAGGTAAGTCCGATCCGCCATTTTCTTGACCGTTGTCAGACAGCAATTTCAATATTTTATAAGTTTTTGACGATTTGGATAATATAAGGACCAGACTAATATTCTTTAGAGCCTCCTGAACACGTCCCTCAAATTTTTTTGCATTCTGTTTAGAAATGACGACGTAATTTGAGAACTCGCGTCGAGGGATTTTTCTAGGGACTGTCGGTAAAGTTTTCAACGCTATCATTGTATAAAATGATACAGTGATATTCGCTTAAGCTGCAGTGGTAAAATATCGACAGCTTTTGATCATAGTTCAGCAGTTTACCGTCACATGGCGTAAGCAGTATGTTTTTTAATATAGTGCACTTCTTCTGGGCCAGTACTTATGGAGTTTCTTTCTTCTTATCTGTAAAAATCATTAGAATTATAAGTATCAATAGTGAAAGTATCAAATTTACAGGATATTTACAGGATATGGAATCGGCATAATGTAGCTTTCTGAGAAATAATGATTTTCAAAACGACTATTTTTATAATGTGATAAGAACTTACACAAGATGATTGCTCTATCCAATTTTTTTTATCTATAATTGCAATTTTACATTATCGACTCAGCTACAATGATAGCACTGAATGTCACTATAAGACCGATTCATATGTATCCATTGCTCTAGTAACATTTCTAAACGGAAATGACGTTTAACATTCAACAACAGCGCTGATATATTTGAAAATCATGGCGCAAAACAATAAAAATTGTATGGAATTACCATTCAATCGGAACATTAGTTATAGCCAACGAATGAAGACAAAAGAATTTTGGAAATTTTTGGAGAACGAAAGTAACCTGAAACCTTACGTAGTATTACCAGGTATCGGTTATATTTCGATCATTAAATAGGTGTATTAATATAAATTTAATGAACATTTGTAGACAAAATATTTTCGAAAGACGATGCCATTCGAGTTGTTCCCGTACCAACAAAAAGAATATGGTACGATCAATATAAAATATTTGAAGAACATGGATTGGACAAAGCAGCGTTTGCAGCGTATCCACAATGTAAAACGTGTTCCACTAAATATAACTGCGGGTAATTATATAAGTGATAAATTTGTTGAAGTTAAAGATTATCATATCATTTATGTATTTTAAACAGATCTTCAGATTCCACCTGCAAGGATGAACAATCGTATGAGGAGTTATTACAGGATATGCAAACTTTTGATAAAAAGCTGCAGGATAAAGCAAATAGTGATACTGAAATAATGTAAAAGCAATAATTACAAATCCTACAAATTACTATGATATTGTGTTAGTAATTGTTGCTAACATTTTTGATTTGAAATAAAAATTGTTGGTTATTAACTGTTTGATAAAATTGAAAATTAGAACAAGGTAGAATATAGATGAACAGGATATTACACAGGGACTAAGATTACGAGGTTCCGGGGAGTATCGAATTTCTGTGGTGCAGGAGGTCAACGCTGTTTGGTTTGAGCAAGGTGCTCTACCACAAGACCCATGAAACGGCCTCGAGGATGCAGAATCCTTGCACAACATCTGGCTCTCCAAATCTCTTACCTTATGTACCTTTTTACTGTCAGTCCATCGCGCGTCCAAAAATGTGTACCATGCGAATACCGGACATCAGACAAGTTGGAATTAAATTTAAAATTCCTAGAATGTGTAGTAATCACTAGGTTTAACGAGACAAGTGTCTCTTTTTTACTTCCCATTTAATAAACAAGTTCCACTTTAGGAACAATGAACAGAAAATGAAACTAGATGGAAACGATGAACGCGCAACGTACGTTTAGGAAAATAGCGATATTATTTTCATGAGCGAACTTATTTTAACTGTTTAAATAAACCTTCGCAGTGTATACCGTTACAGCGAAACCATGAGGAATTATAACCAAACGTACCGAGAGAATCCCGTTACGGAATTTTCATTTTCATATTGTTATTTATCCTGTATTGCAATGTTTATCGAAATATATTGTAATTAATCTATATTCGTACAACACCATTCAATTTTCTCGGTTTATGTTTTTGCATGAAATAATATCGTCCATCGTTCGATCGCCAGGGAATCTAATACACATCCAATAACACGTAACCAGGATAACCAGCTAACATCGATCTTTTGATTTTATCTAATTCATAATAAAAAGATAATTGAAATATTGATTAACTCACCATGAAATGACTCATCCTTCGATAAAGGCTAACTTATCACCCTTCTCCCTCATTTTATTGATCTTTAGTTGTTTACTCTTCATGTTTCGTTGCACCTGACCTATCTTTCATTTTACTTTCTCTAAAGGTTAGGTTAGGCTACTATTCATTTTAGGGTATAATATACATATAAATGATACCAGAGGGAATATAATATTAAGAAGATGGAATTTTACGTTTGTACGGGACCAATCTAGTATTACGGATATAGACCTTAACTTTCAACAAGGTTGGGTTAAGTTAGGTTGGGTCAACCGTGACTTAGGTACGTGAAGCGATACAATGGTCTCCGCCGTTCCCTATACACTCCACAACTCATCTCTTGGCACTTTATTTTACCATTCTCCTCAAGAAGAAGTAAAATAACAGAATAAGAACAAGGATCAATCCAGAGGAAACGAGATAGGCGAAGCCTGCTCTATCCTCCTCTGTACCGGGGGACATCGTCGCGCGTTATTTTCATCGAGCGTGTGCACGGAGACAATGAGGGTAAAAATAGAGGAAAACGCGGTAGAGAAGTGAACCTTGGTGGAAGAGACAAAAGAGGCATCAGGGAAGGGCGGAACGAGCCCCGTCAACGAACGGAGATGGAGGATGTTAGCGGTAGAAGGGGGTCCCGTTGACGGAGATTCGACGAAGCAGTGATGTTTAATCGGTGTTGGCCCGCATCAGGTTGATCGAGGACCCCCCAGCCGGGTGTTCGAGGGCGATGCTGACGACGACGACGACGACGAGGAAGACTAGGACGTGGGCCTCCGATGACGGCCGGGGCTGGAGGGTAAGCGGAATCGGGGTGGGTACCACGGGGAGAGGCTGCGCCGTGCCGATGAAGCGAACAATGGAGGCGGGATGCTCATTTGTCTGCGGGCATTGTTGTTCACCCGGCCGGAAACACGAGCTCTCTGCTCTCTTTTCTCTCTCCCTCTACCTGAGACCCCCCTACTCTATCTCTTCGTCACTCCCCTTTTCGCCTGTTTCGTTCTCGGTGCCCCCCTCCTCCATCTATCCCCTATCTCCAGTGGTGAAATTTTTGTTCGATGAAACGATGCTACCAATCGCATTTGAGATTCGAGGGTTCTTCAAAATGTTGAAAAAATTGGATAATCTGTTGTAGGTGGTAAGAGTTGATTTTATGATGCAGCATTCAAACTTCTCTGATTACAAAAATCATAGATTTCACGGGTGCTCGATCATCTCGTCAAATGCCCATCATCGTATCAATCAAAATCCCTTTCCAGCTCAACTCCTACATCCGTATCTAGCCGTTTCCTTCTCGCGACCCATGGATCGTGTCGTTTCGCTCGGTCAGTTTCTAGATCGTCCCTAATCGTTCCCGATTCCCGTAAAACTCAAGCGTGCCACGTCGTGAGTGAAAAAAAAAAAAAAATAAAAGGTCTGGACCGAAGAAGAGCGTTTGTAGTTTACATCGGGTGTCCAGCGATGCGGACGGTAGCCATTTTGAAACGGGTCCCCCAGTTTCGTGGCTTCTCCCTGGTCCGCGGCGTGGACAGGAGAGGAAGAGAACCGGGCGAAAAGAGAACGGTGAACGCGAAACGAGGGTACACAGGGTGGTTTCTGGCTCATTGGGCAGACGTACAAATTCGTCGCGACGTATCCGTGGATTACGTGAGGGCCCGGCACGTTGGCCCCCCGAAAACTTCGGTACCACTTCGGGTTCGCCTGCTCGCAGCCAAGAATACCACGGAGAGAGGGACACGTCCCCGTCTTATCTTCGACATCGGTCCCGAGCTTCCTTCTTAACGGGTGACCGGACACGAGCTACGTTCATACGCGATGCGCCTCCTGGAGCCATTCTCCTCCTCTTCTTCTTCTTCATCTTCGTTTTCTTTTTCCTCTTTTATCCGGCCACGGCTTTGTGCACGCGTCTGTCATCGTCCACCCTCTTGGTCGCTTGGGTGTTCTCACAAGAGAAAATTTCGTCCTTTAACACAATCATTGGGGACTTTCAAAATCATTTTGCACAGACATAGGGTGTACTTCTTTGGAATGAAAGTGTCAAGTTTAGTCCCAATTAGTTTCACAGATTTATACACTCAAATTAATTAGTATTTAATTTTCAAATATTTCCAATTTTCATTTATGGAGGATGTTCGCTAATGAGTTAATCTGTGAAATAAGGGATATACAGATATTTAATATTATTATAATCTCATTAAGAATATTCCTAAATAATAATTAATTAATGAAATTAGCCCTTGTTATTCTATCATCCATTATTATCCTTAATCTTAGTTTGACTGATCAACAAAACCTTATCGAATTTCACCAATTAACACCAAAAATTCATTGATCGAATACCATCGTAGCAATAGCTCGTTAAACCATGAAATTCATCGAATACTTGAAATAAGTCTATTTCGCTCTGGGATGGGGAGAGCGCATTAATTAATATGCGTGCACGTATTGCAACTTGCAACTCGATGCTCGCTTGTACGTATAATGTTGCAATATGTAACTGACCAATATAGTGCAACATTGTATACCATGCCTATTCTCGGCTATAAAAGTGTCGATCGGTGATCGATTGGCTTCGAATCGAATGCCTCCGCACCTCGTCATAGTAACGATAATCGAAAACTATTAATACGGTAACAATGATGATATGGAATTTCAAGTACAACCAGAATTTTTTTCGGGTAATCGCACATCCCTATTATTTAGACGAAAAAGGGTTAATTAAATTACCTCGCAAAGATAACTTTGTGGCAGGAGCGGCTCCCGAAAAGCCGGGTCGTTCGCGTGTAATTTGACGGACGGATAATACGATGTTAATAGAATGGAATATTGGCGAACCGTTCCCATAAATCATGGTTAATTTGACACAGCCATTCGTTCTAGCTAGCTTCCACATTATCCTCGCTTCCTTCTCTCTTCCTTTCCTCGATCCTGATCGACTGGTGATCGTGTGCCTTCTGTCGGTCGAAGGAAGATCGTAAAAACGAGGGCCTTTTCGATGACCCTTGCGCGTACCTTTTATTCTCTTTCCACTTCCTTTGCTGCTTGTTTGCCACTTGCAAAACGACCTTTTCTTTTGGTACTTTGCCTCGTATTATGTTTCTCGTATAAAACAGTCCTTTCAATCTTTCCTGTCTTTTCAATTTGTCCAATTTTATATTTTATTTATAACCATAGAACCATTTTCTATAATAATTCTACATATAGATTAAATGAGTTTGAATATTTTGTAATACATCCAGAAATAGAATAGACAGCTGTTTGTTTCCATTTACTGTTAGTATATTTTTAGACAATCTTTCTCACTGAAAGGTAGTAACGAGATGTATCGAATCTCTCAATTGATATCAATCATATTATATTTTTGAAGTTTCTCAAATTAGTGTTATTGTCAGATTGCATAAAGGATTCGTGCGGTCTATGTGTCTCCAAGCAATATAGAATATTATATCCCTTCTTTGTATTAATTAACGTTGACTAATATATCCTGGCGAGAATAGACGAGGAGGATCGTCGGCGAAGTTCTCGTTATCGTTATCACTCTAAAATTACCCTTCATTTAATTCCATTTTCGTTCTGTCGTAAACAATGATGTCACGTCTGTGGCCACCGACTCCTTGCCGGATGTTGTTCTTCAATTAATGTGTGCCTTATCGACGTCTGTACGATTCCTGGCTCTGGCTCTCCCTGGAAAAAGTCTTATTCAGCAAGCACGGCTGCGATACGCAACACTTCTTCTCTCCCCTTTCTTTTGGATCGTGTTTATACGTTTGAATTGTATCTGCTCTTCTTAAGACGATCGGAGCGTTTCATTGAAATATTAATAGCACGACAAAAATGCAGCTGCATGGTTGTTCAAGTGAATCCGACGTTCTTTCGTCGGACAACAGGAAGAAAGTGTATCCGCATAATTTGCCATATTAATTCTATGGCAGCATGATTATATGGCTTTCGAGTAAAAAAGAAAGACATAGTGTCCATGTTCAATTCACGTTGTTCCGTTGATCGAGCCCTGATCGATTATATTCGATCGGTATGTAGATATAGTTCCTTGAAGATCGTGCCAGATGGCCTATGGGGTATCGAGGCCATTATGGGGCTGCTCGAGAATCCGTAATGAAATTAGAAATTAAAAGGGACCCCGTTCCTCGAGGTCTTACGAGGTCTTTCTCTCGAGAGTGGCCTGGCTTTTCCAGGAACACCGGTTCCTCGTTCTTTTTTTTTAAATATTAATATTGGAGAATTTTATGCTTCTACTTCTACGGATCCTGAGGGTGATAAGGTCCGAAACTAGCTGAAGTTTTAGGTCCAAAGGTGCTAAGGCCCTAAGGATTCTAGGTCCGACGGAGTTAAAGCTCTATGGATTCTAAGTTCAACGGAGCTAAGGGTATCTATGGAATCCAAGTCCAACGGAGCTATGGCCCCATGGTTCCTAGGTTCAGTGGAACCAAGACCCTATGGATCCTATGTCCAGTGGAGCCAAAGCCCTCTGAATCCTAAACTTAACGGAGCTAAAGCTTT